GAGAATATCTGGATCTGTGGGGTGTTGGTGTTTTGGGGGGGGAGCAGGGGGCATTTTGCTCACAGCATCAAAATGTCCTGGGCCACTCCTGGGTTTTGCCATTTACTCATGTCTCATCATGTCTCTCAGGCTCTACCCAGCAGATTAAATATGGCCAGGTTCTTTCCACACATAGCCAGCCAGATAACATCCTCTGCCCCCACAAAGCACCATCAGGTCCTTCTCTTGTTCTAGGCTCTCCCCATGAGTTGGCAGGAACTGCTCTTTAGCTCTTAGGCTCCAAACTCTATCGCTCAGAATATGAGCTTCTGCAGTCCTAGTGATCCTAACCCTAGGTAACTGCAAGACACATTGGCTCCCACCCACACCCAGTGTGGTATGGGGACAACCCTTCAAAGTCAGCCCCACTCCTATTACATCCAGTTGGGCATCTGTTCATTCCATAGCCTCCAACATTTCTCTGATGAAACTAGGGATGTCCCATTCCATAATGATAATTTTACTCTTTATACCCCACACATCTTACTGGGTTGCCCCAGCCATGCTGGGCAGCTTCCAACATATATAAAAACATAATAAAACATTATTATTATTATTTTTAAAAACTTCCCTATACGGGATGGCCTTCAGATGGCTCGGAGGTCGGATAACTGCATACCCTCCAACATTTCTCCAATGCAAATAGGGACATCCTAAGGCAGGCTTCCTCAACCTCGGCCCTCCAGATGTTTTTAGCCTACAGCTCCCATGATTCCTAGCTAGCAGGACCAGTGGTCAGGGATGATGGGAATTGTAGTCTCAAAACACCTGGAGGGCCGAGGTTGAGGAAGCCTGTCCTAAGGAAAAGTGGGACATTCCAGGATCAAATCAGAAACTGGGATGGCTTCTCTAAATCAGGGACGTCCCTGGAAAATAGGGATACTTGGAGAGTCTGTCATTCTAAGAACAGAGCATTATCTCTGGGTCTGCTTTTTGACTGTGTCATTCAAGAAAGGTTTGTCTACAGATCAAACTGAATTCTGAACATAGGAAGCTGCCTTATAGCAGTACTGTCAACAATGACTGGTAGCAGCTCTTCAGGTTTTTAGACAGGGATTTCTCCAAGCCCTACCTGAAAATGTCAGCGATTAAACCTGGGACCTTCTACGTGCTAGCCAGGTGTTCTACCACTGAGCTATTGCCCTTCTTTTTGTGGTTTGTGAGTTTTATTAGCCACCGTCTTCTTATTTTGAAATCCTGGATATTTTCTGCAGCTAGTTTACCTTTTAAAGACAATGCCCTTGAGATATGCATTCAGATATGTGAGCCACATCTAGCCATCTTTTCTTTTGCTCTTTTTCTGGGAACATTTTTTACAGGATACTTAAAATGCCTCCAAGCCTCTGTAAAGCCAATTCTGCATATGTATAGATATGGTCTAGTCAGAGGTACAGGGCAGCAAAAAGCCATTTTAAAAACTGAATATACATCAATGTAGGTTTTCAGTTTAGATTACAGACAAGGAAATTCAAAGGAAAGAAAGAGAAAGTTTTGTTTTGTTTTTTAAAGGACAGTAGGTCAATGCATCAATCTCAAACCACAAAGACAAAGGGGGAAAGGGAGGTTTTAATGTCTGCCAGGAGGGCAAAGATTGAATTTTGATATCTAATTCACTACTGCTTTTGGCTATGCATCTTCTGCTGGGGGAGTAGGGAATCATCCAAAATTGTACTAGAATCCTAAAATAAGCCAACTTCATGAATGGAATATTTCCTGTTCCCTCCTCTTACATCAGCCCTCTCTGACCCATCCCATATTGCTCCTTCAATAGAGAGGCTTTTTGGGGAGTGTAGGTGGCTGCTTAAGGGAGGGGGGGATGGGGACATTTCCTTTCTGGAAATTCGCCCCCCCCTTCTTAAACCAATGTTATTCTAAAAACAAACAACCTAGTTATAACCTGTAATTATAGGTGAAATGGGATCAAGATCTGAATGGGCAGTTATCAGGATAAATGTCTTTGGACTTACATAACCTCTCTGCTCGCCTGCACTTCCTACAGGACCTTTTTGCTGCCACCAGTTGAAATTGCCTATTTTGCCCTTGCTGCCTTCCACCAAAAAGCCTAAAATTTCACTGTGTCTCCTTGAAAAAAATAAACTTTCAGGGCAGTGTAGAATTTGGTGCTCGGACATTGGTAGTGAATCAAAGGAGACAACAAGGTTTTATGAATTAATATTAAAAGTTTACTAAAAAAGATAAAATATAGCTCTTAGGAAAAAGGTTCAACATAGGGACAGTTACAAACATGTACAGCTTTCCTCCCACTTGGAGTAAAATAAAAAAAATAAACTATCCATCCTAGATCTGCCTACTATGCCAGATTATTTGGGGAAAGTATGTGCTGAGAGTGCAGCAAAACTTTCAAAGATGGGTTGAGAAAGAGAGAGCAAAAGGTGTTCACAGTTAAATTGCAGTGCTAGAAAATTCCACTACCAACTGAGATCACAGCAGTGCACTCCTGACATTCAAAAATCTTACTGTAGTCTTAATAATGTGACAATGCTCATTATGATTATCACCACCCTGGGCAGGTGGGGAACAGGACTCCTGTATCTTTTTACAGGATGAACACAGATTTCTCAGCAGCAGTAGGGAAAACTTCATCAGTTGGATTTCTGCAAAACATGTGACTATTACTAGCACAGGAGGTCTGCCAGATGAAGAGGTTGGCAGCTTACAACTCTCAGCAGGTTAAGCAACTTGGGTCTATAGCTGCCGGGAAGAGAAAGGAGTAGATATCTCAAGCAGACTGAGTGCCCTTTTTGCTTTCGTGGTTTGTAAATTGGCAAATATTTACATGCAAATATTGATTCAGTGGGCACCAGAGCTCCCCCCTGCTCTGGTTGCTTCAGCTCATCCTAATCACACAAGGGAACAAATGGAATTTTATTAACTTTATAGTGGGTGCCTAATATCACAAATGGGTCATTTAAATATTGCAACAGTGTTTGTCATGTGACTAGTGATTTGGCTTGGTGCTGCTTGTGTCAAAACCAGGAGCGGCTAGCGGGAAGGACTGGCCCTGCAGACCGGACCTTCCAGCACCAGCAATACTGCCATGTACCAGGACCGGGTGGGATGGAGCAGGGTGGCAGTGAGGTCAGGATGGTGCAGCCACACCAGCAGAGCCAAGTTGGTATTTGTGTTGGTGCATCCACACTGCTATGCCCCCATCCCAATAAGTACCAGAGAAGTCGATGCTGAGAGGCTAGGTCTGTGGCGTTGGCCCTCCCTGCTGCCTGCTCCTGATGAAAACTAATTTGACACCTGATATAAGTTCAAACTGAATGCTCTAGAACTGGGTGTAGGGTAGGAGACCTGGGGGGAAAAAATCACATCTGGCAACCAATGCACCCCTTTGGTTTCAGATAGTACATGGGTAGATAAGTCTAAAGATCCCAAGAGACAATTTTTCATGGCCCTTTAGCAGCTATGGTGGTTTCCATGTGCTCTGGTTTCCGTCACAGTGTTCCATTGCACCAGAAGCGGTTCAGTCATGCTAGCCACGTGACCTGGAAAGCTGTCTGTGGACAAACGCCAGCTCCCTTGGCTTGAAAGTGAGATGAGCGCCGCAACCCCATAGTCGCCTTTGACTGGACTTAACCGTCCAGGGGTCCTTTGCCTTTTTTTATTTACCAGAAGTAATGTTTTGTAGTGTTAACTCCGGAAGTGTATACTAAATTCTGACTGCACAAAGCCTCCTGGTGTATATTGGGCTCCAGGAGTCTCTTTTATGTTTTTAAGATATGAAGGCAACAGGTGTTTCACACTGTGGCTAACCAGGTGCCCATGGATAGTCTACTAGCAGGACTTTAGGGCAATAGCTTGCTTATAGACTTTCTGAACCCTTGTTGGAAAGATGCTGCTGGACTAGGGTTCTTCTTATGTTCTGTCTTTTACAATTGTTGGCTTCACTGATCATTGTGGATCTCTTCAGTGTTGTTCATATCAGCCATGAAAACTCTTAAGTTGCTAGTGCTTAGTCTTTTTTTGTTTTTTTTGTTTTGTTATTATCCATGCTTGCACATGGACTTACATAACCTGTGGTCTATATTGGTAAACTATTAAACTTCGAGGTGAAGAAATATGCTGTTGGCCTTCTAACTTCTCCTTCTCTTATTCTGACATGGGGGTGTTCCTCTTTGGTTGTTGGTAAGAAAAGAAGTGAATTTCCAGCTCTTCACAATTTCTGTTGCAGAATAAACACATGGTGTGTATGCAGTCATAGTTCATCATATTAATGCAGACTGTGATTCATATCTTTAAAATCTGTAAGATTTCAAGTTATATCTGGTTTTTATATATCACTGCACAGTGGTACCTCGGGTTAAGTACTTAATTCGTTCCGGAGGTCCGTACTTAACCTGAAACTGTTCTTAACCTGAAGCACCACTTTAGCTAATGGGGCCTCCTGCTGCTGCCGCGCCGCTGGAGCACGATTTCTGTTCTCATCCTGAAGCAAAGTTCTTAACCTGAAACACTATTTCTGGGTTAGCGGAGTCTGTAACCTGAAGCGTATGTAACCTGAAGCGTATGTAACCCGAGGTACCACTGTATAAAAAACCAGATTTATGCGTATGCACCCTTTTAGCATGGTGAAATCATAGAATCATAGAGTTGAAAGGGACCATGACGGTCATAGGTCAACCCCCTGCAATGCAGGAAGCTTTTGCCCAACATGGGGCTCAAAGCCATAACCCTAATATTAAGAGTCTCCAGCTCTACTGACATTTGCTATGTCAGTTTGGCGCATGCTGAAGCAGTTGTAGTAGTGCTTAGTCCACATCCAGTCATTGTAAGTGAGGCTTCTTTATTCTTTAGGACAGGGGCTGTGGTGAAACCTGTCCATCCAGATGCTGCTGTACTATAAATCCCATCATCCCTGACTATTGGCTCTGCCAGCTGGGGCTGAAGAAAGTGGGAATCCAACAATATCTGGAGGACCACAGCCATTCCTGCTTTAGGAACTGCTTCCTCTCTCTCTCTCTCTCTCTCTCTCTCTCTCTCTCTCTCTCTGTGTGTGTGTGTGATAGATAGAGAGAGAGGGAGGGAGGGAGAGAGAGAGAAACTTTCCCGGTAAATCAAGTGACAATGCTGAGTTTCTGGGCAAAAGTGACTTTTCTTTTACACGATACCATAATCATTGCTGTTGTGAGCGCAGGGTGTGCAGTTGCCCATTGACTAGTCCTCATGCCTTCATTAGTGATCTATTTCTATACTTCTTCTATTTTGTGTTTGGGGTACAGCAATCCAATGAGAGTTGAGGGGTACCAAAATGAAATAATAATAATAATAATAATAATAATAATAATAATAATAATACCATCTTACATATGCTGCTGATGGTGGAATGGATGCATGGTATGAAGGGAAAGGGGAAGGTTGATTGGCAGTTGTGGGTATAAATCTTAATACTAACAATAATAATAATAATAGCAGCTGGTGGCTAGACCTCATTAACTTTCTGTTAACGATCTGTGTCCCTGAGGCACTTGCTAATCAAGGCAGAAAGCAGACACAAACACAGATGAATTTTAAGCCATTCAGCTAGCTTCTCCTGCAGCATCTTGTAGCAGCAAGTCAGTTTTAAGCAGCTAATGAGTGGTCCACAATGCAACAAAGCTTAAGAATCTCTGGGGAAGGGCCATAGCACAGTGGGAGAACATCAGCTTTGCATGCAGAAGGTTCCAGGTTCAGTTCCCAGCACTTCCAGGTTGGGACGGTAGAAGCTCCTGACTGACAGCCTGGAGATGTGCTGTGAGTCAGTGTACACAGTAATGAGGTAGATGGACCAATGAGCTTCCTATGTTCCTAATTACTGACAACTAATTTTAGGGGATCAGTTGAGCATGCCTAGAATTACCACCCAAGGATCTGGTCCTTGGGACCATCACACCAAAGGAAGTGCCCTTGAAATCTGTATTTCAAATAAATATATTCAGGATTGAGGTGCAAAATTCACATAATCACCTGCTCTTTGTCCTTTTTACTGTGAGTTTTTACTCTGTCACTTGTCTGGGTGGATCAGGGTCCTTCCCTTTTTTTTGACCAAACCAAGCCTTCCATTGTTGCTGAAGAGGAATGTCTTCCCACAACTGCCTTATTCATCCAGTGTGTGATAAATCTCTTGAATGCAAGGGTTATGCCATGGAATGCAACTCTTCAACATATTTCCCCCTTTTATTTGATCCACTCCTCCATCTTCAACTTTTTTTTAATAAAAAAAATAATAAGTTCATGAATCATGGGAATCACTCAGCTGACAAAAATAAAAGGAATTGCTAAAGCTATGCACACACCAAAACACCCTTATCTCCACTGAGAAAATAGTCCCCCTCCTGCTGGTAAAACTGGTACAGCTAACATGTTGCACGACACATCTCACATTTGTACCTGATGATACGATCATATAAATAGTTTCTGAGCAGCTGTCATATTACACATAGCAGCTTCCTGTACCCATGGTTCAGTATGGGTTCATTCTGGGAAGTCCCGGAGAGAGCCACATACCTTCCCTGTCACGTGTTCCCCATCGACATCCTCCTTGGCCAATAATCTGGTGGCAGCATTCTGAACCAGTTGAACTTCCTGAGCTGTCTCCAAAAACGGCCCAGGGTAGATCATGGCACAATGGCTCAAGTGGTGGGCAACTAAGGTATGTGTAACTGTGGTCATACCCAATGTTTTCAAAAATGGGCACAGTTGGCATGCCAGCATGAACTGTGCAAAGGCTCTCTTGACCTGAGCACCACCAAAACCTGGGCATTCACATTAATGAAGTGAATATACATGGTTTTATATGATTTTATATGTGGTTTTATATTATTTTACTTTGCCTTGAGCATTAAAATTTTGTAATTGGTGTGGGTGTTTTTTTATATATATATACTGGTCATTGACCGTAATAAAACGACGACTACTACTACATTCAAGACTCAATCCAGGAGTACACCCAAATTGTGAAACTGAATTTTCAAAGGGAGTGTACCCTTATTCAAGACAGGTTGAACTCTTATTCCCTAATATGCCCATCTACTGACTAGGAACTCCACTGGCTTGTCTGCATTAAGTATTTTATTTATTTATTACATCTATATCTTCTAAGGAGCTCAAGGTGGTGTACATGGTTCTCCTCCTCTGTGTTTCCTCCTCAAAACAACCTGTGAGGTAGGTTAGGCTAAGAGATGGTGACGAGCCCAAGTGAGTTTCAGTTTGCTTGCCCCTTGCTAGCATCAGACCTGATCCAGTACTTGAGCATATTCCTTGGATTGAGATGGAAAGGAGAAAACAGAGTTGGGTGTCATTAGTATAATGAAGTCACTGAACCTCAAAACCCCAGGTGACCTCACACAGTGATTTCATGTGGGTGTTAAATAGCACGGGGGACATGCTGGAACTCAGAAGGGACAAAACTGACTTGGAATCATCAACATAGCACTCTTGGGTGCAACAGTGCCTTTGAGGAGGACTTCCCTGACACTCACAGTCTCTGAGCCACACTCATTGCCCCTTTTGTCATGAGAGGGTGAGAGTAGTAACTCACCCACCAAAAGGGACATAGAGCTGAAGGAGGAAGCTGCACAAGTGATGCTCTTTCACACTTCCCCCTTCATCTCTTGGAACTGGACCGCCTGAACTGAAAGAGGGTGAATAGGTAGCAAGGGAAAAAGGGGGATCAGAACCACAGAACCTATAAAGCCTTAAATGGCTCAGGACCCCAATACCTCAAGGACTGCCTCTTTTCGTATGAACTGACTCGGACCCTGCAATTGTCCAGAGGGTGGCAAAAAGAGAACAGGCCTTTTCTGTGGTGACTCCCATTTGTGGAATGCTCTCCCCAGGCAGGATCACCTCTTGGTTTTAATTTATCTCTGTGTCTTTTGGGTTGCCTTGGGCAAGATAAAACAATTAACAAATGTAATTAATAATAATAATAATCCTAAAGTAGCAAATAACCTAACCTGAACTAGGTGATGAGAAGTATCCAGGCTTCAGTAGTTTGTTCACAGTTCATCTCCTCCATTTTGTTATGTACCTCACCTTATTTAGTATAGTGAGAGAAACTGTAAAACAGAACATGAATGAATGGAAATAAAAACAAGCTTGACTAAATAGGGAGTTTCTTTCTCAGATGCTTTCCAAAATTAAATCCTAGAACTACTTTTCATTCTCTATTGGTTATTAAGCAGTTCCTTATTAGGTTATTAAGCAAGTCCTTCGTTTCAAACTGCTTTTTAAATCAGTAGCGAGTATATGATTTAGGTAACAATTTTATTCTTAAAGAAATCAATGGCATAAAACACATTAATGTCAATGGAGTAGGGTTGTTACACAAATAGCCTAAATTCAGAGCCGCCTCAAACAGGCTGTTCTGTGGTTTGCCTTTGCGACAATGGTGGTGAAGGAACAGGCAAGGCGTTCCTGCCAGTTTCACTGTACTTCGGGTCCAGGAAGAATTAAAATGACATGGGGATTTCCCATGTGAAGCCTCTCAAGCCCTCTTGCTGTCCATATGAATCCCGTGCCAAAGTGACATTCTTCCTGCAAATGGAGGGAGGAGGGAGGAGCAGCAGCTATTGGGAAACAAGGACAGACAAACACAGTTGGGTCACTGCTTCTGCTAACACTGCAGAGTCCACTCTCTCTATAAAAAGGCAAGGCTGCTGAGTCAAAAGCCTCACAGACGCCGTGGGAGCAGTCTGTGACAGACACCTCTGCAACACCTCTCTCAAAGCCTCCAGGAAGAAGACAACATGAAGCTTGCTCTCCAAGCTGCGCTGTTCACTGGGCTTCTGGGTAAGTGAATGCAGGCTTGCAGAAAGGGACAAGTCAAAGGCACTTCAAGGCTGCAAGGTGGAATTAGAGTCTGTGCTCAGACAATGGCAATCCTTTAAAAATCATGCTGCTTTAATTTCTGCCATTCCTTGCCTTTTAAGAAATAGGGTTGTAAGCCTTTCAAATATTTTCCTTATGGAAAACAACAAAGTCCTAGTTTGGGATGGCAGAAAGTCTCACTGGTTTGCAGCAGTTCCTGCCTTTTGTTGAGGTCTCAGTCCAGGAGCCCTGCTGAGCTGAATGCTTCTGCTATCTTCTGTCATGCCCTCACCATATATTGAAAGCGCATGGCTTCCCCCAAAGAGTCCTGGGAACTGGAGTTTGTTAAGGGTGCTGGGGATTATAGCTGTGTGAAAGGCAGGGCTTTTTTCAGCTGGAACTCATCAGAACTCAGTTCTGGCACCTCTCAGGTGGGCACCACTATCATTATAAGAAAACAAGGTAAGTTCATGGTGAGTTCTGGCACCTCTTTTTCTATGAAAAGTAACACTGATTAAAGGTAAACTACATTCCCCATGATCTTGGGTGAGAGGGAAGCCATGTAATTTCAATGTATAGTGTGGGTCTGAACTTTAAGTGATTAAGCTTCCATTTATGCACACAGTGAACTGTCAACCAGAATATCTTTCTTAGAGATTGAAACAGTGCTTAACTATAACTATATAGTTATGTAAGCTTAGGTACAGTGAACAGCAAGATAGGGTTTAAGGACTAATATTTGAGGTATGCAACTCTACCTTCTGGAAAGGGCACCAGTACCATTATTAATCCCATAATGGTGATGTGCTTTGACCAGGATAGGGAGGCAGAATTGCATATTCCTCTGTGAAACGGTTCAGAAACCCACATTTGCAAAGTGTATGTAGGATAAAGGGCATTTGTTGGGGGGATTTGGGGAGGACGGTATGGTGGTTAAATCCTCTTGTGCTTCCCCTTCCCCCACTATATTTCTTCCCAACTGTTTTCCAGCTGCAGAAAGATAGATGTAGAAACAGCTTGAGGGAGATGTGGTCAGGGAAAGAGTTTAACACCCTCCTCCTGGCAGCTGATTCCCTCCTGAAAATCTCCCCAAACTGGGAGCCCCATGTTTGCATGTAATCTATGTTTTCGTAACCGCACCATTGCATCTAAAGCACATCCAACACACATCTTCACCTCAAAGAATCCTGGGAGCTGTGGTTTCTTATTCACAAAGCTGCAATACCCAGCACCCTTAAGAGACCACTGCTCCCAGAATTCTTTCCCAGGATTCTCGGGGATTGAACATGGGGTGCCTTGTGTGCAGAGCAAGTGCCCTACCACTGAGCTATTGCCCTTCTTCTAATTAGGGCTAGACTCAAATCAACTGGAATTAAGCTACAATGAATAGGGCTGTGTTAATTGCATGAGTGCAATTAAAGCGTCTGGTGTTGGGAGGAAGCAACAGTTAGGATTGGTACTGTGGGGGGTAGGGATGGATGGATGTGTTCTTTACCCATTCACCTCCCATTATGTGCTCCCAATGAACCTCTCTCCCCAGCACATTACTTTCAGTACATAAGGGAATCTTCCCCTGGTGTTTAATATGTGTCCAGGTTTTGGTGGTAGCAGGATTTTATTCCTGAAGCACGAACATGTCTTGGGATGACTGCGTGCGAAAACACCCTACTAGAATAGTTAACCAACAAACTTAAATTAGCACAGGGTCAAGCAAAGGAGGATGCCTTCACCCCGTGTGGTTCCCTTTTATCACATACGCAGCTTATAGCTTCTTGAGCATGTGTGGCTGAGAGTGTGAAAGCAATCTCTCCAGACTCTTTCGATCTAGAATGTGATAGCTCTGGCTTGACTTGTGACAGCACAGCTGGCATTCATCACAGACTGAATAAAAATCTCAGCTACCATGGACTGAAATAATTCATTGCCTTTAAGTACTGCAACATCAGACTAAATGAAGAGCGTTGCGTTCCTCTAAACAGCAGAGTGTCTTGGGGCCAGTATGTGTCTGCTCAGTGTGATGCAGTGCAAGACCTGGAGTTAGGCTCTTGTGTGTAGGTTAAGCAACAGAGTTCTGATGGACAGAATCTGTAGAGATGCACTGAAAAACATGCAGCTTTGAGAAAATCTCATTTACATGGACAACAAGGAAACAGCAATTCAAGGATGTGTACCTTATGTAGGCATCTAGGAGCAGTTCCAGATCTTCAGGATTCTGTCTTGATAGTCAAGGTTAGTTTAATACAGCCTTCCACAATGTGGTACCTAACAGATGATATGGGCTACAGCTCCCATCATCCCTGACCAGTGGACATGTTGACTGGGCCTGATGAATATTGCAGTGCAAACCATCTGGTTGGGGAAGGTTGGTGAGCAAATCTTCTTACCCTGATCCTAGTATTAGACAATGGCACAGATGGGAAGAAAATCCCATACATCTGGGGAGGTGGACTTCAGACAAGGCAGCGTTATCATCATTCATGGCCCATGATATCACAACACTTCCCCTCCTTTATTTTCTTCACAGCATCGTGTTTTGCAACGTCCGGGGTAAGATGGTGTACAACATCAACGGCTGAGCAGAACAAGTGTCAAAGACTGCAGGAATGCTTAAGTACCTCCCAGCAACCTGCATCTTTCCCACAATTCAGCTGTGTGAAGAAGAGCAGTCCCCATGACTGCATCAGTGCCATTGCGGTAAGTGATTAGTGGAAGCTGGACCCAAACACCGGGGGAATTCGGTGTGCAAGACAAACCAAACTTTTGAGGGTGGGTCTGTCAACTCTGCAGAAAATGGTTTGTTTCAAAGATCCTAGTTCCCTGGTTAGGGTCAGAAGCAGGAGCTAGGAGCGGCCCATGAGACAGAACTGGGTGGTCTAGGGACAGATGTTGGAAAGTTCTGTCTGATCACAGAAGTGGCTGGCAGAATCCCTGGGGTCATGGAACCTGGGAGGAATCAATGGTAAAACAGTCTTTGCCTGTATACTCCCTTTTCAGACTCCAGTATGGGTTATTTGCCAGAAAATGGTTTTAGTGGTTAAAACAGTAATCACTTTATTATGGGGCCATAGATCCAAAGAGGTTAAAACAAAGCATTGTCCTGGAGGCAACCTAAAGCAAAATCCCAGGCAACTAGAACACTAAAGGAAGTCCCTTCTTGATCCCCTGGGCTAAATTATCAGTTTAAGATTGCTCTATACCTCCTTTCTGACTCTGGCACTGTGAAAAAAGAGAAGAGAGCTCAGTTAATTTGTGGGTCCATCCGTCACTGAGTGGTATAATAGTCTTTCTAGCTCCTTTCATTCCTGTCACTTCTTCCCATTTGTGTTTTCTTCTTCCCATTTGTCTACTCATGTGTTTTCAGGCCTCCGAGGCAGATGCTGTCAGCCTGGATGGTGGTCTCATTTATGATGCAGGCTTGGCCCCGTATAACTTGAAGCCGGTTGTATCTGAAGTTTATGGCACAAGTACAGGAGGTAAATTTCAACAGGGCTGATTTTGAGAATTCTGTTGTGCTCTGTGTTGTGGCAAGGCCCAAGCTGGGATAAGGGTTCAGGTGTTGCTGCAATATGCTGCTTTGCTTAAAGCCCAGCCTGCTTAAAGCCCACTCCCAGAGGAGTAGTTAAGCCCCAGATCTTCCTGGGCCTACTGCAACGGAGTCCTCTGAGTTAGAGGTTAGAGACCCATCAGGTCCATCTGAGAGTGCTTCTGGAGTAGGCCTTACATGCCCATGGAGTGTAGGCCTGGAGCCAGTGGCTTCAAGTTACAAGAAAGGAGAATCTGACTAAACACCAGGAAGAACTTTCTGACAGTAAGAGCTGTTCAACAGTGGAACGGACTCCCTTGGTTTGTGGTGGACTCTCCCAGATCTTATTCCATCGCTCTAACCACTACACCACACTGACTCTCTAGTGCTAGGAGTGGAAGAATCTGTCAGTTTGGGTTTCTTCCAGTTTTTCATTTTTCCATTATTAAATTCAGCTCTCCACATTTCTGCATCAGATTAGATATTTTTTTTAAGTCCTCATGAAAGTTCATCAAGCTTCTTGAGTGCATTTCTCCTAACATACAGATTTTTGTATGCAGTTTTGCTGAATTTGCAAGCCATATCCTGTAATAATACACTCTAGTGAGCTGTTCTTAAACTTAGTAGACAAGAGTCATTAGGAGAAGGTCTCCAGACTAGGGAAGAAGTAGGAAAGTTCTTCAGGAAGAACTTTCTGACAGTAAGAGCTGTTCAACGGACTCCCTCGGATTGTGTTCGTCTCTCCTTCCTTGGAGGTTTTTCAGCATAGGTTGGATGGTCATCTGTCATGGATGCTTTAGTTGCGATTCCTGCATTGCAGGGGGTTGAACCCTTCCAACTCTACAATTCTATTATTCTTCATTGCCGCACAGGTCACAATATGCCCTCTCTCTTTCTCCCTGCCAGGAGAATCTGTTACCAGTTACTACGCTGTGGCCGTTGTGAAGAAAAATACCGTTCAGTCACTTGCTGAGCTCCGAGGGAAGAAATCTTGCCACACTGGCTTGGGCAGATCTGCAGGCTGGGTTATGCCAGTGGGGCGGTTGTTGAATCTTGGTCTTATAGAATGGGCTGGAGCAGAAACAGAACCTATAGAAAAAGGTAAGAAGCAGAGTGATGAAAGCCACAAGATTGATGTGGATGGAGCGAGAACGGGCAGGAAGGTTCACCTGACCTTTGTTGAATAGATTACTTTCCAGCCACACAGAAGTCAGAGATTTCTTTCCATCCTCCATTCAGAGAAACAAGAGGTGTTATCATAGTTCAGAGACACATTCTAGCCAAGGAAAAGCACTCACAGGGTGCAGAGCAGGGCTGGTCAGGGTGGTGGTGGCCTGAGGAGTGTCCTGATAGAGAGGTTCCCCATCCCTGGTGTACACCCTCTGGGAATTTTGGCATTCTACCCTTTACTAAAGTGGAATGGTGACCCAGCACATGTTTTACATATAGCCACTCTTCATAGGTACCAGGTATAAAATCCAGGGTTAATGCAACACATTTTATTTACCCAAGTGGCTGCAGAGCATGATCTGAGAAGTGTGTCCTGGTATCCTGTGTATGTGTGTGCTTGTGTGAATTTGTGTGTGTGTGTGCGCGTGCATAAGAGAGAATGGAGGAGGCTAACTCCTGTTTTGTTTAGGCCACACCCACCTTTTGTTTTGGCACATGGCCCCCAGAAGGCAAGCTGAGACAGAATGTGGTCCTTGACTGAAAGAGGTTTTCCCAGCCCTACCTTGCCGATATAACATTGCAGAAGCTTCTGGGATGTCTATCACAAGTTGTATGCCTCTGCAGTTGCTGAAACAGCATATGGTCTGAGATTTGTTTTCTGGGACATCACAGAACAGGGTTGGAGAACCTTTAGCCCTCCAGATGTTGCTGAACTACAACTTCCCTCAGCCCAAGCAAGCATGGCCAATGGTCAGGGATGATGGGAGTTTAGCAGCATCTGGAAGGCCCAAGGTTCATCACCCCTGTCACAGAAACTCCTTGGACTTTGTGTTCCACCTGCTTTCTACCAAGAGGCGAGTGCTGTCCTTGACAATAATTGGCGTTCTAAGGCCATGACTGAGACGTTTGTGTGGCTGACCTATCCCTGATGCAAACTAATAGGTGAATGCTATTTAGAAGAAAGGACCTGCCAATGCCTTGCCTGTGTGGTCTTCTTTTACAGCTGTAGCCAAGTTTTTCTCAGGCTCCTGTGTCCCAGGTTGCAAAAATGAACCAAATCTGTGCCGCCTTTGTGCTGGAAAAGGTGATGAAAAATGCAGCCGGAACGACCCCTACGCTGGATATTCAGGGGCTTTCCAGTAAGTAACATGCATTTTCCATTTGGTTTCTTTTTTTGGGGGGGGGAGGTATCATAGCCCTAGGAAATTCAGGTGCTTCATAACCAAAATAGGAAAAGGAGGAGTTTGTTCTGAAAGGCAGAACACAATTTTTGAACACTGGAAACATGCAACCTGAGAGTCTTTCTGGACAATCAAAGGACTGATGGTACACTACCCATTTCCTTGAACAGCAAGAGATCCTAAGAGCATCGATACCTTCTTTTGGCAGAGATGGGTGTTTTTGTAATATTTGGTTTATTTAGAAACATACAAGTAGAGCTAGACATGTTTCTGTTGTGCAGTGGATTCTCTACCCTGCATCAGATGAGAGGCTGCCTATACACAGATGATGCCTTCAGCTTCCTGGAAACTCTGTTTTAAATGGTAGTTAGCAATTATGCCAGGGCTTCTTGTTCTTGTAGTTGTTGTTTCATGCTAGGCCCATGAAGGAGGGAGTGTTCTTCAGGACTATAGTACACGGGGATTTGAATTTTAACACTTTCTTCCCTAGCCATGATTTTGACAAAAATCAAAACCTCTGCAACATGTCTTTTAGGGTTAAAAACAAAACTTTACCCAGATGTACACTCCAGTGCAGGAGAGGTGGAACTCTACAAAGGAATAAAAACAATCCACTCTCCTAACAGTGAAAAACAAACCAGAATGTTTCCGAAACAGCTAGACATTGCTGCGGGTGGGCTAGCTTAGCTGCCATTTTCCACATAAGTAAAGACATTTTTTAATAATGAAGGAAAACAAAGTTTCACATAATGGTGCAAGCATGGACAGGAAATTATATCCAACAGATGTCAGGAACATTTTCAGAACATGTGACATTTATACTGTACTGCCATCACAATAGCAACATTGCTCTTCTGTGTGTGGATGCATCTGCAAGTCATTGCAGAAGTGCAGAAAGAGATGGAGATTATTTATTTTTGCACAATAAATGCACAAACGACTGAGTGTGTGGAAGTCTCCCAGTAGTTTCTGTGGCACACAACTATGTGGCAAGCATTAAAATGTCCTCAAAGTCTTGTATATTCTGGTTACCATGGGTAGCAAGAAACTGGTCTACATGGCAATGTAAAGTTCTACCATCAGGTTGTGGAAGAATGAATTTTTATTGTCAATTTCCACTGAGATAGTCATTTCAATCTGTTCCAGAAAACATGATAAAAAAAACTTGTGGCACCCTAAGAACTGCAGACTCATTGTGACATAAGCTTTTGATGAGTACGATTCCAGATCATAAAGCCCACAAAAGCTTAAATCATAATACATTTGTTAGCCTTTAAAGTACTACCTGACTCTTTGTTGTTTATATTATGAGTTTTTGCTATGATTTCTGTTTTGGAGCACTCAACTTGCAATGTCTGATTTCCTCTCTATTCCCTCACGATAAGTCTTTCCTTTCCGGAAGAAAGTTTTTCTGGAACTATCAAAGTCTCACCTTACCTATTCTTCCACACTCTTACTACTCATTTGCGCTTCAAGACCCCCAATCCACCCCTAGGAGAATAAAGACAAGGACACATAATTTAGGTTAATGGGCAAAATTTAGGCCACAACTTTATTGGTTACAGAATGTGAGTGGTATTGGCTTAGGCATTGGCATCAACAGACTATATCTGACTCCTGCCCGCCTTGCAGGAAGTCTGGAAGGGTAAACCACCAGTAGGGGGAGCCCTGCCAATGAGGATCAACTCGAGCCCCCCCGGGTTCCTGCTGGGGTCGTGGCATGGCCCTAGCCCCTCCACGGGCTTCGGGCAAGATCCACACCACCAGATTCCTTTAATAGAATACCCTTATGCATGGAGGGGCAGGTGATGGCTGCACCTCTCCTCCTCCCCACATTGCTATTCCAATGCCTAGCCACCAAACCTTACAAAGTTGTGATGATTGCTACGAGGTAGGCGAAAACCAAGTGGCTGGTGCCAATCTGCCAAGTGGAAAAAGTCCTACCAGGCCCCTCAACGGCGACCAACCGAAGTCCATAGCAAGGCCAGCGACCCTACCTAAAAGAGGGTGGGAGGGCAAGAGATCCGTGGTGCGAGGCTGAAAGAGGAGCTTCCAGAGTTTAAATTAGCACCGGCCACACCCCCACAGCGCCCTGATTGGCCGCCTGGCAAATGGCATGGCCGGGTCACCCTCAGTGTGACGCAGAACACTACCCCGCGCTACGCTGAGGCGGGTGGTGGCCCAAGCGCAACCCAGTCCCACTCAGAAGCGGAACCAATTTCTTGTGCTTGGTCATTCCTGAGACCACCCATGTTTTATCTATGTATTATGATTTTTAAGTTCTTTAGTTATGGACTGTATGACTTCTGTGTTCTGCTGGCACTGAAGAAAATAAAGAATAGTAGTTCGTATGCTCAGGATCTGTAATTCCTTTCTGCTTCTTTGAACACGCAGAAGGTTGGTGTAAGGACCCAAAAATTCAGTTGTTCTAATATTTCTTCCTCTGCTTGTTCTTCTAGATGTCTGAAAGACGGAGCTGGAGATGTGGCCTTTGTGAAAGACGCAACTGTACTAGGTAAGGACAGAGGGCAAGTTTAGCCCTTCACATGTTGTTAGACTCCAGCTCCCATCAGGCCCCTGCCATCACTGCCTGAAGGTCAGGGATGCTGGGGACTGTGGTCCACAAAACCTGGAAGGCACCACACTACTGCCCCAAAGTTCCTAGTAGAGCTCAACCCTCTGTGCAGACGGAATTCACATCTTTGAGTCAGTTTGTGTTGAGTTCCATGGACTGAGTTGGTTTTATGAAGGCTGACGATATGTGCAGAAACCTGTATGGTTCAGCTTTTCCCACACTGTAGCAAGTGCCAAAAAATGCACAACTTCATTTGTGAAAAGGTCATGCAATTAGGCTGTTCCAGCACCTGGTTGACTTCATTTATTATATCCTAAGATCAAACACCCTATATAGTACAGTAACCACTTGAGCATTCCTTGGAAGGAACATTGAAAGATCTGCCTTATGCTTAGCCAAACTACTGTTTCAGTGTTGTCTACACTGACTGCCGGTAGCTGTCCAGAGTTTCAGGAAGGATTCTGCCCCAGCCTTACCCAGAAATACTGGAGATTGAACCTGAAACCTTTTGCCTGCAAAACATGTACTCCACCGTTGAACTACAATGCTTTCCTGCAGGAAATTGTAACCACTGTAAACCTGGATGGACTCTCAGTATATACAGGTGGAATCAGTATCATGTAATTGTGGAGTTTCACCTTCATTGTTTTTCATTATTAGACATCACAAAACTCTTAATCTCAGATTTGTGGGTTCAAGCCTCACGTTGAGCAAAAGATTCCTGCATTGCAGGGGGTTGGACTTGATGGCCCTTGTGGTCCCTTCCATCTCTACCATTCTATGAGTCTATGGGCTTCTCATTTCTCGGCTTTGGTATTCTAGCATTTCAGGGTGGAACCTATCTTACATACCTGGCTTTAAATCTTGCTATCATTTTTCATAGCCCTCAGTGCAGAAGAAAGGAACCAGTATGAGCTGCTCTGTGATGATGGCAGTAGGAAGCCTATTGAAAAGTATAAGGAGTGTTCTCTGGCTAGAGTCCCTGCTCATGCTGTGGTAGCACGGAGTACCGACAGTCGGGCAGATGAGATCTGGACGGTCCTCTCCAAAGCAATGGTATGTATGTATGTATGTATGTATGTGTGTATGTATTTCATAAATTGTTTTCAATGACGTATCCCAAAGCAATTTACAATATAGTGGCCGCTTAAAAACAGCAACACACAGTTAAAACAACTGCACATAAGATTTGTAAGACCTATGGGGGACTTCCAAGCATGCAAGTTTGTAAATTAAGTAACGCACACACATAGAGTGATATTGAATGCTACTCCTACTCTCTATAGACCCACTGAAATGAATGGACAGGACTAACTTTAGTTCATTAATTGCAGTGGGTTGGACTTAGTTGACTACAACCCATAATAATGGAAACATACACAAACAAGCCTGCTTTAGGGCTTACGAAATGTTGAGGTCCTAGAAATCCAAAGTATATAGAGCAACTTGTCCCTGGCCCAGCTGCTTCAGGTCATGGTGGATGTGCTCCTGGAGACACCTAGTTTGGTTGTCCTAGGGGACTTTAACATCCATGCTGACATGACCTTACAAGGGGCCGCTCGGGACTTCGTGGAAAGCATGGCCTCCATGGGGCTGTCCCTGAATAAGTTTGGCCCAACTCATAGTCATGGACATGCCTTAGAGCTGATGTTTACCTCTATGGATGTGGGTGATCTGACAATAAAAGCGAAACAAAAAGAAGTGCCATGGTCGGATCACTCCCTGGTGCAACTGGACTTTTCTGTGACCCTTCCTCTCTGCAGGCAGGTAGGATCTATTCGGATGGTCTGCCCCCAGCACTTAATGTATCCAAATGGTTTTCAGAGAGTGGTAGGGAATATTTTATCCCATGTTGATGGCCTTTCAGCTGATCCCCTGCTGGCCCGCTGGAATGCGGAGTTAACCAGGGCTATCGACTGTCTGGCTCTGAAGCGCCCTCTCTAATTGCATGGAGCCTGGACAGCCCCGTAGTTTCCCCTGGAGCTGAGGGTGATAAAACAATCACTGAGAAGCTAGAGTGCAGGTGGCAGAAAACACATTCTGAATCAGACCAGACATAGGTTGGAGCTCAATGTCGAGCCTACCAAGTGGCAATAGCGACAGCGAAGAGGACTTTCTTTACTGCCTCTGTTGCATCTGCAGAAAACAGCAGTATGAGACTCTATCAGGTGGTTCACAATTTAACAGAACCACCTGCACCATCGGGGCCTGCTAAGGACGCCAAAATGAAGTTTTTTGCAGATAAAGTCGCTCAGATTCGGAAAGAGGTAGACTCTAATGTGGGAGCAGGGCTGGGGCGGGAAAGTGCTAGAGTCCTGTCTAGTCAAGTTGCATGGGATCAATTCCAATCTGTTACCTCCAAGGATGTGGACAGGCTGCTTGGACGCGTGAAACCAACCACCTGTCTCCTTGATCCTTGCCCATCCTGGCTAATAAAAGCGAGCCGGGAAGGGCTGGGTGATGGGCTCTGTGGGGTGGTGAATGCTTCCCTCTGTGAGGGAGCTTTCCCAGACCCGCTGAAGGAGGCAGTTATTAAACCGCTTCTTAAAAGAACATCTTTGGACCTGGCCAATATGGCCAGCTATCACCCAGTCTCAAATTTTCAATTCTTGGGCAAGATGATTGAGCAGGTGGTTGCTGAACAACTCTAGACACATCTGGAGGATGCGGACCATTTGAATCCCTTCCAGTTGGGATTCAGGCCTCACCATGGAACTGAAACTGCCTTGGTCGCGCTGGTTGATGATCTCCAACGGGCTAGGGACAAAGATGAAAGCTGTTTCCTAGTTCTGCTGGATCTCTCAGCGGCCTTTGATACCATCAACTATGACATCCTTCTGGACTGTCTAGAGGAGCTGGTAGCTGGGGGCACTGTTATACAGTGGTTCTGCTGCTTCCTCCTGGGTCATGTCCAGAAAGTGGTGTTGGGGGATGTGTGTTCAGACCGTCACTTGTGGGGTGCCTCAGGATTCCGTCCTCTCCTCCAGGCTTTTTAACATCTATATGAAGCCGCTGGGAGAGATCATCAGGCGGTTTGGGCTGGGTGTTCATCAGTATTCGGATACCCAGCTCTACCTCTCTATCAAATCAGAACCAGTGAAGGAGGTGAAGGTCTTGTGTGAGTGCCTGGAGGCAGTTGGAGGATGGATGGCGGCTAACAGATTGAGGTTGAATCCTGACAAGACAGAAGTACTGTTTTGGGGGGACAGGGGGCAACCAGGTGTGGAGGACACCCTGCTCCTGAACGGGGTAACTGTGCTCCTGAAAGACCAGGTGTGCAGCCTGGGAGTCATTTTGGACTCACAGCTGTCCATGGAGGTGCAGGTCAATTCTGTGTCCAAGGCAGCTGTTTACCAGCTCCATCTGGTATGCAGGCTGAGACCCTACCTGCCCGCAGACTGTCTTGCCAGAGTGGTGCATGCTCTAGTTATCTCCCGCTCGGATTACTGCAATGCACTCTGCATGGGGCTACCTTTGAAGATGACCCGGAAACTACAACTAATCCAGAATGCGGCAGCTAGACTGGTGACTGGGAGTGGCTGCTGAGACCATATAACACCAGTCCTTATAGACCTACGTTGGCTCCCAGTATGTTTCCAAGCACAATTCAAAGTGTTGGTGCTGACCTTTAAAGCCCTAAATGGCCTTGGCCCAGTATACCTGAAGGAGCTTCTCCATCCCCATCATTCAGCCTGGACACCGAGATCCAGCGCTGAGGGCCTTGTGGCGGTTCCCTCACTGCGAGAAGTGAGGTTACAAGGAACCAGGCAGAGGGCCTTCTCAGTAGTGGCGCCCACCCTGTGGAACGCCCTCCCATCAGATGTAAAGGAAATAAACAACTATCTGACTTTTAGAAGACATCTGAAGGCAGCCCTTTTTAGGGAAGTTTTTTAATGTTTGAAGTTTTGTTCTGCTTTTAGGCCTCTGTTGGGAGCCACCCAGAGTGGCTGGGGTAAAAATATGGGGTGGGGTAAAAATAAAACAACAACAACAACAACAACAACATTACAGTTCTGCATTTCTTCGTTGTTTCTTCATTAGACCCCCAAAAAGGAAGTGGAAGTCAGGTAGACTATGCAAGTCTAGCAGTTAAGTTGAGGGCAGGTGAACCAATGGAATGTTGAAGGTGTCCACTGGAAAATAAAAGGGATGGAGAGAGATGGAATTGACCTGCTTTTGGCGAGGTTGGCAGTGGTGAAGCATATACCATGAGTTTTCAAAACTCTTCTATGCACTCCATCTGACTTCATGTTTTCTTCTTACCTTTTCTCACTCTTCAATGAATATTTATTCTGCTATCTTAGGAGCTGGCTTCCCAGAACCCACAGTCTGGATGCAAACTTTTTGGTTCTCCTGAAGGTCCTACCAAAGACCTTCTATTCAAGGATTCTGCTGTCAGTCTTCTTCGTGTACCTGAGTTAATGGATTCTCAACTCTACCTGGGCTCCCAGTACTGTGGTGCTATTCGGGCCATCAGAAAAGGTATGCAGGAGATCAGCTGCCATGGACCATCAGTACACTGGTGGTACCCAACACTATTTCTCTGTATCATCTGGAACTGGGAATGGCTGAGAAGGCTCCAGACTGGTGTCTGGATGCAGTGGCAGGCTAGATTAGCTTAATAAACTGAGTCTGAATCCTGACAAGACAAAGGCTCTGTGGGTGAGTGGTTCTCAGATCTGGTAAGTTGAGACATTGCCTGTCCTGGATGGGATCAAATGCATTTTTTTGGGGGGGGTGTTCTTGGATCCAGCTCTGTCACTGGAGGTTCAGGTCCCCACAGTAGGTAGAAGTGGTAAGAGGTATCTCTGCTGGTATTCTCTACACTCCGGCAGATGTAACAGCACTGGCGCCAGTTAGGGTTGGACTTTGGGGCAGCTGTCCAGAGCCCCTTGATGAAGTCACCAGAACTTCCCTCTACCAGCACTTAATTTGCAGCATGATGAGGCATCAGAACTCCTGGCTAATTGAGTTTCTCCTTTCTGATCCTTTAGACAGACCTTCCCCTGATACCGAAGGGAGGATCAGGTGGTGCGCAGTGGGCAAGGCTGAACAAACAAAGTGCGACTCATGGAGTGGAGTGAGCGGAGGCTCCATAGAGTGTGCTGTGGCAGAAACTCCTGATGACTGCATCATCAAGATCTTAGTAAGTGCTTCGAGCGGCACACCCCTTTCCCTTGTACCTTGCCACTGTGAGTCCTCACTTGGGTTTCATTGCTTCCATCCAGTGTGGTTTTGCTTCTGAGGCTGTGTACACATCATGCATTTAAAGCATGTTTCCCCACATGCCCCAAGAATATTGGGAACTGTAGTTTTCTAAAAATTATTTATTAAATTTGTTAGTTGCTTTACAATAATTTGTTAGTTGCTTTACAAGCGACTTACAGCCAAATGAACGGACATACAATAAACCCCACATGGAGACATTAAAGCCAAGAGGAAAGAGAAATGCATTAAAAACATCCCGCCCATGTCTAAAAGGCCACAGGTAGTTAAATATAAATGAGATAGATAAGAAAAATCTCTCATAAATTAAAATATCTTCATATGAAGTGGGAAGTCCCACCCATTTGTTCTATAGCAGGGGTTGGCAAGGTTTACCTCACCTGGGCCAGTTCACTCCAGCGTGTGGGTTGGATCGTGTGCATGCGTGAGTGTGCACCCCCACCATTTCCGGCGTCTGTGCAGACGCAATTTCCGGCACCACAGAAGTGAGTCCCCACGCTGTGCCAATTTAGTGCAGTGCATGGGGACTCACTGAGTGGGCGGCTCGGTTCGGGGGCAGCTCGGGGGCTGGTTAAAGACCCCCGTGGGCCGCTTGTGGCCCGTGGGCCTTAGGTTGCCGACCCCTGTTCTATAGCACAGGGAAACCTCTTTGGTTATGCTGATCATTGTACTTAACTCACCAGCCAAAGTCATTACCTTAATAAAGGAACCAGTTTGGCAAGATTGCTCTTACACATTCTACCTCCACAGATGAATTGGAAGGGACTCAGGGAATCATGCAGAATGACCCCTGCCCACTCAGAACACTATCTTATCTTTGACCTATGAATCTCAGGGATATCCAATATAGTAAGCTCTGGGTGTTGTTGGACTACAACTCCCATGATCTCTTCCCATTTGCCATCCTGTCTGGGACTGATGGAGGTTGTAGTCTAGCATCTGGAGGGCATCTTATTGGGTACTGCACTATTCTATTTCCCCACCTCTGCTCCCAAGGAGCTCAAGTGTCATTTACTGCCTTCCCCTTCCTAAAGGGCTGTGAGAGTACTTTAAATGTTGGTGTGGACGATACCAACCGTGTGCATTCTGTGCTCAGACACATTGAAACGTTTGGAGGAAACTAGCTTCTGAGTCTTCCCCATTCTTTCTAGTCAGAGCTCACTAACCTGTGAGCAAGGCTGCAGCCAAAGAAGTTTTATATAGTGTTAATTTCACAATGTGTATTTATGTTCCAGCTTCCAGGCTCAGTGCCTGGAAGGCTGAGAGATCAATGTCAAGCTGCAAAATTTGAATTCAAATTACAAGATTTTAAACATGCTTCCTATTATGCAACATGGAGGTTGAATTTTAGAAAGGTCAGCCAATCTGGTGATCTCTAGATGTTTTAGACTATAGCTACCAGTATCTCCAGCCAGCATAGCTGGTAGTCCAAAATATATGGAAAGTATCAGGTTGAGGAAGGCTTTCATGGCACATGCATAACTACATGCAGGGCTACTGTTTTGTGGCTTAAGCCTTTTACAGGCTTAACAATTTGACTGGGAAAGTGCAAGCATAACAAAAAGAAGAGGATTTTCTCTAATACTGGTTATGTCCAGATTGTTACATTTGTATATGGATCTCTTACACATTTGAGTAGATACCCGTACAGTCATACCTTGGTTTTCAAACGCTTTGGGAGTCGAATGTTTTGGCTCCCAAACAATCGAAAACCGGCAGTGATCGTTCCAGATTTCGAACGTTCTTTGGAACCTGAATGTCGGATGTGAATTCTGCAGCTTCTGATTGGCTGCAGGAACTAACTGCAGCCAATCAGAAGCTGCGCCTTAGTTTCCGAATGTTTTGAAAGTTGAACGGACTTCCGGAATGGATTCTGTTCGACTTCTGAGGTACCACTGTAAGTGCTCTTTGCGCAATAAAAGCACACCTTCATAATCCCTCTCCAAAGAAAGCAGGTACATTGCAATAAATAGCAATGACTGAATAATGCCCCTGAGGAACAAATTTGCTTCAAACCCAATGCATGTTTTCTGATGCCCCCTTTCATGCATTGATGATGTTGTCTTGGCTATATCAAATATTTCACATGTGGAGAATGTGTTTGCTATTAGCATATCTGATGTTCTTTGCAGAAAGATGAGGCTGATGCCATAAGCTTGGACGGAGGGTTTGTCTACACTGCCGGGATGTGCGGTTTGGTGCCAGTGATGGCTGAAGTTTACTGTAAGTATGGAAAATGGCAATTTGACTCAGTACAGCCCACACTATCACAAGCACACATCTGGAAATAACTTCTGAAACACCTTCATTGCAGTTCTGCAAGGGGCCCAATGGGGATTTTGACCCACAGGCTCAAGGTTTTATACCAATTTTGCATTGTGTTTATTATACCTACCTATGGGCAAGCATAGGGATGTGGGTGGCGCTGTGGGTTAAACTACAGAGCCTAGGGCTTGCCAATCAGAAGGTTGGCAGTTTGAATCCCCACGACGGGGTGAGCTCCCATTGCTTGGTCCCTGCTCCTGCCAACCTAGCAGTTCGAAAGCACGTCAAAGTGCAAGTAGGTACTGCTCCAGCGGGAAGGTAAACGGCGTTTCCGTGCGCTGCTCTGGTTCGCCAGAAGCAGCTCAGTCATGCTGGCCACATGACCTGGAAGCTGTATGCCAGCTCCCTCGGCCAATAAAGCGAGATGAGCACTGCAACCCCAGAGTTGGTCACGACTGGATCTAATGGTCAGGGGTCCCTTTACCTTTATGGGCAAGCATATTGTCACTTCAGATGAGAGCACATCACTGTGAAGGTGTGCCAAGCAATGCTCTGCATGTGATTCACTTTTATTATAAGTTCTCAGGAAGCATCTGGTGTTTGTCCCTCAGGTCTGTGACCACAAATGGCTTTACTCCCATTGCTATTATGGCATTGCAAAAACTGGGTGGGTTTGGGGCGGTATTCAATTAGCGTGTCCCATCAGGATTTCTGTTTGCACAACAGAACTCCCCCTCATTTTCTTCCCCCCACTCACCACCAGACATACACCCTGCATCCTCCTCAGATTTGCCCCAAAGGTTTAAAGGGGGGAGGACAGGGGGAAGCAGAAATCCTTGTGCTGGCAGAATGACTTCATTAGTGCTACTTTGGATACAACTCTTTGTCTTGGAATATTGTGTCCAGAACCTCTTTCTCATTCTCTTTGTAGCTGACCCTGCCGCATGTGCCCATCCAGAAACAGAGACAACAGGTGGGTAACTCTGGGACATACAGCCATGGAGAGTAAACCTAGGATTTAAAGCTTTTGTTCATTTGTTAAATCTATATCTTACCCTTCCTCTCAAAAGAACCCAGGGCAGAAAACATGTGATTCAAAAAACAACAACCCAACACCTAAAAACATGGATAAAACTTTCTGTGCAATGTTTGTTTGAGAGAGAGACAGAGGGAGAGGGTCTAATATTATACTTCCATTTCAAGCTGTATTTATATAAATATAATTGTATATTCATTCATATTTGTTAAAAAGTGGGTAGACATAGCAGACAACGCAGCGATTTCTCCAAAGCAGCTCTTTATTTGTAAGCTGGAACAGAACTGAACATGTAAAGCTGTATGGTGAATAGGGTCAATTAATATGCTTATGTGCCTTACTGAAACCAATAAGGGTATTGCTGTATGTAATGGAACCCCTATGATTGTAACTAATGCCTTATCTCGGTGGGGAGGGGTGTTATGTATTGAAGTTCTCACCCTGGCCACCAAGAGTATTTATATAAATGTATTTGCCAGCTTTAAAACTCTTTCAAATCCATGAAGGGTGTAGGTAGAGACAGTGCCGATCGGAAGGTCGGCGGTTTGAATCTGTGCAATGGAGTGAGCTCCTGTTGCTGTGTCCCAGCTTCTGCCAACCTAGCAGTTTGCAAGCATACCAGTGCAAGTAGATAAATAGGTACTGCTGTGGCCAGAAGGTTAATGGTGTTTCTGTGCACTCTGGCACTCATCACAGTGTTGTGCCAGAAGCGGTTTAGTCATGCTGGCCACATGACCCGGAAAGCTCTCTTGGCTTGAAGTGAGATGAGCGCCGCACCCCATAGTTACCATTGACTGGACCAGGTCCAGGGGTCCTTTACCTTTACCTTTTTTTTACCTTATGTAGAGACAGCTCAAGCAGTGTCAAGGATGAGGGTCCTGCCCCCAGATGGTCAGATAGCTCAGAAGGGGAGGGGGAGCCAACAGAGGCAGGTGCCACCTCACCTCCTGAGAAGCCAGCCAAACCAGACCCACCCCTACCCCTGTCTCTTGGGAAAGAGTTTTCCCTGGTGGCTGAGCGGACCTGGCCAGGCTGGTGGTAGAGGGACAGTCAGAAGGTTGGACCACGTTGTTGCTGAAGACACATTGCTATCAATGCAGGCATGAGCAGAGCAGAGCCATTCTCTGCTCAGTCTTCTCACTTGGGACAGGAACCTCATTAGTGATGGAGCACACTCTGCTCCTTCATAAGTAGAGCAGGAGGGGTGCGTCAATTGTGTTGGGACAATGTTTTAGCTCCTTTTTTTATTACATTTATAACCCACCTCTCTCCCAAGGAGCTCAAAACTCAGGACATAACAGTGAGCTTACACAATTCTCCTTCTTGTCATTTAATCACGTCTGGTCATGCATCCTGGACTCTGCCAGTGTACCCATTGCGCCTTGTAACCTGAACCCTGAGTGAAGCAGAGATGCAGCTGATTTATTTAATAAAACTTTCAGGATTTCCTGAGCCGAGAGTCTGGGTTTTTCATCTGAAAGTGGGAGCCAGGACAGAGAACCCAGTTTTCAAACTGATCTATGAGCAAAGAATCCTTTTGACTTATGCCTATTTTCCAAATAAGGACACAACAATAGAGAGGTAGTCAAGACCCTACCCACTCATTCATTCAGCATGTGAGAGAATTACAAGCTTTAATGGGCCAACTTGGCTCCCTCCCTCCATTAATTAGGGTCTCATTTGATTTGAGGTCTTATTTGAGATTTTTCTCCCCCTTTTCCTTTCCTGTCTCCAGTAAAGGGCTACACTGCTGTTGCTGTTGTCAAGAAAACTGATACTGAATTAAACTGGAAGACACTGAGAGGAAAGAAATCCTGCCATACTGGTGTTGATAGGACTGCTGGCTATAACATCCCCATGGGCTTGCTTTACCAGGAGAACATTGGAAACTTCAATATTAGTGAGTGACCTCATGTTCACTTATTTAACTACTTTGCACATGACTCCCCTTCGGAGCCAAATGTGGTTAAGTGGTATACAACCTGTTTAAATATGTAAACAAGCCATCTCACCCTATACATTATGTGTCAGAAACCTGGTGCCTCCTTTCCAAAGCCTGGGAAGCTTCTGCCCGGCTTAGGGAGGGAGGTGCGATGCTCACATGTGTGACATCACCCCCACCCCATAACCTTTGCAAGCTCACACTTCTGGCCCTAACTGTTCCCCTACGAAAAAATTCACTGCATGCCACTGTTTGGCGCTGCTGTTGTCTTTTTAAAAGGGCAGGGCTTTACATGGCAGAACACCCCAACCAGCAAGGTTGGAGGAGCTGGGAAGGACTAGGAGATAGACACTTCCACTCGCTCCAACCTCACTATTTCCTGCAGCACAGTTAGCCAGTGCTTTGCATTGTTCTGTCCAGCCCAGCACTTTCCTGGCTATTTTGTTTTAGTTGCAGTAAAATATAGCACTGTAAGCGCAACACTGCTATAATACTATTTAATAAAAAATGTTTCCCAACACTTTCCACGTTGCTGAAATGTGTGGTTGTGCACCTTGTGATATCTGGCCAGGATAGAGTGCTGAGAATCTGCCATTCCAGTCGCCTGCTTAAGAATGGCTGAGTACAAATGTATGACACTGCCTTTTGGAGAATACCCTTGGATTGGCTGGCAATGTTTCGTTAATCTATGGTGGTAATCCAGATGGCTGATAAACCATCAGATGGTGGGGAAGATGCTGGATCCTGACACAGTCATGCTTAGAGCAGACTCATTGAAATCATGGTTGACTTAGATAGTACCTTGATTTCAGTGAATCTACTCTAAATGACTACATTTGGATGCAACCAGAATATTTTTGGGATGGGTGGGATACTTTTAAAGTAAGATAGCTAGCACAAGACTGAATTTTTAAGAAGATGGTGGGGGGAATCCGTTTTCCTCTATTCTATTGGGCATTCCAAATAACAATCCTTTTTTGTGTGCAAATATTTCACTGCAAATATGATATGTGGCCATCTTACAAGAACAGATACAGAAGAATTCCAAGTGACTATTCCATGTTCTACTGTCAGGTACATTCTTCAGCGAAGGCTGTGCTCCAGGATCACCACCTAGCAGTCCACTCTGCAAGCTGTGCAAGGGCACTGGCACTGGAGGAGCACTCGCTGACAAACACAAGTGCAAAGCTAACAGCAACGAGATATACTTCGGCTACAGTGGTGCTTTCCGGTAGGTAACTTGGATATTAAAAACAAACTCTTATTCAGGAGATGATAGAGGAATGAGAGGACCTCTGGATGGTTAAGTCCAGTAAAAGGTGACTATGGGGTTGCAGCACTCAACTCGCTTTCAGGCCAAGGGAGCTGGCGTTTGTTCACAGACAGCTTTCCTGGTCATGTGGCTAGCATGACTAAACTGCTTTTGGATCAACAGAATACCGTGACAGAAACCAGAGCACACGGAAACGCTGTTTACCTTCCCGCTGCAGCAGTACCTATTTATCTACTTGCACCGGTGTGCTTTTGAACTGCAAAGTTGACAGGAGCTGGGAATGTATTCGTTATTGAAAGTGGCATATACAGTGCATTATATTAGGGGAAATGGCTTGGAAAAATGTGTGCATTAGTAAAAATTCACACTAAAATGTGGGTGTATTTTCATGGGGACTTAAAAAATAATAATCACAAACTTAAGTTCCCTCCTCCACATTTCCATTCTCCACGTAAGACTAGAAAAATGAGAAACTGAAAGTGACGTTGACAGATTCACCCATCCCTACAGATTTACTATATTATATAATCATAGGAGTTGGAAGGCACACAAAGGCCACCCACGCCAATCCCAATCCCACAACCAAGCCATGGAACCCAGTCCAAATACCATGAACAAAGATACCTTAGAGGTCAGAGCAAAAGAGCTCTAGATGACTCTTGAGAGTGAATCCATCAGCACACCACAGACAACTCATCTCTTCACAACAGCAAACCAATCTGATCTGGAGAGGGAGAAAGTATTCCTGGTCTCCCAAAATAGTAGACTCTGAGCATGAACCAAAATTGTACCCATGAGTTTTTCAAAGAGAAATCTTAAACAGCTGCAGCAACGAGCCATTCAGTATTTTGTGTCTATTAGTCCATCAGATGCCTCCTCAGGCCCAGTATCCTCCTCCTATTAGTTATTATTATTATCAGTGCTTTTTTCCCCTTAAAAAATGTTTAGGGGGACTCTTATTTTGACTCAAGAAAATCACCATTTTATAGTTCAAATCAGGAAAAATAAATACAGTAAATGGACAAAAGTACAAAGAGTCACAAAATGTTTAGGGGTATGCATCCCCCTGCGTCCACCCAGAAAAAAAGCACTGATTGTTGTTGTTGTTGTTGTTGTTAAAGAACATTTTCATGAATTCCCAGGATTCATAATCCTATGCAGGATATAAGCCTTGTTGGTATTAATTTTAAAATTGGCAGGGCAAAGCTCTGCTTAGGATCCCCCCTTTATCTCAGGTATGTGGAGCCTAGAAGCAATCACTTTGTGGGTACTGAATTGCAAACTACAAGCTCACATATTCCATGTCAAAACCTGGATATTGAAAGCAAGTTTCAAACTAAGATGTTTTGACTTCTGTCTCAAAGGAGATCACTGCTCCACCTAGTGGGTGGAACAAATCAGCACAAATAACATTTCCCCCACTTCAAGTAAAGAATATTAATCTGTACTTTTGACATGGCTATTAAATATACATCCAGGTAAATAGCAAAAAAATAAATAAAAATAAAATCTGGTTGCCAGCATATTGCTGTGATTTCAACATTACACTGAATTGGCCACAACTCTTCAGTTCACAGCATCTCATCAAATTATCATCTGTGATTAATTGCATCTTTCACTTCTCACTATAAATTCTGAATCCATTTCAACATAAGTGAAAATATTCAAATTCATTTCAGCAGTCTGATTCGAAGGAATTGACAAATGCCACACCAACATTTTTCTTTTAATTGTATTTTCTAGGTGTTTGATTGAGGCAGGAGATGTAGCCTTTGTTAAACACACCACAGTCCAGGAGAACACAGAAGGTATGTGGAAGGTTCATGCCAGGCCTAAGCAGGATGCGCAAGGAGCCATACTCCTGTGGATTAACCTAACACAAATTTCACGAAGTGGCCACAGGTTTTATAGAGAAATGGATGTCTATTTCCCCCATCACTACATGCCCATAAACGTCCCCTGCTCACAAGGGGGATCCAAGCAGAATAGCATCTAAACAGCAAGTCAGTTAGCAAGTCCATTGAAAAGAAGGGGAAATTCTGCATGAGTTACGCTGAGGATGGCTAACTGCTGGCTCATGGAAATGTGGAACCTGAAGCAATTTAATTTGGCCCCTGATGGCTAAACTGTATTCAAATTGAAAGGAACAAAGTCCTCATTTGGAGGTTAAATTTATATGTAATATTATGCTGAGCCAAAGTTCACTATGATTGTGAATACTTACTGCTAGATGGAAACATCTTTTTTTTTTATTAGAGTGCCAACCACTTCCAGAATGGTAATGCCAGTCCTAACAGAAGGCTAAGCCAAAGTGTACAGTAGGTTATGTTCTAGCCAGGCAAAAGCACTTGATGGTGCAGAGAAAGGCATGGCCTGTAAAGAGTCCCAAGGGCTAGACAGAGGTTGCTGGGACTTGGTCTTTGGACTGGAAGTTCCATACGCATACCCTCCCTATTCAGTCATTGTCCTCCACCCAAGCACTCCACAAAAGAGAGAGTGTGGCTGTTCTTGTTGGCTCAGCCCCTGACAACTCATGGTCTGCCACCTTTGCACGATTGACACCTGTGAATTTACATGATTGCCTGCAGAGAGAAGCTTTGCACATACTGTTGTATTATATGGTGGCTTGCATGAGACTGGGGACCCTGCATGATCCGAGCTCCCAGTTACAAGGAAGCCTGCATATTGCAACAAACAAGGGCAATGACAGCTGTTGGATGCTCTCCTCCTCCTCCTCCTTTTTACAAAATTTCTTTGCATACAATAAACTAAACTCTGCTTTTACAAGCTGTAAAGAAAAGGGGGGAAAGGAGCAGGTAAACTCAGTTGCTTTCACTTGTCACAATTCTCATGGAAGTTACATAAAAATATATCCCCTTAGGCTGTGCCACTGCTAAACCATTCCTCTTAAAGAAGCAAGTTCCAGTACTACATGCAGATACCAAAATATATAAAGTCTTCTTCCCCTGTGTAGACATTTGCATCCACCTGTAGGTGTTGGTGGGGTATGTAACATCAGGGACAGGGTCACCTGGTGAGTGCTCACTTGACAGATCCCTGAACAGAACAATAAAAGCTTTATAATCTTTAACATTATTTTTTCCTCCCAGGAGAAAACAAACCTGCTTGGGTACAGAACAAGATGGCTGCCGATTTTGAACTTCTGAGACCTAATGGCGATCGCTGTCCAGTTAATGACTATGTAAGATGTGGTCTGGCCACAGTTCCTACTCATGGAGTAGTTGCAGCACCTGGGAAAGCAGAGGCTGTCCGTCGTGTGTTACTTGACCAACAGGTGAGGTTTTTTTTGTTGTTTTTTTAAGGGGACTTCCCAGATCACAACTCACAATAAATCTGTTGGCTTGTGATAGCTTTTAAAAATAGTATGTAAATAAATCACACCACTTCTGTAGAGGTAGCCACAGTTGGACAAAATTCTTTGTACAAAAGACACCCAGAAGCAATCAAGGGAAGTGTAGGAACAGTTTAATCATTAAGGAGCGCTCAGTAGGAAGAGAACAACTGTGAAATGTTTGACGCACCATTTGGATGGCATGTGATCACCACAACCTTTTACCAAAAAGTGGGTGACCAAAACTTTAACATGACAGCTAACTGAATCCTGCTTTTCTTCCTTAATTACAGGTTTTTTTTGGAAACAGTGGATCAAGAAAAGGGGATTTCCAAATGTTCCAATCTGAAACCAAAGATAGCTTGTTCAAAGATGGCACTCAGTGCTTAGTTAGCACAAAAGAAAAGACCGCCGCTGCTTATCTTGGCGAGCAATATCTGACTGCTATTGGTGGATTCAAGAAATTCGCACCTTCAGGTATCAATTATACACTGGGATGAATGACACCAGTCAGCTTCAGGCAAAAACTGGATTTCAGTTGCAGTCTAGACAGTACTCTCTTATAGTTGAAGAGGAAGCATTATATTTTTCCTCATCAAGGCTTTCCAGATGTTGTTGGAATACAAATCCCATCAGTCCCACCAACATGATCAATGGTCAGGGATGCTGGGAGCTATGGTCCAGCAACATCTGAAGGACCACAGGTTTCACGCCTCTGTTCTGCATCTTTTTTTTTAAAAGCAGCCTTCCCTGATTTGGTGCCCTCCAGAAGGTTTGGACTATAGCTCCTATCATTTCTGACCATCAGTCATGCCGTCTGGGACACTTGAGAGTTGCAGTCCAGAACATCTGGATGGTACCAGGTTGGGGGAGTCTAGTTTAAAGGGCATTTTAAGTGAGTGGCAAAAAGTAAATATCAGTAAGGACCAATGCTACATGACCTTTTCAAAAGGCAGTTTCATAAACTATAAGTTGTCGTCCCTCCCCCCCACACTTTTGGCTTGTGCACTTTTGTTGTGAATTTTTAAACATGTGTGCTCCACTATATTCTATAACAATTTTGCAAAGCAGATGTAGTTTTTTCAGTCCTATAGAAGTTATGCAATCATCCTGTTCCCAATATTCTGGATAGGAAAACTGAATGAAATATAATGTTATTAGCTAGCTACACTGTTCATGCTCCCTTTCCTTCATTAGTCTGCACAAAACAGACCTTTGAGAGAGTCCATACCCATATTCAAGATGTGATATTACCCGAGGCCTAAGTCTTAGACAAATTTCCATGAGAGTAAAATGGTTTCAAGGGCATTACGAAACATTGCCAGAGTTTGTCTGTTTTGGTGTGCTGATCTTAAACTTTCCTTTTTATTTCTCTTCTCTTCTTTCTGTTTTTATGTTACAGAACTCCTTAAGGTCTGCAACTTCCACCATCATGATGTCTAATGTGATGAAAAGCAGCTCCTTGTAATGAATGAATAGCATTGGAAGCACCATTCTTTCTTGCCTTAACTTGGGGATCTGTCCAACTGTTTCTTTTCTCCTTAACATCACAACAAAGTGTGTCCAAGCTTCTCTTTGTATGGCTTTTTAACTCCTTGGTGTCACTAGTGCAAATAAATAAATAAAAGTAACTCTCACAAGCTAATTCATCCTGTTGGCTATGATTACTGATTCCTTTAGGGCAGGGGTAGGGAACCTACAGCCTGCCAGTCACAATGTCCATTTTTCAAATCTACCAGCTACGGTGGCTGCGGCTGAAGTATATTGGAAGGCCACACATTCTCCACCCCTAAGAACATAAGAAGACCCACTGTAATAAATTATTTTTCCTCTTATATTCCATCAGGGAATTGCTGTTGTTGATTTGCTTTTAATTGGTTTGGGAGTTGCTCCAGATTGGTTTCGACTCAGGCCAATAAAGATTCAGCACTACACCAGCATACAGGAATAGGTTCGTTTCTAGTTCGCATGGAACAATTTATAGATGGTTTATATTACAACGCTGATTTGCAAAGTTGGAAGAAGCAAAGCAAAGAGTTCCTATTTGTCTTGTCTCTCAGAGTTACCTACCTCAACCCTGGGCCTGTTAATTCCTGCAAGAAAACAGTTCATGTACTCGAGCAATGCTTTGGGAGATGGGCTCTACAAAGCCAAGAGGATGGTGCTTGTGTGTGGAGTTTGTGCTGCCAAAATAGAGCCCACACAGTACAGCTACTGCACTTGTTTACAAATCACCTACTACCAAGCGATACACCTATACAGGTTACCAAGCCAAGGCAGATCATCCTTACACAAGCTCCAACTGTGTCACAAGCACTAAGCAAGAACTAAAAGCATGTGGCTCAAGAAAGTAAGTCAACCTGCATAACAAACCAAGCCATGTAAAGGCAGCACATTATCAGAGCTGGGCTAGCTAAAGAAGGATATTGGGGGGGGGGGGGAGAGACTTGTAGGGATATAGGAAGCTGCCTTATCCCAGTATGACCATTTAATCTGGCTCGGTATTGTCTGGTCTGACTGGAAGTGGCTTTCCAGGGTTTCAGCCCCCACCTCTTAGGGTTCATCCATGCTTCTCCCTGTGCCATGCCTAGAAAGCTGTTCTTTGCCTGACCCACACTTTCTGGGTATGGTTCCGAGCAGTTTTCTCCTTGCCCTGCTCCTTTCCAAGGGAAAACCTGCTCTTTAGCAACAGACCAGAACAAATGTCCACTGGGAAATTTCTGTATTGCTGTTTGCTCTAATTGAGCCCTAAAGAACGGTTTACCCCAGGGGAAAGCAGCAAGAGAAGAGGAAGTGTGCCTGGATAATATGCCTAACGTTTCTGTTGCTCTAAGGATCCTTCTGACACTTCCAGTGGCAAGTGGTAAACATATTTTCTCAAAGTTCAAACTTACAAAAACTTATATATGTTCAACATTGTTGCAAAAAGGGACGAGTTGGCTTGGCAACTATATTAACTGAACATGCCCAGGCATTAGCAGTTGATCTGAAGGAACTGGTGATAAAATTTGCAAAGGAAAAGGCATGCAAAGTGAGATTTTGATGTGCCTTAAATTGAAACTTTAAAGAGTCTTAAATTGCAACATCACTATTCACAAGATTATTCAGACTGATCTGTGTGCTAAAACATTTGAGAAAGATATATGTATTACTTATTCTTGCAATTTAAGAAAAAAATAGCAGTTTTGAGTTCTGCGCTTTTCATTTTTTTCCTACAAGATATCTGTTTTTGAAAACAGAAGTTAGCAATCGCTGTTGGTGTTGGTGGGGATTTGCAAGTAGTTAGCCTTGCCTGAGGTACAAAATAGCCTGGAACCAGCACTACACTGAGGAAATATGCCCTGCGCTTACTGAGATATTGAAGTCCAGCAGTTTCACACTGGAAATTTCACACTCTCTTGGTTTTCAGTTGAATAACGTTCCCTTTCGGGTCAACAGCAAGGCGCCCTCCCCAAATACTAACCCTCTCTTGCCAATTTCATTCCCTTTTTGCCATGGGTGTAGGAAGGACTTTTTGGGGTAAAGGCAGGCTTTTGGTTTGGGGGGGTCAGAACCTCATATTTGTATTGATTTACAGTGGGGGGGGAGGCAACTGCAACCCCTTCACCCCCACTTGGCTACGACCATGCTTTTTGCTGGCTTTACATCTGCCCACTAGGGATAAGTGGGTCCTGTTGTCTAGCCCCCAAAGCTCATGCTTACAATAACACCCGATGGCACTTAACCAGGGCCGGATTTAGGTTTGAAGAGGCCCTAAGCTACTGAAGGTAATGGGGCCCTTTATATGTCCAGCTGTCCTTTGTCAACAACAAATTGTCGCTGTTTTTTGTGTTGAATATATGCTATATGGTAATTTATGGACCTAATAGGTATCTAAAGTCATTTGCACATGTTGCCATGCAACCAGTCCATGCAGAATGTAGGCTCCCTATATATAGAAATGAGCAAACCAGAGATATTTTAGGGAGCAGGCTAGCAGGCAGGGCCCATTACTTACACCATAGGAGCCTACACAACACAAAACACTGTTGCTGTATGTAGGTTTTATTTTATTTTTTATCTTATATTTTGGAAATGTACATCGTTTTTTCCCCCTTTAATTTTTTGGGGGGCCCCTAAGAGAGCGGGGCCCTAAGCTATAGCTTGTTTAGCTTATACGTATATCCGGCACTGCGGCTTAACGTGCAACGATATCCTTTTGGGGGTCTACGGACCCGCCTCCTCCAACGCTACCCTCTTCCCTTCGCCTGTAGAACGAGCCGTGTTAGAGTGTGCGCGCGCTGGGGCTGGGGGGCAACAAACTACAACTCCCATGAAGCACCTGGGCCACGGAAGCGCGCGTCCCAGCAGTCGCTGCGCGCGGTGGCCGGAAGGAGACGAGTCCCAGGAAAGACACGTCGTCGTCGCGGCGCCGCGCGTAGCTCCGTGAGTGGCGAGTGCGGTTGGAGATGGACGCGGTGGAGGTGACAGCCGCGCGCGAAGGGTCGCCTTCTCCTCAGGATGCTCCGCTGCCGCCCCAGGACTTGGCGAGGGCCCAGCTGCTGGTCTCGGTGGCCGTGGCCCTGCTCGTGCTCCTCGCCTCGTGTCTCCGTGAGTGCCGGCCTCCTTTAGGTGGCAGGGGAGGCGAGCGCCACTGCCTGCGGGGGGAAGAGCTGCCTGCTCGCAGAGCTCACGCCACCGCCCAGTCAGGCTCTGTGCCTTTAAGAGCCGCGTGGCAGGCAGAAGTTAGTCAGGTGTAGCTTTCCGCATGGCTGCAGCTTCACGCTGGGAAAAGGCGCCTGCTGAGGAGCTGCCTGTCCTGCAGTTCTTACTAAAGACACCGAGCCTCTTAGGGATCCGAGATCGTCTTCTTTCGTAGGAATTGCGCCTGCTCCGTAAGAAGACTCTTAACGCAGAATGCAGTGGTTCTTATTTCCAAAGAACTGCAGTTCATTTGCATGTTATATAACCGAAATTTAAAAGTCTGGACTGGAGTTGTAACATTTAGTGTCACAGTTATTATTAGCTGGCATTTCTGCCGTGTTTTAGTGTGTTCTAAAGGCTCTACGGCATTGCGTTCCTGTAGGCCTTACTTAACAACAATCCCGTCAAGGGGGTTAATATTATTATTATCCTCATGTTGCTAAAGTGGGACTGAAGATGTGTGACACAGGTGGGCTGTGACTTGCATAAGCCCCCAGGGAGGGTTCATAGCAGAGGCAAGTTTCAAACTGGGGGTTGTTAGTGTGCCCTTTCTTGCCATGCCAGATAGAGGAGGAGGAGTTGGGCAGGGGTGTGTGTGTGGCTTTTATAAAATTTTGTACGTTCTCACGGGGCTTATACTGGTTGGAAGTTTAATGCAAATGTTTACAATAAGTAAGTTAGTTAAGCAGGGCAATTACCATCCTGGAGCTGGGACAGCAATCAGGCCTGATGTCAATGAGTGACAGCTGTGGGGCTAGTAGGTGATCCACTAGATCTCAAGCTGCCTTATGGTAGGATGACTGAATTCTGTGGCAGCAGAGTGGCCCTGGTATCACCCTCCACATAGAGGCCAGTAAGGCAAAATCCAAGGCGCCTCAAGCCTGGTGCAATTGGTGGTGGTGGGGGTTGGGTTGTAGTTGTAGTCCCTCTCCCTTTCAGCTCCCCTTCAGCTGGTCCCAACCAGGGCACATGTGCTGTGATCATCTTTAATGTGCTATGCCTGAAATCACATCCTTTATAAATCAGACGATAATGAATTTGCCCATGTTTTCTGTCATGATAAATCAGGTGCATCTTTGCTATATTGTATACTACTAAGGTTGTAGTGTAAACACAGTTACCAGACAGTAGGCCCCATTGAACATAGTGGGGCTTACTTTTGAGTAAAACTATAGAAGCTGGGCTGCTACAAAGAAAGATGGTAGAAATAGATAAAGGCAAACTTTACTGTGAGGTGTAATGTTATTTGTGTGGATGTATAAATGTGTTTGGCTGTTCTGAGAAATGAATTTCCTATGTCGGATATAGGAGAAATGTATACATCATTATGACCCCAAAATGTTTGCATCCTTTTTGTACAAAACTTAAAGCAGCATTAAGACTTAATTGGAGGAGGCATGGATTAAATAGCTTGTTTTAATGGTAGAAAATTAAGTTGCCTTGGGTATAAGCCTAAATACACTCCTCTAAGTTTTATCCTTCTTTCTAGTGATTTGGATATTTGTGCGGACCAGAAAGAGCAGCCGGAGAGCAGTGCTTCTGGTGGGTCTGTGTGACTCAGGGAAAACTCTTCTGTTTGTTAGGGTATGTGAATTCCTGTTTCAGTTTCTTTTGGACAGTTTCTCAGACCTATACAGTGTTGTCATGTTCCCGTTCTTTTTAATAAAGGAGAACTCCTTAGGTTGTTCCCTCTTGTTTTCAAAGCTGTCTGAGATGTAAGGTATGAAAAAATTAAATGTTTTCTGATTAAGTTTTTTGGCACTTCATTTTGTAAGGTAAAGTAGAAGCATGGAGTACTAACTTACACTGTTAAATTAGTTGTTAATGTAGCTCAGTAAGGTAAAGGGACCCCTGACCATTAGGTCCAGTCGCGGACGACTCTGGGGTTGCAGCGCTCATCTCGCTTTACTGGCTGAGGGAGCCGGCGTTTGTCTGCAGACAGCTTCCGGGTCATGTGGCCAGCATGACTAAGCCGCTTCTGGCCGTTTACCTTCCCGCCAGAGCGGTACCTATTTATCTACTTGCACTATGATGTGCTTTCGAATTGCTAGGTTGGCAGGAGCAGGGACTGAGCAACAGGAGCTCACCCCATCATGGGGATTCGAACTGCCAACCTTCTGATCGGTAAGCCCTAGGCTCAGTGGTTTAGAGCACAGCACCACCCGCGTCCCGTAGCTCAGTAGTAGGCAGCATATATGAGATGCAGATATATTTGTAAAAAAATGTTTTGTCAAAGGTATCAGGGTATTTGTCAGGGTATCTACTGATATATTCTGTTTCAGATTAGTTTTGTTGGATTAAATGGTTAGATTAAGATTCAAGGGACTATTTTTTTTAAAAAATAAATAAATGGCTCTTTCCAACTTTCTTTCTTTTTTTTAAATGATATTTATTGAAAATTTTTTAACAATTACAAGAAAAAGACAAAACAGAAAAAGAAAAAGAAAAAAACCCCATCATTCTCAAATTCTCCACTTTCATTACCTTCTTTCTTTGACCACCTCCTCCTCCCTTTTCTTGTATCCTAATTAATAATTTTCGCAGCAAATCCTTTCCATAATTCATAGTATTCTGTCGTTACATTACCTTAATCTATTTTCATCTTATCTTATAGAAAACCTTAAAGCTTAAAACTTAAATCTTATTTTTACCAACTTCTCATAACCATAACATTCTTACCTAATTCTTTAAACATTTTTACAAGAGCCAAGTAATTTCATTTCAACATTTTTCTAACATTCATCAATTTTATAAAACAATCCTAATGGTAAAAAAAGAAATAAGAACAATCCAATCTTCATCCAGCGTCCCTTCCTCCTGGTCCCGGGTTTTGTCAGTCCTTTTTATCCCATTGATCTAGCACATTAACCTGGTGATCTTATATCCGAGGCCCTCAAGTCTCTTCCATGTCCCTTCCACAGCTCTTCTTCATATTTTCCTTTCACTCGTGGGAACTCCAGCTTGGTAATGTTTTTGACCCTTTTCAACAAATCAGCCCCTTTTCCATAGTCCAGACTAAACTCCATGTGGTATTTGAAGACATGTTTCAGATTCCCTCCAAAATTGAGAGCCCCCACAGCTCCAAACATCTGACGGCCCATTGCCAGACTCGGAAAGTCCAAACATCCCTGCATGGGGGGGTCAGTCCAACCCCCCATTTCCAAACCAAACCAAACTTTATCTTTCCAAATCTGGTTTTTTCCAAGTTCATTTGTCAAATCCAAAGGCTCATATTCCTGCAGGGCCGAAAATCCCTCCCTTTCTGGCGCCCAAGATTCAGCAGCATCCTCTTCTCTCATCTGTTCTGTCATGGCACACTCCTGTTTTAGTTCCTGGGTGGGCTCCATATAGTTTCCCACTACCTGTTCAAAAGTTCTGACCGCATTAGTCATCAAATCCGTCTTCTGACTTAACTGATCCAATAGGGCATTTATTTTACAGAGAGCACACAACAGAGCTTCTGAAAGCATTGTCCTGCAAGGTCACAAGTCCTTTCCCACGGTTGTAATCTGTGGCAGCTGCAAGCTCCCTGGAATTAGTTACAGTTTCACAGTCCCCCTCTAGGGGGAAAACTTCTGGTTGTTCTTTCTTTTAAGGACAATAGCAACAAAGTTTCTTTTTTAAGATATTTTGTCAATATTTGTTCCTTTAAAATGCGAAAGGAAACAATGAAATCACAATGTTACTCTTCTTTTAGCTATCTGTCAAAGACATTTGTCTCTGGTCAATGAGCTTCAAACGTCAGTTCTGACACCCCGCTCCAGGATCAGGACGGTGGAAAGTTACTTTGCTTTAGACTCACTTCTGCAGGTTTAAACAGTCCAAAAAAGATCCCCCTTCTTCTCCTGCTACCGAAGGGGGGTTCAACAATTTTAAATGATGAAAGCCAATCCTTTGAAAGTAATTTTCTAAGCTCTAGTTTACGTTGTCTTTGCTTTACTCTGACTACAAAGAAACGGAAGGCTGACTTCCTGTTTAGACCTTCCCGTTTCAGTACCAAATTGAAGTGAATTTTTAAGTCCAATTCCTTTCTGCTCGCCAGTTCTTATTTAAAGTCCAATTGTTCAATGTTTAAGTACTCACGGGTGATTATTTTAGATGCCAAATTGTCCCAGGAAAAAGGCAGCGCTCTCCGGCAACGGCTATGCGGCTTCGCTCCACGGAAAAAGCAATTGACTCACAGCACCGCGCCACTTCCCCCTCTTCGCTTCGGAGCCCGTTAGTGGGTTCCTTTGCGGGTTGGGGGGGCGCTAAGGGTGCCCGCCGAGTCCCACGGTCACAGGCTTCATCCGCCTGTGATTTCTAGAAGGGTCCCCGCTTCGCCGTAGCGGAAAAGACCCGTTTCGCACGGAGCTGGTCCCTCCAGTTCAGAGGGAGTCCGCCATTGCCGATGGCGCCACCCCGGAAGTCATCCTGGAGTCCAGCAGCATCTGGAGGGCCACAGGTCCCCCTTCCTGCATGGGTGAATGAGCTATCTTTCATTCTCCATGGGAACACAGTGCAGTGCAGACCACCTAAATACAGTGGTACCTCGGGTTACAGACGCTTCAGGTTACAGACTCTGCTAACCCAGAAATAGTACCTCAGGTTAAGAACTTTGCTTCAGGATGAGAACATAAATCGTGTGGCAGCAGCAGGAGGTTTAGACTATAGTCAAATCATTTTAATTAGTCTGTGAATATTTCACTTTCTCTTTCTTTTATTTTTCTTAGCTATTAACAGGCAATTTCCGAAATACACAGACTTCTATAACTGATAGCTCTGCCTTGTACAGAGTAAATAATGACAAGGTAAGAAGATGTAATGTTTTGTGTTCTGTCATGTTCCTAGAAATTGCATATAAAGTCATCAGGGCACATTCTTAAGAGGATATGATGCAGCAACCTTTCTAAAGCTGAATACAAAATTAAATAAATCGGTTTATAACATTTATGTGAAAGACTATAAATATTTATATGAAAATGGTGCATTAAATATTTGGAACAAATAGAGATTGATAATGATTTAAACACAAGTAAGAGCATATGGATCCAAGCAGAATACAGTAGACTGATTGTTACCCTCAGGCTGAAAGAATCATGTCTCCCTCATTAAATGTTCATCAAAATATTTACTGCTTCTCCTACAGAGAACAAATGTGACATTGATTGACCTTCCAGGCCATGAGAGCTTGCGTCTTCAGTTCTTGGATAGGTTCAAGGCTGCAGCTAGGTATGTATTGGAGGAATGGATATTTGTACATTCAGGTTGTAGCCAAAAAGAGCTTTGATGGTGGTGTGCTGTATGCATTTGCTGTAATTAAACCTGGGCATCTATGGGTTGGGGGAGAATACTTGAGTCGCTACGTCTCCACTGTTCTTCCACAACCTGTATTTAGGTGCATGGTAGCTTTGGGGTCAGTTTTTCAAGTCTAGCTAGTCACACAGTCTGCAAGTGCTGGAGACTACTTGGGTGAACTGCTGAGAGTGTAACATCCGTGTATTCTCTTTTTGCTAAAGTTGGTGAAAACGTGTCAAAATAGAATTGGGTAGGAGACAAACAGCAAAAATAGAAACAAAATTTAGAAAGAAAGGAGACGAACTGAGATGGGGCAAAGAGGGTAAAATAAAGAGGCAGCAAAGATGTGGGGCTACAGACGTGGTGCGGTGAGTGGAAATTTATTGTGAAATGACTTTGATATATTCTGTGGGAAACTATTCAGAGAGGCCTGCAATGGGGTAGAGAAATTGGTGCTTTCAGGACATTGTTAAAGAATACACTGAATGAAAATTGTGCCTCAATTGTTTTCCCATGGATAATGTGCTAGTGTGGCCCTTGTGAGTTAGCAATAATGTAAAAGCAGCCCTTGAAGTAATTTTGAATCTTTCATCCCAGTACAGACAGTATCAAAGCTTGTGCTCAGAGCAGAATTCCAGGGCTGCTTGCATGCAGTTAAACATTCCATGGAGGCCATCTATTCACTGATGCTGCTAGCTGTAGAACTATGCCATACGAGACCATGCATAGCGTACTCTTTTTATTCCGCAGGGCAATTGTATTCGTTGTGGATAGTGTAGCATTCCAGCGGGAGATGAAAGATGTGGCTGAATTCCTGTACCAGCTCCTGATTGACAACGTAGTGCTGAAAAATGCACCTCCCCTGCTAATAGCCTGCAACAAGCAAGGTAGTGCATGTCTGTTTGGAATAAAAATCATGACTGTTGGTAGATTTTTACAGCAATTGGCATTTTTCCATGTCCTTTTTCTTGCCTAAGACATGGAGTATCTGTACATGTTTCTTTTATATGCCATCCAAATGAAACTATTGTACATTACATTGGATAAATAACCAGGCTGCGCTATAAAAAAACCTCTATAGCCTGTAATCATCCAGCAGAGACATCCTTTTACTTGCTGTTCCCAATCCCTGTTGTAATAGAATATAGCATTTATATTTGTTCAGTTGATTGTGACTGTGATAGGAGGTGACCATTTCATAGTCTGTTTATGAAGTAGTCCTGTCATTTCATATTCCTCAACTTCAGAGGCCAACCTGGCTGTGCCAGGACCTACAGCTTTCCTTCTGGCAATAACCAGGAATAGAGCCTTTGTGTTGGTGCCCATATTCTGGAATGGTCTCTTCCCCCAAATAAGCCATGGTACCAATACTATTACAGTTTCAGCATAATCTGAAACTTTTTGATTTGCCTTGGTTTTTGCTGGTTCTTGATGCCTGTCATCAAGAGTTTTAATTCATTTGGATTTTAATTTAATTTTAATGTAATATTTTATTATATATTTGTATAGAACTATCAAATTAGTGCAGTTTTGAATTCTACTCGAAGAACTGAACCGTGGCATCAACTTGTAATTTTATGAATATGAGGTGTGACTGCTCTCAAATTAAGGAAAAAGAATGGATTGTGAGAGTGCATGATAGTTTTTACTGCCATGTGTTTTCTTGCTTAACCTGCTCGCTTTCAGTGACTTTTTGCTGACAAGGATTTTAAAAAGGTAGTTCCATTCTTTTCCTTGGAGCCTTCAGTTGTCTCTCACTCTGTCAGTTTCCCTTTATATAACTGCCAGTGAGGCCTTTGTACAATGCACTTAGGAATTCCCAGCAGCAAAAAACCAACAACAACAAAAAACCCTGTAGCAAAATTGCGGGCTCCTTTTGTGGGTGAAATATTCAGTGCCAAATAACCCAAGGTTTTCCTTCCTTCCTTCCTTCCTTCCTTCCTTCCTTCCTTCCTTCCTTCCTTAGATGTTACAATGGCAAAATCTTCCAAACTCATACAACAGCAGCTGGAGAGAGAACTGTAAGTTGAAAGGGTTGGTTTGTCAAATCTCATTCATGTGTACGTTGTATTGTCCAGAATTCTTGACTGCATCTGACATTACATCTCATACTTATTATCCCCATAAGCTTCACAGTTCATTGCAAAAGGATGACAGGAAGGAACACAGAGCCAATAATTTGCCATGAGAAATGAAATGTATACTAAGGACAGTTCTGACCATAGTTTCCAAACTGTTCAGATGCCTGAAGTGGCAGGGAGGGGATTGCTGAACGGTGACGTAGAAATCAGTTTAGTCAAATCAGTTCACGTGTATCACATATTTTTGAAATACTGCCATGATTCAGACATCTCACTAATAATTAGTCAGGTAACAGATTGCTTCCAGTTCCTCTCCTGTGTCCAGCAGGTGGCAGTAATATAACTTGGGTTGGTCAGTTTTAAATGCGATCCTGAAAATACATTTTCATCTTTAATTGACTGGGATTCTACCTCTTAAAAGGGTGTACACTGAGGGGGGGGGGAGAGTTCTCCCAGTCCCACAGGCCAGTTTCCCCCAATCTTGCTGTATCTCCCCCTCTTTACCAATTCACTGCATATGGTTTGCATTTTAGAAACTGAATGGTATAAAAAATACAAACTATATTATCACATTATTCAGTGTGATAAAATAGAGCACCCCCAGAAAGAAGAATATTGTCGTTGCCAGTTTAAAGTGGATATCTCTAAATAAGAGGGTTGTACATGTTAGCCTTGGCTTTCACAGTCTTTTTTTGTTTTTCTAAAGTTAATTTTCTCTTCTCCAACAGCAATACCTTACGAGTGACCCTCTCAGCTGCCCCAAGCACATTGGAAAGCACAGGCTCTGGATCTGCCTCCCAGCTTGGGAAGAAGGGCAAGGAGTTTGACTTCTCCCAACTGCCCATGAAAGTGGAATTTATTGAATGCAGTGCCAGAGGAGGCAAGGGAGAGGAGGGTAGTGCTGATATTGAAGACCTGGAAAAATGGCTAGGAAAAATTGCCTGAACCTGGGAAGGTAGCAAAGGCAACCGCTGGGAAAATGGTATGAATTGGAATGAAGTCTAATGCGTTGCCAGGAACAGCCAGGATGGGGTGAAAGTAGCACATGGAACTGCAATAAGGGCAAATTCATTCTGTGTTCTGCTCTGTTTTGGGCCATCTCTGCTTACCCTGTAGCAACCCATTCATTGTTACAGAATGCTCTGCTGGGATAACAGGGATCCTTCAGCAAAGTGCAGCCCCCTTTGCGCTTTCCGTTCTCACTCCCTGCAGCAGTTTCCCCTGCTTCATCTTAATCAGAGAGTCTTTAAACGAGGATTCTATCTTTGGATGAAAGTTGCAAGATACTGTGGAGTTATTTCGAACTATCATTCCAGGACTGTAATTTCTCCACTTCTGGGTTGCCTTCATATTCTCACCTGAGATACTTGTGAATACCCACTTGCCCATTCACACTTTTTTTGCTTGTCCCTTTCATTACCTGGGAAACATTACAATATTCAGGAGTGAATGGAACCTGCTCTTCTTATAGCATTGTGTTTGTGAAGGAAAGCTATGGGTTGCTAGTTAGATGCATCAGCAGGGGAGGACACTGCTTGCAATGCCTAGAATTGCTGTTCTCCTCCTAGGTTGGGCATTGTGTTGTTTCTGCGAATAATTGTTACTGAATAATTGTCGCACAAAGCCAGAAAACTCAAGTAGCCGGGGAAAATATTTTGGGTTCTACTTCCAAATAGTTTTTTTCCACTCAGGGAGGACTGAAATGTGATGTGCTACGTTTTGCTTGATTGGTATTACAGTGTTCGAAATGTGTTTCTGATGAACTACTCCCTATTCTTTGGCTGATCTGGCTGAGTCTTTCCCTTCTTAGATCTGGCAATCACTAAAGTAACCTTCTGCATAAACTTCACACCAAGGGAGTGTTGAGTGTGTAGCTTTTCAGTTCTGGATATGTTATCCATGCGTGGACTGAAGCCTTCCCACAGTGCCCTAAGACCTGTCAGTATCTCAAGTATTGGGAAATATGTCTTCCAAAAGAATTTTAACTATCCTGTGATATGTTAGGACAGTTGTCAGAACTGCATAGCTGTGCTTGACTACTAAGCCAGGGATAGCGGTTCTAAATAATGTCCATGTGTAATAATGTGATTTGTTTTTTAACCTATATTTTTTAAATAAAAGAAAGATGCTCAGGGTACCATGCCACAAACAGGGATGGGATGCCTGCATAAAATCTGAAAAGATTTTTACAGCTTATGAATTTTATATCCCAGCAGTGAACACTGTTGTTTCAATGGGATATGTGTGTCTATAACTGTCTAAATCCCACCCAACTACTGCTTCTGGATGCTTGTTTACTATATTCCCGTAGACATATGCCTATTCCTGCAGTGAATTTGCTGTAAAAACACTTCCATACTGTTTGGAACAGCCCTAATGTTTTAAGTGCATCTTGTATGTTCATTGTTAGTGGCTCAGCCGTCATCATGGTGTGCTCCAAATTGTGGATGGTATTGGAAATTGGTTTCATACTTGCGTGCAACTGAGTTTGGGACATTTGGACATGAAACAGCAGGATCCTGTCTGAAATCTAAGCTCTAGAATGGTGTTGGTATTGGGTTCTCTTGCTTTGACCCTTACAACCCTCTGCCAAGTCGATCCAGTAGTAAGAAATTCAGACCATGTACTGTGCTTGTCATTATGCCCATGGCTAAAGTTGCTGTCATGTATGTATTGGATTCAAGAGCTGCAAAGATGCAGGAATCCATCTCTTTTAAATTATTCTCTGCTGATACCTGTAAATAAAGATGTTTGACTAACTTTTGACTGGAATTTCTCTACTGCAGCTCTGGTATCCCTTGTCATTGTCATGAATATTTTCTTCAAAATAAGACAGTGAAGCAATGCATTTACACTGTTCTGGTTCACTGAAGTGAGTTCATTTTCAAACACAGGATTTTGTGTTTGTGACTCTTGTACAAAATGTTTATATGCTTAGAAGAAATCCTAATTCGTGTCTCAGTAACAATTTTTTTTACACAGACTGTAACAGTAGCTGTGTTGACTTATAACAAAAATTCTGAAATTGATGTTAGGGCATTATCTGTCACAAAATAACTTCAGGCTAGAAGGTAAATAAAGCTGGCTGAGTCTGTGGGATGGGACTCATCCATTGTTTATATGGTGGTGTGGGGAGCATGATTGGATACAATCCAAAATAAGCTTATTGACTCATGGAGAGCTTTGTCCAAGGGTGAGAGAGAATTTCTTTTCCACATGCCACCAAAATACCACTACACAAAAGCCCATCCTCTCCTCTTTCTCCACAACACCAGCTAATCCCACATCACCACTGAGGAACATTGCCATAACATGTTAATTCCTAGCTCTCTTTGGAAGAAGTCTTGCAGTGGAGAGGAATGCAAGAGTGTGGAGAAATAGCTCACGCACTGCCACCGCCCCAGGAATCAAAGGAAATTGTTATTGACTTGGAATACACCCATGGTTTGTTGAAAGTCCATGTTGTTCAGCAGGTAAGTTGAAGGATTGTAACAAGAAGAAAAAGAGGAACCTTAAGTTCTATGCAGAGTTCTGTGCAGTTCTCCTTAGCTGTTTGCTGTATTTGGGAGCTTGTGACCAAGACTTACAAACAGACTTTTGTGAAGGAAGAGACTGCAGAGAGTGAGCTTGTGTTTTGAATTAAGGCTAGTTGCTTGTCTGAGCTGAGGCTTGCTTATGGGTTTGTATTTCTGTGGGTGTGCACATGGTCTAAGATGGAGCAGCCACTTCTGAGAGGAATCCAGGCTAAAGGAGGAAGTGAGTTGGGAGAAGGGGTTGGCAGCCACCAGCAGTTCTGCTTAGCTGTTTGCAATCTCTGGGAGCTTGTGACCTTGCGTTTGCAAGGGAGGTTAGCGGGAGAGTTTGAGGGGGAGGCCTGGAGTGCTCTCTCACAGTATATAGTGGTACCTCTGGTTACGAACTTAATTCGTACCGGAGGTCCATTCTTAACCTGAAACCGTTCTTAACCTGAGGTACCACTTTAGCTAATGGGGCCTCCCACTACCGCCATGCTGCTGCTGCTGCTGCTGCGTGATTTCTGTTCTCCTCCTGGGGCAAAGTTCTTAACCCGAGGTACTACTTCTGGGTTAGTGGAGTCTGTAACCCGAAGTGTTTGTAACCTGAGGTGTTTGTAACCCGAGGTACCACTGTATGTAGATCCAGGAGACATGGATGGCAAGGGAACTGCTGTGGTGTTCTGCAACACTTGTTCCACATTTGTCTTCCTGCCTGAGAATATGTGGAACTACACCTGCAGCAAGTGCAAGCTGGTTGCCTCGCTGGAAGAGAAGGTACAGCAACTTGAGGTCTGCTTATCCACTATTATCTGCTGTTTGCCACACAGCTCCACGCAAGTTGATTATAAGGTGTGCAACATTAATGTCCCCATTCTGGCCTCACATAGGAAATGCATTTATTGAAACTGTTGAAGCAGATGCAGAAGAGAAGACAATTCTTAACCCAAACAGCCACTCCACACACCCCCCCCCCATGGCTGGCCCAGTATATTTTGCTGTGTGAGGGGCTCGCCTCCTATGTTTAGAATCCAGTTGGACTAGTGGTTGAATATTAAACACTGGTGATAGAATAGCTTCTTTCACTGCACCTAAGGCAGCAGACGTCTTGGCTGCAGTTTCCACTGACTTTAAAACTCGAGTTTTGTTGGTGAATTTCTACAAGCTTTTGTGCACAGGAAGTTGTTGTCGTGAGTTTCCAGTTCATCTTTATTGTAGCAGTTTATAATGCTTTGTAGCCTCTGGAGAAAACTCCAAGGATGGAACTGAAGAGATAAAAAAACTCTGTTATTCACTGTGACGTTCCTACACTTCGTGCAATTTATTGTGCATGCTAAAATTCAGTGGTAAAGTCATAACTCTGCTCCCTGGGGTTTTTTGGTTTGTGTGTGTGTTATAATACAGTATTTCTGCAGAATAATTTTTCATTTAAAATGGAAACAACCGATTGAAGCCAAACTTGTTGTACATACACCCTCTTGTAATCAATGTGAAAAGTTAGTTCTGACTCCAGTGGGACTAGGGTGCAACCCCAAATAGCTAATATGTACCCATGTGACAGGATAAAGCCATATTCATAAACAGCTATAGAAGTAATTTGCTCAAGCATGTGGAACAACTTTGTAAGATACAAAGGTGGTCATGCAGTTCTGATGAGGTCATTCAAAGTCCATCTGACATTGCAGATGGCTATTATCAACCTGTCAAGGTCTATAGTAAAATGTGTGGAGATCTTGCTGACATACTAGGAAGCCTGCTGTCTGATCTTCCATTGCCCATCATTGCTTAATAGTACAGCTTGCTGTTTGTGGCTGTTGGGCTAGGGCTCATTATATCATCTCCCCTTTTATGGAAAAAAGAACTTGATGCAATAGATTTTGACGAGATTCCTCAGGGGCCTCCCCTGCCACCAGCCCCATTTTGGCAACACTTGAATAATTCTTAGTGGCACTTTTTAAGATATCACACTCGCATTGTGTAAATGTTGTCTGTAAGCACTTTGGATCAGGGCCTGCTTGCTTATGGAACTCAGTAAATCATTATTATTATTTATTGAATTTATATACTGCCCTATACCCAGAGGTCACAGGGCGGTTCTACATATAATATAGATGGCACTGTACAAATGAGCACTTAACTTTTAAAATGTTATAGTGGCAAGATTATATGTTAACAACAACAGGAAAAGCCCAGTGCTATATAAAAATGTGTTATTGAAATTATCTCTGTTTTTTAAGCTGGATATGTTCATCCACTCATTTTGAAGATTTCTCTTTTTCTCCATAGCTGACCATGGTTTCTTTTGTACAACAACAAAATGACACGGTTTTGGAGATAACCTGTTTAACGGATGTGAAGCTTTTGGTGATGGCTTTGAGAAAAATGACCCGTCTGAACAGTAAGAAAATTTGTGCTGCTGAAAAACATTTTTTTTATAAAAAAAATGGCACTAGTGCATGTAAGGGGAATGATCTAATGATTACTGTGACTTATGGTTGAGTTCAATTACAGCCCAGATTCCATTGGCAACTATTCCCTTGGGGCTGTGCCCCCTCCCTTTAGTCTTGGCTCTCTACAGCTAGTGCTTGTTCTCTGGATTGCCAATTAGTTCAGCGGAGGACCCTCCCCTGTGTGATCTTTGCAGATTGCTCACGAGACTGCTATAGTAGCTGTTCCTTGACAGCCCTTCATCCCAGCCAGCCTTTATTAGTTCTGCCTTCTGGTTTAATCTCTTCAATTAACTTGAGTGGGTGAGGGTGGAGAGGAGAGGAGAGGAGGGAACGGAAGCTCCACTACACTTTTGAGAACTTCCCAGTGCTTCATCCATATGTGTAAATCACTCGGTGTAAACGCAACAATTTTCACACATGTTGGATTATCACATGGAACTTATGTGGTTCCTACATAGCCCATAATGTGTGCTTCTCTCTGCAAGAAGCCAAAGTATCTGGGTGTACCCTCACACTGCAACTGATGATAAACTCTACTGGTTCATAAATTCTGCTTTATATCCTGTATGTATTTATCTTTTCCTAGCAGCGTGTGCCATTAGTTTGGCCTGCCTTCTGTTTAAAATGTAGTTTAGCAAGAATAACTAAATGCAAGAGATGAGGAATCTGTGTCCTTCTGGATGTTGTTGGATTACAGCTCCCGTTATCCCTGACCATTGGCTGTAAAGACTGGGGCAGATGCGAGTGATACATCAGCAATATCTGTAGGGCTGAAGGTCTGCCATCTGTGTTTTCTGATATTAGCACAACTGAAGCAGTTTGGGCAAACAGTACATAAAACACTGTGCTAATGGGGTTGCTTGCATCCATACTCTGAGATAGTCTTTGGACCAAACATCTTGGAATGCTGTTCACGTAATTAGCTATTGCACATGGGAGATTTTTAAAGTAATTAACAGCTGTGTGTGGAGGGGGCAGTCAGGAATGACACCATGATATGAATTGGGGGAAAGAGAGAGTAGTATTTTCGTCATGTGTCCCACCAGGGCAATGATTTCTGTTTGCACAGAGGGACTTTCCCTCCTCCTCCTTCCTCATGTATCCCATGTACCCTCCTCAAATCTATTCTAGGGGGTTGGGGAAACTCCAGAACAGATTTAGGGACTATGCAGGGGTGGGGAGGAAGAAGGGGGAACAAAAAGCCAGGCAGGAAGGGGGAATAAAAACTAGATAAAGTTTGAAACTTTATCTGCAACTAGATAAAGGTGGTGTCAGGTGTGCCTCCCTAGGGAGAGTGTTCCACAATGGGGATGCATCACTGAAAAGGTCCATTTTCTTGTTGCCACCCTCTGAACCTCTTGTTCAGGGGTCAGCAACCTTTTTCGGCGTCCCTCAGACCATGTGGTGGGCCGGACTATATTTTGAAAAAAAATATGAATGGATTCCTATGTCCCACAAATAACCCAGAGATGCATTTTAAATAAAAGGACACATTCTACTCATGTAAAAACACACTGTTTCCCGGACTGTCCACGGGCCGGATTGAGAAGGTGATTGGGCCGCATCTGGTCCCTGGGCCTTAGGTTGCCTACCCCTGCTCTTGTTTGCCAAGAAAGAATTCATTTCATGCAGTTCTCATTTTTTCTTGCTCGTCTTTTGGATATCTGCCAATTCCTCTTGCCAGTTTGATAGTGGTTCTTGCCTCATAGCCCTCTTTTGCATGATGGCAAAAACCCCAATATTCACCTGGAAAAATGCTTCTTGGATGTATGTTTAGCTTTCCCTTACACTGAACTTCATGGGCATATGATACAATGCTAGACTTCTTAGCTGGCCAGATGTTCAAATGTATGATCAGGTACATAGAGTGTTCTCACTTCTTTTGTGCTGTGTTGTGTCCATGATAGTATTATTATTCAATTTATGAGTTGCCTAATAAAAATGCTCTTAGGCAACGGATACATTCTATCTCCTTCTCTTCCTGAATCCTATCCAAAAATAAACCTTTTAAAATTAGACATACAGGGTTCTGATGGATAGGATAAGCTCTGGATCTCTGCTCCTTGTGTTCACTTTTGAAAAGGAGAACCTGAGTAAGCCCCTCTATCCAGCACAGAGTCTGTTGCTTTGAGAGAAAACAGTGGCGGGCATATTTGTAAACATGGCTAGCTGGAGTAGGCCCAAGACATTTTGGCACCTGGGGTGGACCCCAAAATGGCTTCTCCCTCCATGTCAGGGAAAGAAGGGGTAAGGGAAGCTATACATCAGGAACAAGGGGGAAGAAAGATTGACATCGGGATCTGCTGCCCCAGTGGCTCATGCCACCTAAAGCGGATTACCTCACTTGCCCCATTGGGTGTGCCGGCCCTGTGGCTACCACTGAAACAGAAATAGGTTCTTGAGTTATACACTGTCTCAGTTCATCACAGAATAGCTCTTAGAGTCCCTGTTTTGGAACAGAGAGTGCTGCTGTAAACTTGTCCTGCTTATGGTCTTCCCATGGACATTGGTTGGCCGCTGTGAGAATAGAATGCTGGACTAGATGGGCTTTTAGTTTGATCCAGCAGTGCTATTCTTCCTTTCTCATGTATGAGGGTCTGTACAGAGCAGCCCTCCCAAACCTGGTGATTGCCAGATACTTTAGACTATAACCCTAGCCAGAGACTACACCGGCCATCTTTTCTGAATCCCCACCCCATCCCTAATAATTGGTGATTGATTGGATTTCTGATTGTGCATACTGCTCCAAAAAGCCCGGAGAAGTATAATTGTCTGCATTAAGTGGAAGAAACGGTCAGTAAAAGACATGTATGTTGGGTTTCAGAAGGTCTTTTGCAAGAATTATGGAATTCTAAGCAGGAAATGATAATGAAGAGGAGCCCGCCATTAGTTATGCCATGAGAAATGTACATGTGTCTGGGTAGGCCAGTGTAACTGCAGAGTGCAGGTGCTCCTTTAATGTTTCTTCCGAAACTTAGGAGAGATATAGGGAATGCTTACAGCAACTGGAGTTGCGATGACGTGCTTAGGTGGAATTTCCCCATGAAATACAGCCACTGAAAAATTCTAGCCACGAGACCATGTTTGAGAATAAGACAGTTTATTGTTAATTGGACTAACATGCTAAGTTCTGGTTTATTTTTGTTTCGTTTTTATACAGTTTTATGGAAAGTTGACGTGGCAGCCAATATCCTCCACCAAGCTACCGAGAAACTGAAAGACTCTGCCCTAAACTGCCTGCAGCCGCTCAAGAATGGGTATGATGTTTCAGTACAGAAAATGGAAGAAAGATGGAGAAAATGAAAAGGGACTTTTCAGGTGATAACCCACAAGTTTGGGCTTAAGAATGCTATGGAGGCTAAGCTGTTTGATCATTATCCAAGTTTGTCTCTGGGTAGAGTGTGTGCCTGTTCCTCCAGTGCCAGGTTTCTTTTTAATTAGGTAGGGTAAGAAAATGGTACTCATATTCTAGAACATGACATTTATTTTCTTAATATACAGTGAGGGGCAATGGGTGAGCTCCTAATTGGTAGCCCATGTGGCACAAAAGAACAGAATGGCAATTCATGTGGGATCAGCATGTTGGGAGATGGGTGCCTTGTCTATCAGTGCCTGAAGGAGGGCAGAAGGCTTTAAAGGGTCTTTGGATATGCTTCAATATGGGAGCATATGTGTTAGAAGTTTAAACCTTCAGTTATGATAATGCATATAGTACTGCATTTTATTCTCTTTATACATAGTCCTCTCCTCGGTTTCCTACTTTTGAATGGCACCCTCTCTGGCTCTGAACAAAGCAAAACTGTTAGACTGGGGTCTTGTGTGGGGATTTTAATTGGGGCCACTGCTGCTGCTATTATTTGTGTATCTTTATTTTAGATCTTATTGTGATTTGTGTGGAAATTGTTCAGTTTGGTTGTGTACTTTTTGATGTTTTTATTTATTCTTGAGGATTACTTTTGTAATTTTTTTCATAAGCTGCCTTGAGCATGGTTTTTACTGTGGAAAGGAAGAGTACAAATAAATGTATGTGTGTAAAATGGATTTTCTCAATTCCCCCCCCCATGTGTCCAGTTTAAAGTTCCCTCTTTGCATAGTGGGAAGCACTGCTCAGACTGAAGGAATAATTTCCAAAAATGCATGTTAACTCTCAGTTATGCTGGTGCTGGAACCTGCTGCTTGCTCACCTAGAGCTAGAATATTCTGGCCAGGTGACTGTTAGGGAGTCAAAATGAGGCTAGTTACATCCTTGCAAGCCAAAACACAGAAAGCTCAATGTCTGCTTGATGAATTCGCCTGTCAAAAAAATGGAAATTTGTGATGAACAAACTTTGAACTTGGGTGTGGCGGTCTTTGCCACGACTGCTGTCTAGTTGTAGCCTTGCATGTGCTTGAAAGAGATTAAAATTGTACTAAAGTAGCTTGCTTGTTTGCATCCAATTTGTATTCTCTTCTGGTCAGCTGAGCTCTTGGAAGTAAACCATACCAATTATCTCCAACAGAACTCTGTCTGGGGTATTGTATTGGCATTTGTTGAGGTTTGGGACTTTCCACCATTTACTGTTACTTAAAAGCTGTCTTTATGTTGCCTACAATGGTTTTTGCAAACCTTTGTAGGGCAGTATTTCCACAGTCCAGTTGTTTCCTTTTATTTTCTTTCCTCTTCATGTGAAACAGTCTGTCTACTCAGTTTCTTTTCACATGGTGTTAACAGTAAAAATCTCTATGCCTCCTGCCCCATCCCATCCTCTTCAATTTCAGCTTTAGTTTCCAGTGGAAGCTACTGGCATGCATGCAGAGCACATATCCTCAGACTGCAGCAATCACCTACATGAGAAGTTAAAGCCATTGGATAAGGACCTTCTGATCCCTTCAGTTTGTGACTTCAGCCCAGGGTGCTCACAAATGTCTTTTGTGAGCCCTTTTGGTCCAAGGTATTTAGACTTCTGATCCTTTGTGAAATCATCAGCTTTCTCATCCGTGTGTTATTGTCACAAATGTTATGGCATACTACATATAACCAAAACTTAGATTTTAAAAAAATGTTTGGGGGAGGCTTTTGGGGTATATGTATTTCAGACTTTGCCAATGCCAATAATATTTAAGATATATTAGATATGATTATTCTTTCTGAAGCTTAAGTTCATTGGAAACCAATAGGCTCAGTGAAGTCTCTGGTTTTTCACTGATAATAGTAAGAGCTGCCTATGGTGGTTAGGAAGAGGGAAACTTGTGTTTCTATTTGCTTGCCTTTGACAAATGGATGCTGTCATTTAGTTATTGTTCTGCTCACTGTTTTGTGCAAATGCTCATCCATTTGCAAGCTCCATTTTAAACACTGGATTTGTTTGCTTGGTAGTAGCAATCGGCTATGTTCCATTTAATTAAATCTAACACTTTCACATTTCTGGATCAGTATCATGCTTTGGACCTCCTCGTGACCTTTTTCTAAGTGTAAGCCAGGCTTTTGCCTCCTTTTGGTTACCGAATTCAAGATAATCAGCTCACTTACCTTATATGCCTGACTTACTTAGCATTGATTTTCCCCCAACACACTTTCAGTTCATCTAGTTTTACCCTTTGCAAAGTGCTCTCTTATGTTCTCATGAAGTACCCCTGCAGAAGGAACATCTGATGGAAGGCAATCTTTCAAATCAAATCTGCCCCTGAGGATTCCCACCCTCTTCCTCAAAATGTCACTTCAGGATCATTTCACATGATTTAACTGTGAAACGCACAAAGTCTCAACACTTTTCAAGCTCTTTGAGTGAGGCAGTGATGCGTTGAGGATGGCATTAGATGCAAATAGGTAGAATAATGCTTCTATGATGATTGAGGCAAAAAACAAAACCGAGTAGGCAGGAAGTCTTAAAAGGATGATGGGAAAGGTAAGAAGGGAGAATTGAGGAGAAAACAGCAGAGAAGCTAATATGTTAAAGGAGAATGAAGTTGAGAAAGAAGGAAAATTTGATCACTTGTTCTGGCTGCAGGCTACAATTAGACAAACTAGAAGGGCACATGGGTGCTAGTGCTTCTCTATGGCTACTCATGAGCAAAAGAGACCTCCGAAGTGTGTGCTGGTAAGCATGTGAGGGGGTGGTGGTGGTTGTTTTGCAGCACAGGAATGGCACAAAAGTAGCACTATTCCACAGAGGAAAAGATAACACCATATTAAGTCAGTTATCACATAGTGGTGATCACTGTGACATTTCCTGTAATGTAGGCTAAAAGTTGAACTAGAAAACATCTTGGAACCTTTCACTGACTGAAATGACCATGAGTTAACATGAGACCTCATGACAGCCACTTTCTCTGGAGTAATGCCAAAATATGACTACATGCGCTATCACACATTGATTGACAACATCTGGAGATACATCTCCGTGCATTTTTTTTCTAGCTTCACATGTATCTTGAGTTTAATTTATTGAAGACATGACAAATCACACTTTTCCCCGACAATAACAAAAACCTTCTAGACCCACACACTGCACCAACTGTAATTTTCCACAACTGTTGTTGGTTGCAAAGTTATAACAGTGGGAGAAACCAAGCATCTATATTGTGCATGGGTGTGTAGACATACACCTTCACACAGCTGTGTGTGTGTCAATGTATGCTTTATATCAATATAAAACATGCATACACATGTTACAAAAATTAAATACATTATCTATCGTATCTTTGTTGCCAAGGCAATCTTCTTTTCTACAGAGACAGGCTCTTTTGCTCTTTGTTCACTCATGCAGAAGTTATCATCACTCATAATAATGATCAACCACCATGAATAGTACAGTTGGCTAAAAGTGAGGTGACCCCCAAGGGATTACCTTTTGAAGTTACAGTAATTGACAGTTTCTGATTCAGTCTTGGCCATCATTTTGAGTTGCTTCCTTAAAGAAATCTACTTGTAACAATAAGCTTAGAGGGAGCCTTTGGATAACTCTATTTTATTCTGCCATATTTCCCCCCTCCCCCCTTTTTTGGCAAAACCATCTGAGTGTTTTCTTCTTCAAGCCAATGATAGCTACAAATCAGCAGCTATCATTGGTTGAGGTGGCCTTTTCAGGAAGTAAAGGCTACTGCTGGGCCCAACCATCCATATACACAGCAATGGCATTGGTTTCACATACACGCCATAGTATATGTGTGTGGTGGCTTATGCTAGCTAGTGTGATGTTTAAAAAGTTGACATACATAGGCTACGCGACACAAGTGAAAGTCTTAAAAACAAGTATCCACCCACAGAAGTGCTAAAAAAGGAACGTCTCTCATGGTATAGTAAAATATAGCATGATGCATGATCGTAAGCTGTGCATGCGCAATAGATCCTTATGCATCTGGGAACTATGGAGGTGCACTGCCACTGTCATGAATAACATTTCTCTAGTTGTAGCTCTCTCTCCCACCTTTTCATGGCCATCTAGTCAGATGTTACATTGCACACCGGTGGTTGCATGCTTTGCTGGCCTCTCACAGGAGTGTGAATGGCACAGTTAGTGTTCAGTCAACTAATTGGGGGCTAGTTTACTTCAAGGATATGTCTACCATTTATGTCAAACACTGAAACTAGCCAGCCTGTATAATCTTGGGGTTTTCTCTGTAAGTTTACAAATATACAATTTAAAAAAAAGTACCCAAAAAAGGATATTAAGTCCCCATGGCTGAGAGTTGTATACACACAATTAAAGTGTCTTGTTTAAAATTCTGAATTGTTTTGGCATTTTTAATAAAGTACAATATATTACAACTAAACAAAAAAAGAAAGAAAAGAAAATAGAACCAGTGGTTGAATCACATAGTCTGATCCTTGCCACCCACCCCCTCCCTTTCCTAGAGAGACACAGAGAGAAAAGAAATCCTCCCCATTGAATAACTCAATTCATATTATTAGGAAGCTAACCAATAGGAAGCAACACAACAAGCGTGTGGTGTCAAATGGAGCTGACGAATCCTGCGCTTTGCATTAACAAGAGCACCCGCCTTCACTGGGTGGTGGTTCCTGTGGTTTGTCCAATTTAATGTCGATCACTGCAGAAAAGGGTTAAGGGAGATAACAGGTTTATGCTACTGAGGGAAGTGCATCATTCCCAGAGTGTCAATAAGGTAATGCAACTTACCAAGGTGTCTTTACCAACAGCAGCAAGCAAGTCAGCTGGCAACATAAATGCCCATCAAAGCTGGTTAAATTCCATATCATAACAAGATCTAAGTGCATGATAGAGGTACACAAATACCTGTAGAGAACCCAAGAGGATGGGACACAAATACCGTTTTCACACGACATGTCCTCCTTGCCACCATCTAACACAGTAATTAAAATGGTCACCTGGAGTCACTTGGTTCCCACTCCAGACCATGAATCCTGTGACTGGTTTCTGTAGGATGAGATTGGGAATTGACTTTGTAGCCAAGTTTTTTCCCCACCTATATCTCCTGCCTCTGCTCCTCTTGCTGTGAAGGAGGTATTAGCTAAAAGTCAGTATAAGTGAACAACCAAAGAACATGGGCTGTTTCCAACACTGCGGCTTTGCTGGTGCAACAGAGCTTCCTCTTCCTCACCAACATCTCCCCCCCCCCCATCAATGCCCTCAAAATCAGTTTGTGGGTGGGGGGGAGGTTGTTGGTGGACCAACCAGAGCTGATCTTGAGGGTGCATGGGGAGGAGAGGAAACAGAAGCCTGGTTGCTCCAGCAGCAGAACGCCCTCCCAATGGAGTGTGGAATACAACCCCATTATTTTTTCTGACAAAGCTCTCACTTCAGGCAACGTTAAAAAATCACAGTAAGGAGGTGCTCCCGCAAGTGACCAAGTAACTTAGCAGGCAAATACCCAAGCCAAAAAATGTACTGCAATGTTTGTGTGACTGTGTGTTGTATAAACCTTCGTGCTGTCTTGTCTGTCGCTTGACAAGCAACTTAAAGAATCGGGATGAATTCCCGCCTCTTGGAGCAGAGGCTTTAGCTCTGAGGACTCAGAGAGATGACATCACACCTCTGTCTTCCTTAACCAGCCACAGACTGGTTTCTCCCTCTGCACGCAGCAAGGGCCAAGCCCAGGCTGTGCTCCCTGCATGTGGCGCTGACATATGTAATCTATATCAAACTCGGCGCAGGCCCCCAGGGGAGATGACCTTTCCCAAGCACAAAAGGCAGCAATTAGGGGAGAAGAGCTGCTGTCAGTCACATCCAGACACTCTCTCTCTTCCGCCACAGTGGTTCGCAGGCGCCATGTCATTACCCCTTTCCAGACAGGCACTCGCTGCTACCGCTGCCGCATGTGTCCTCTGGGGCAATCGGGAGAGAAGGAAAAGCAAGGCTCAGCAGTTGGAAGAGGATCGGTTTCTACAACCAGCAAAATAAAGTAGGCTTTTTCTTGGCCTAGATACTTCAGTTGCAGGAGGTTGTATCTTTGAATGTTTTCCACAGCCTAAATTTTTTTTAAAAAAAAATATTTTAAAAATATCTCTCTCCTGAATATATGAATGGCATAAGAATATGGATCAGGCCATTGGGCCACCTAGTCCAGCATCCTGTTTTCGCAGTGACCAACCAGATGCCTGTGGGATCTAAGTGCAATAGCCCTCTCCCCTCCTGCAACTGGTATTCAGAGGCATTCCTGTCTCTGCCTGTGGAGGGACAGCACAACTTCCATCATGGCTAGTAGCTTTGGCTATCCTTCTCCTCCATGCTCTAGGCATAAAGTCTAGGCTGAACTCTTCTCCCTGCTGTGGTTTATGGGAATGGAGGTTTTTTGTTATAAGTGTTCAGATATGAGAGTTTCTCCATTCCCTCCTCACCAAGAGTGAGATTGTTCGGTCCCTAACTGCAGCTTGTCTAAGTTGGCCTGGAGAGAGGGAAAGGGCCATAGCTCAGTGGTAAAGCATCTGCCTTGCATGCAGAAGGCCCCAGGTTCAATTCCTGCCATCTCCAGGTAGGAGTCTCTCCTGTTTGAAACCCTGGAAAGACCCTGCCAGGAAGCTGGGAAGACCAATGGTCTCAGTATAAGGCAGCTTCCTATGCTGATAAGACTATGGATATTCTCTAGTATTTGGCTGCATATGTCTTTCTGCTGTGATGTCTTGTGTTCTGCCGCTACCTGAATTTAGGGATACCTAAAGGGGGACCCGGTGGCGCTGTGGTCTGAGCCTAGGGCTTGCCAATCAGAAGGTCGGCGGTTTGAATCCCTGCGACGGGGTGAGCTCCTGTTGTTCGGTCCCTGCTCCTGCCCACCTAGCAGTTCGAAAGCACGTCAAAGTGCAAGTAGATAAATAGGTACCGCTCCGGCGGGAAAGTAAACAGTGTTTCCGTGCACTGCTCTGGTTCACCAGAAGCGGCTTAGTCATGCTGGCCACATGACCCAGAAAAACTGTCTGCGGACAAACGCCAGCTCCCTCGGCCTATAGAGCGAGATGAGCGCGCAACCCCAGAGTCGTCTGTGACTGGACCTAATGGTCAGGGGTACCTTTACTTTTAAAAGGGGTATATAGGCAGTTTTGTGTTTAAATTATCTGTCATGTAAGATGCATAGAGAACATTATGTTATGTGAGGCATACAAAAGAAGTAGATGAATAAATAATATCCAAGATTGTTGGTCTAGATGGCAGGGAGTGGGGGGATGTAAGGCACATGAGTTAGCTAAGGGGATAAGGGGGTACAGAAAACTTCCCCTTGTGAAATCTCATTCACACAGGTTGCTCAAAAGTGTGTGTGTGGGGGGGGACTCATCATCCCATATCCTGAGGAAAAGAGCCTAGTGCAAAATGTGAAAGAAGCTCCTACATTTTCTTTAAAATCTACTTGCCAGGTTTGTGTTATCATTGGAAATAAATAAATAAATGTAGAAAATGGTCAAGATTAAGAAATTTACAAATTAGTGAGAACAATAAGCACACAAACATTGTTCTTGATTTAGGCCCCTTCAAAATGATTGATGGCCATTAACAAGGGGACCAGTGTGGGAACCAAGGAAGTGTAATTCACATCTACCAGCAAATGGCAACAGATTAAATGAGAACCCAGGAGCAAGCACAGAGCAAGAGCAGTCTACTGGATGCAAAATAAGGCACTTTTTTTTAGCTCTTTTAAAATGAAGTTGATGTCATCACTCAGCCTCTGTTTCTGGGCCTCATTGAGACTCTCATCAAGATCATTTCTAAATCACACTGTTAGCAGTGAAAAATGGCTATTCAGGGCAGAAGGGATAATTCTGTGGGCCTCCTGCATAACCTATGCAAGGGAACATCTGGGGACATGGCATGAGCTGTCATTGTTTGGCAAACATTCCCTGTGTAACCATTATTCTTTATTTCCTGCCAGCTTCAGAGGCAGAGGAAGCCATTACTGCTGTGTTTAATTTAGAAACCATGAACTTCTCTGTAATAAATAACACTTAATTGGACCATATTCATTAGTACTGCTCTATGCTGATGCTTTCCTTTTGTGTGCTCATTCCATAATTGGAGAATGGGGATTCTGGGTTTAGTTTAACAAGCCTATTTGTGTCTTGAAGAACTATCGCAACAGGAAGGAAATAGCTGGTGGGTTATAGCATTTGACCTCGGACATTCTTCTAGGGCAAGGCTGAGAAGTCATTTAGACACAATGTGAAGTAGTGATGGGACATGGCTTGCATAATCCCAGCTTTTCCCAATAGGAAAAAAACAAGCAAGGCAATCTGAACTATTTCCATCACTGATGAAGATTTTCTGAAAACATGCAATTCTCATTAGAGTGGACATTAAAGGGATAAGGAGCTATGCATGCAGTTTTGATTCATGTACACATTTTTGTAAACTACTTCTAATATAATGCACGTCGGTATGTTATTTTTATTAGTATATTCATTTTTGTGCACCTTCCCCCCTAATATATGCATTTTTTGTAAAAATTGGTTGGGGAACTGCATTTCAAAATTCAGATAAGGGCAAAATTCGAAGGATGGCTGTGTTTTCTGGTTCTTACATTGTTTCAGAATTTTACAGATTTGGCATCAAATGGGAACAGAACCAAATTCGCCCCCCCATCCCCTACCTGTAAGATTTCGAATGGGAATGGTTGCTTGAGGAACAACGATTGTTAATCAAAAAAAGGATACTCCCTTCTTTGCTCTTCTCTTGGACACTCTCCATCCCTGGCAGAGCAGAGGCGACGCGTCGGAAGAGCTAAAGCAGCGTGCAGAATGTACAGCAACAAAGGCAGGCAGAGGGAGCAAGAGAATAAATCATTAGTACTTTCTAGTTTACATCCAATATGCAACTGAAAACAGTAGCAAAAATAGTTACGGTATGTGTGACTCGAGTTAAGTAAGCCCTAAGCTCTCATCCATTTATACATCTGCCCAAGAGAACCAGACCTGGAGCTACTCAGACTGGTTACTATCAGTAGAAAGGGGAAGCTGTTCCCTTGTGCCTCTGAAAACAATGGTTGCTGTGATGTATAATTCCAACTTCCAGCCATGTGAAACAGGATGACTTGAAGACCAATTGCAGTCAAACCTTGGTTGTTGAATGTAATCCGTTCCGGAAGCCCGTTCAGCTTCCGAATTTTTAGAAAACTGAGGCGTGGCTTCCAATTGGTTGCAAGAGCTTCCTGTACTCAAGTGAAACCCGCGTTGGATGTTTGGCTTCCGAAAAACGTTCGAAAACCGGAGCATACTTCCAGGTTTTCAGCGTTTGGGAGCCAAAACGTTCCAAAACAGAGCCGTTCGAGAACTGAGGTTTAACAGTACCAATATGGGAGAAGGACCAGCCAGATTGGGGCTCGGTGTCAAGGGAGCCTTTTAACCCTTTGCTTCTGCCATGGTCCTGATTGGACTTGCCCCAACACTTGCTAGTCACATTGGGAAGAAAGCTCCTATTGTGCAGGAGGCAATTCTGATCATGACTACAGCAGGGGCAACAGGTTAAAGGCCTCCCTTCCTCCCCCATACCCCAGTTGGCTAGTCCCTCTCCCATATTGGTTATTCATTTATTTTTCCAATCTGTTATGCAGGTCACATCTCATTTGACCTTCAGATGCAACTGGTTTGCAGCCGAAGTTCCTGGAGAGAAATCAAAGGAAAATGAACTCTGCACAGACTTAACGGGCTGTAAATGCTCACCACAGTATTGTACAAGTATATTCTGCTGCCACCTAGAGCTTCTTGATACATGACATTTCTCCCTAAATCAGGATTAATCTAGCTTGCTAGCTACAATGATAAAACAGACACTTGTACCCCATTTGTGTGTGAAAAATGCATGTTTCATCCAATCTGCATGTGCCATGTTGGAGTCTGTAGCACACAAACTGGATCACACTCTCCTCCTCACCCAGGAACAAAGGCACCTTACCTGTTTTACATTGTATCCTGTCTTCGCACTTGTCTCAATAAACATGACATTCAGTTCTTTAGCTCTCTGTTCCCCTTCTTCAATTGTTATCTGCCTAGGGTCAGACACACAGAAGAGGGGGAAATGGTAACTGTCTCAATGCAGCTGCAAAAGAGTAGGGAAATGGGTTGTGGCTCGAAAAGTGAAGTTGTAATAATGGCACCAAGCTGTGCCCTCATTCTTAACAATGCACAAGGGATTCAGAAAGGGTCAATAAAACAGGAGTTGTCACTCTGGGAGATCTGTTCCTATGGCAACAGTAGACAATGGAGCATCTCTACAGTATGTGGCTTATTGCCCTTTTGCAGGTTTCTTGTGTGTCTAAGAAGTTTAACCTTCTCTACCGGAAATTAATAATCCTCCCCCTCTTCCTCATTATATGCATTTACCTCTTATCAGCAAGGTCTGTTTTGTTGCCCACTAACATGATGATGACATCACTTCCTCTTTCTGTTCTGACATCATCAATCCATTTGGATGTCTGCTGGAAGGAGTTGAGATCTACAAGGGAGAACAAAAACAAGGAAGGTGTTTATAAGACAAAGACCAGTCCTTCAATACAGGCGACAGATTCTGATACTTTTAAAAGAAGCAACACTTCTGACAAGCAGGGATGCTGGAGAATTCCAGTGAAAACAGAAAAGGAAGCAGAAATTGTTGCAGCTCACTTTTGTCTGTAGTTAGGAATGGAAATCATTCAAGCAAATATGATGACTTTTTTTCCCCATCATTGGGGATTTAGTGTGTGGAAGTTTGCAAATGATATGTAATTAATTGGAGATTCTTTTTAATGCTGTTTTGACATTTCCTTTATGTTGAAATGTATGTAATTAACATAGTTACACAACTTTTTCTCTTTAAGTTTATCCTTTCCTTATCTTTTCTTCCTTCTGACTTGGTTCTCTTATAGACTAAATAGCTGTTTTTTTCCAGCATATTATTAAAAAAATTAATTTGTAATGGGTATGTATTTTTGTATATCTTTGAATAAGCATCAATCAATAAATAAATAGTTACATAACTTATATCACATGTTAAATAGTGGACAGCAAGACAAATAATGTAATATTTGGCAGAAACCAAACTGCAGCAGAATAGAACCAGCACTGTCAGGGCATCTACTGAAGATGTATCTGCATCCAAGCTTTTCCTGCCTGTTAATACCAGCTCCTGGCATCTCTGGTTACTGTAATTGTTAATGAATTTTTACTGTTGTTCTATTGCAGGAGTGGGGAACCTGTGGCCACCCAGATATTGCTGGGATTATCCCTCATAACTGGCCATGCTGGCTGAGGCTGGCAGGAGGTGAAGTTCAACTGCATCTACTGAGCTACAAGTTCCCCATCCCAGTTTTACTTATTGTTCTATTTCATTTTATGCTGTCGGCAGCTTTATTGTACTGCAAATTGCTTTGGTGTTTCTGTGAAGTGAAAAGCAGCATACAAATAATAGGCAAAGGTAAAGGGACCCCTGACCATTAGGTCCAGTCATGGCCGACTCTGGGATTGCGGCACTCATCTCGCTTTATCGGCCGAGGGAGCCGGCGTATAGCTTCCGGGTCATGTGGCCAGCATGACTAAGCCGTTTTTGGTGAACCAGAGCAGCGCACAGAAACACCGTTTACCTTCCCGCTGGAGTGGTACCTATTTATCTACTTGCACTTTGACATGCTTTCGAACTGCTAGGTTGGCAGGAGCAGGGACTGAGCAACAAGAGCTCACCCCGTCACGGGGATTCGAACCGCTGACCTTCTGATCGGCAAATCCTAGGCTCTGTGGCTTAACCCACAGCACCACCCACGTCCCTATACAAATAATAATTTAGATAAATAAAGAAGCCATGCCTCCTATCCACAGATGGCTCTTTGACTGTGCATCTCATAGGCAGCACTTTCAACTGATTCTCGCACCCCCCCCAGGCTCACAAACTGTGACGGGAGGCATCCACACGCCGCTTTTTGCCTGCCCCTTCCTTGCATATTGCCAGGAGAATCTGCTGCCAATTAGAGGCAGAGTTTAGTGTAGCTATAGCAACCAGAGCATAGGCAATCCATTAAACAGGAACATTTTAAATGAGCCACTCGGCTCACTCAGCCGCCTGCGTAGGTCTGACCCCTCTGCGACGGCTTCGGCTGCTTGAGCCAGCAGGGGCCACCAGAGGGAAGCAGATCCACTTTTCTGTCACTTTTCATTTCCTCTTACATTAATTGCAATAAGGAACATGGTAAGTCACAGCAAACAGCGAGAGGTGGCTACAGAAAAGGTCAGAGTGTTCTTGTCAGAGTCGGGCTTCAGAAAGGCTTGAAATATTTTGCTCGGTGGCTCCTTTACCGAGGAGGCATTAGATTCCTCAGAAGTGAGGATCTGAGTGCTGCATGAGACCCACTGCGGTCCAAGAGCTGGAGCACCAGCTAATGGCCATGTCTGATGGGAGTTGTGTTCCAAAACCTCTGGAGGGCACCTGGTTGGCTAAGGCAGTGTCTGATTACTGCTGCAAAGTCCTAGATTCAAATCCTCAGTCATGTAGTTTCCTGGTTGATCTCAGGCCAGTCACTTCCTCACCACCTTGCTTAGCTTACCCACCCCCCAAACAGCCCAATGAGGGCCAAGGGTGCGATCCAACCCCCCAATCCACTGTGCTAGGTTTGTGTATGGACACAGCAGTGGTAGCCCTCCATTTGGAAAAGTCCTGCCAGCACAAAGCTCCCTGTTCTGCCTGCCGAAAAGTGTAGGGAGGTAGATGTGGTGCTGGTGGCCTGTCAGAACCCCACGGAAAGCCCCCAAAGAGCCATTCTGGGGGTGCAGGGGAGCTGAGGCAACCCAGGATCGAGTGGGTCCTGAGCCAATCCCGCTGCTGTCACTTGACAGCCTCAGGTGTGATCTGGACCTGATTTCCAGGCCAGCTCCAGTCTGCCCCCAGCTTTTGCATGCCCTCCACTTTTTATCCCAGCCAGGTAAGCAACAGGTTTGTGGACGTGGTGTGGTCCCGCCACTCTGCTACACCCCACCCAGGGCTTGGATCGCTTTGTCGGTGCTTAGAGGTCTTTGAATGCCGACAGGCTGTTGGGAAGGGAAAACAAAAAATCAGCAGGGAGGGGGGAAGGGGATGAAGTCCATTTGGCATCCTGAACAATGGGCATACCACACTGCAACACTCTGCCGCGGGTCCCACTCATTTCAGCCTATTCATAAAATAACTGGTTTGGCACTCTTGAGTTATTGTGTACATAATAGGAGGTAGTATCTCTCCTTAAAAACAACAACATCCTCCTCATTTATCAGGTAGGAACCAACATATAGAAAGTTAAGGTCTCATGCTTGGCATGGAAGCTCCCAGGAGCATTAGTCTGGCCACTGTTGGGCACAGTCTGGTGGACTGAATGGTCTTTGTTCAAATCACTCTTTAAAGGATGCTCCTAGAGGTATTTGGATGGTCTTCAAACAAAGCCTAGCCCTTGCATCCTCCTACAGGTGTTCATCTATCTATCTAGGTAAAAAGGTAAAGGACTCCTGGATAGTTAAGTCCATTCAAAGGCGACTATGGGGTTGTGGAGCCCATTTCCCTTTCAGGCCGAGGGAGCTGGTGTTTGTCCCCAGACAGCTTTCTGGGTCATGTGGCCAGCATGACTAAACCGCTTCTGGTGCAACGGAACACTGTGACAGAAACCAGAGCACATGGAAACACCATTTACCTTCCTGCCACAGCAGTACCTATTTATCTGCTTACACTGGCGTGCTTTCAAACTGCTAGGTTGGCAGGAGCTGGGACAGAGCAACGGGAGCTCACTCCATTGCGGGGATTCAAACCACCAACCTTCCAATCGGCAAGCCTAAGAGGCTCAGTGGTTTAGACCACAGCGCCACCTGCGTCCCTCTATCTATCATCTAAAATAACTAACATTTAAGCAATCATAAGTTAACTAGGTTGCTTAGTACAACATGCACTTCATTTGGCAATTGTTTACAAGACAGCAGAACAGGTTTCTTCATGTAAACTTCTGCAGGACAGAGGCAACTCCTTCAGAATGGAAGGTTCTACCATGGTGCAGAGTGTGTGTGCGTTTGTGTGTGTGTGTGTGTGTGTGTGTATGTGAGTACAGTACAGGGTAGCAGTGGTCTATCCGTTTGTTACATCTTACACTGAGCCCATACAACAGATAGTCCCTAGTGGATGATATTGAGCAGCAATGGGCAGATACAAGGTCTTCCCATGCTTGCCCCACAATCCAGTGCCTCCAAGCCTGTAACTCACTTGTGATGTCATAGACCACCACGGCTACTGTTGAGTCTCGAATGTAGCTGGGGATCAAGCTTCGGAATCTCTCCTGGCCGGCTGTGTCCCAGAGCTGCAACCGCACCTGCCGAGAGGGGATCGGGAAGAGCGGCAGAGAGACATACAGTTAGGAGAAGAAACAGCCATTAAACACAGGAAGTCAGAAGACTGAACGATGAACAGAGGGAGCATCCATTGTCTGTTATGTCCCCTGAGAGTTGTCATTTTTAATAAACAGTAACAATTGATTGCTCTTCATTCTTTATTCTAGCTTTCTGATTATACGAGGTGTGGAGAAATGACCATGTAATCCAGCATGATGTACAGGCTAGCCCTTCCCAGGTGGTTATAAACCATGGTTGGGGAACTGGATCCAGCTGGTGGGCTGGATCCTGGCTTCCTCTCACTCTCAAACCCATGTCACTATGATATCAGAGGCAGCCTATAAACTAGTGGTGGCCTGCAAGCCTACTTAGTCCTGTAAGAGGTCCTAACCTGGCCCACAAGGCTTTTCCAACCCAAGCCACACCTGCCTGTCCTCCACCTAGCATAACATATGACAACAGAGTTGGGGGCAAGTAAAGGTAACACCTGGGAAAAAACAAACCTAGCAGGCCCTGCTTCGGACCTCTATGCACATTTGATGAAATGGGTAGGGACAGTCCCATAGACGGCACAGCTGTATTTGCTCTGATATCCCCGTCATGTGTACTCAGTATACCTACGTACTTTGAGCACCTGAAAAAGGCTCTTTTGTAAAGCATATCTGGGAGTCTCGTGAACAAAAGGAAGAGTGCAGTAAAAGGAGGCAAAAGGCCACTGAGACACAGAGGGAAAATGGGAAAGAGTAACAACTATGGAGTGGCTTCATCAAATCTTTGGAGTAGGCCACACTAGTCTCACTAAGGGGACACAACCCTGCTTCACTAATAAGGAAAAAACAACCAATGGCGGGTTGCATCCACTACAGAAAGATACAACTGTGATCTCACTGACAGTAGATCTAACAAGGGTTGCTGACTCCCAATTGTTTAAGAACGATAATAACAAAAAAGATTTCTTCTGCTTTCAAAATTAAGCTGTTAGAATTCCTGATCTGAAGCCACTCAGCTGTAGACCCCAATCATGTATACGCAGGTCGTTCTAGTGTATGGCTCCTGGTGGGACACAGTGTGTGATTGGCTGCACCCCTTTGACCATTTTGCACTAGGCTCCAGTTGGCGGACCTCGAAAGTGGGTCCTGCCTACACTGCACGATTCCAGCCCATGGGCTACTCTGGAGTTTTGAAAAGTGTAGTCTAAATTTCCTTCTACAATCCCAGGTCTAAGGCTCAGCCACATGGGACACAGCTGAGTCCTATGCTTTCACCCTTCGTGGCCTTTCTGCTGAGGCTGCCAGCAAAGGATTTCAAGCTTGTGCTTCCATGATATCATGGAAGGCTTCTGGAAGCTGGAATGCTTTTGGAATCTTTCTGATGTGGAAAGGCCTTCAGTCACATGGGCTGGATTTTTGTGGGGCATCTGAGGCCACAAAATTTGCATTAACACCCATCAAATTCTCATTGACCTGAGAGGCTTTTGCAAAGTTGTATACGCTCCCGTGCATTGAGAGCGAGATTGGATGGCCAATACTCAGGGAGCAAGCATACCATGTGACTAAAGCATCCTCGACTAAGAAAAAGAGGTGTGCAAAAAACTAAGGTGCCTTCTTGGACAAAGTTGGTTTAGTTGCTTGTAATCTACTCCGCAGTTCATTTGGCTTCAGTATTTTGCCTCGGTTCCAAATCACCACACAACTGATTTGGGATATCTTTTGGGGAAGAGATGATGTAAATGAAGAGATCCATTTCTATTTCTGCTGCTGGGTCAGAAACAAACCCATGGAAGGCCTAGGGAAATCTACCAGTGTGGCTTCATCTCCCCACCCCCCTAAATCACTCAGCCTGTGGCTTTCATTAGAGCAATTGGAAAGGCTTGGAAACAACCCATTAGGCCTGAGATGGATGTTGGAGAGTACATTAACACTGCAAGAGATAGTTAGCTGCTACTTATTAATGCAGCAGCTGCCGCTTCCCCCTCTCATTAGAGCCAACTCCCATCTGCACTGACATTGGGTTATCCTTGCACAAAGTCCCCCCAAAATCTATAAATCAAGACCTTTTTTGTTTTACAGTGGGTCCCCCCCCTTCCAATGCCATTTCCGAGAAAATAAGAGAAATGGCAAAATGCAGGCACTTAGGAAGGTCTTCCTAGCAGAGAGGATGATTGCCTGTCCTTGAAGAGACTGCTAGTCACAAACTTCCTGGCTCAAAGGAGAGAAAGCAGGCCCACTGTGGCTGCACGTTCCTGGCTTATAAGGGAAACAGCACAAAATCACACCCTCTCTGCCTGGTGAGCTATGGCGGTCAGAGTAGACAATACAGGGATAGCTGGATAAATGCAGAAACCCCTGGTAAGTGGTGCAACCCCTTTCCTGTCTGGCCCGTCTGAGGCAATAAAGAGTGCGCCTGAAATTAGATCACCAGGCTCTGCCAAAGTGATGGAAGAAAACAAGAAGTGCTTCAGTATGAAAAAGTGTTCTCTGGAAATAGTAAGGTTGAAAACCTCCAGGACGGGGGCATGAGTGCAAATGAGGGGTGGGACAGCTTAGTCTCGCTGCTCAGAACTAGGATGGAGCTAATGTACAGGAACTCTTGCCTGCATGCTACTCTATGTCCCAGTGTGCTCAGTGCACACAATGTTAGCTACAATCCTGCATGTATGGTGCAATATTCTGTATGTATGCTGTCATTTCTCTGAAAATACTGCATTTTGATTCATTTTCCCATTCCAAATTGAGGAAAAGCTGCATTTGAAGCTGGCAACACGTACAAAGCCTCAGTCATCAGTATGACAGTTTATCAGTGTAGCTTCAAGCCTCTGAACTCTGATTTAGCTGGGCTGGTGGCCGGGAATAAATTAAGGCATCGTGGCCAAAAATCCACGAGTCTTGTGGCCAGCTAATATATATAATATAAAACTGTTTTATATTAGTTTCAGCTCCTCTTCACACATCTGAGAGCATGTTATCTATAGAATATTATGACGGACAAGGACAAGCCCATGCAGAAATGTCTGACTCCAACCCTCCTTAAAACACCCGTTTTTGACATGATGCTCTGGGAAAGGTAAGGCAGCATGCAGATATGAAAGAGCAGAGGCAGATTACTCCCTTATCAGTTTGGGCAAATCAGAACATGGGTTTGGTTCAAAAAGTCCCCTCTGCATTCGCCCATTACTTCTGTCTGAATACGTAGCTTGGGAATGTCAGGTCCTCAGCAACTCCTGGCACTTACTGTCCGGTCTTCCAAGTACATGGTTTTAGATAAGAAGTCAATTCCAATTGTAGCCTATATAAAAAAAGAGGAATGGCATAAGAATTAGTAGATAGTCTGGAAGAAAATAATTTTTAAAATTACACACAGTGACTGGGATCCACAGAACCACTTCAAGAGCTCTCAGTGACTTGAGAGGGATTTGTCTACCTTTAAATGGTAGACCCCGTCTTCATACCATGGAACAGACTGCTTCAGAATGTCCCTTCAGTTTCAAATTGCATTGCTGTGTTGCATGGGAAGTTGCCATTCCAAGAAATATGGGCCTAAAGCTTGCATGGTGTTGGTAGTGCTAGTTGCACCATCTTTCAGATCCCATCTCACATGTGCTCAGTGATGTTCCCCTTGAAGTTGTTCTAGTGGATTGAGAGCTTATCCATGCTTCCTCTTCTCCTGCTGCTTTCCCCCAGGGTAAACCACTTTTTAGCACTTCCCCATTTCCTAGGCATAGCTGTCAAATTTTCCCTTTTCTTGTGAGGAATCCTATTCAGAATAAGGGAATTTCCCTTAAAAAAAGGGAAACGTTGACAGCTATGTTCCTAGGCTTCTGTCTTACTCAAATGTAATAAGCAATGGCACCAATATTTGAACATCCTTTTAAAAAAATTATTTTGCCACACGACTGTTCACAGTTCTCCAAGAGTTGACAGAGAGCCAAATAGGCTTTCCCACCATAGATGTTTTTGTTATTTTCTCTGTGTTTCCATAGAACTGGAACTCTAGAACACTGGGATGTCATCCAGGAATGAATGCATGGGCTGAAACAGTGGTGGGGAAATCTGAGACCATCTGGATGTTCTTAGACACCAACTCCCATCCGCTCCAGCTAGGTCAGGGACTATGCCAGCTTGGAACCAGTTTACTTGAAGAATCGTCTTCCTCTAGATATACTCCCACTCAACCACTCCAGTGTACAGAACTGGTACTTTTACAAATGTCACATAATATTGGTTCTGCCCTTGTAAGGAATCAATCTTTTAGCACAGCAGCGCTTACAGTCTGGAATTCCCTGCCTGTTGGCATTAGTCAGGCACCCTCAATGTCCTGCTTGTGGCACAGGCTCAAAACTTTTTTGGTTTTGTTTAGGCAAGTCTTTCTAGATTAAGTTGGCATGTATTTTAATGTGTAAATTAATTTCACAGTGTATATTTTCGGTGTATATAATTTTTATTAAATTTTCTGTTTAAATTTAAAGTATAATTTTTTGTAAAATATGCAGAGATTTATTATATGTAAAATGAACCATGGAAAGAGAAGAATGGAAGTCACTGATATCTTAAGGATGTAAAAATGAGTACTTTAAATCAGTGTATATTTTCAAACTACTGGTATTATTTATATTTTGACTTTTTAAGGCTAACTTGTTTTTAACACTGACTTTAATAATTCTAATGCACAATAAACAAATGAATAAATTCAATTCAATTCAATAAAATAAAATAACTCCCCTTACCTCTGAACTACAGTATCATTAGTGGTGAAAGCAGTGTTGTTTTATTGAGAGATATGAGGAACCTCTGAACAGCTATGGCGATTAATGAATAGTGTTACCGACACACTAAGGGATACTTTGCTCTAAAATGTACCCAGCATGGCAAATTGGGTGAAAAATCTCATTGTGGATTTGCATGGTATATAAATGCTAGCCCCTTTTTACTACCCAGGTTTACATTGGTTTCCAACCAAGGATGGAAATTCCAGCAGGACATATTACAGATAAGCTCTTGTGCCCCATGGCTGCAGAGCTGACCATTGTAATTAAAAGGAGCTGTCTCCAGAGCTCAGCCATTGAAACACTCACAGCTCTGGGAGTTTGGATTTCAAGTCACATCTGCTGCTGGCTTTAGTTGATTAATCAAACAGTATGCGCTGCAGTCTGCTAGGGGGCATCCTCTCTGGAGGGAACTGGCCAATATTTAAAAAGCAATGCAGCACTGGCTCTATAGAGTCTATATAGTTAGCCCTGCGCACTGAGCCGAGCTCGGCTAAGTGCTTGGGAATGCGAAAATAAGAGAATCTATCCATCTTCTACTGTCAAAACCACACTCGGTTATGTGCTGCTGAGCGGTCCAATTCAGACATCTGGGAGCGCCTTCTCAATTACAAGTGTCACAGCAGAAAAAGCAAACAGATGGAATCCAAATTTCTGCACATCTACATATGTACAGCAGCCACAGCATCCCACCTCGTTCCATCCCTGTCCTTTGTTGCTGTTGAAAAGCTACATTTTGGCACAGCAAATTAGAGAGGGGAAACAAAGGTGAAACCGCCAATTTCTACACAACTGAGTGTGGGGTGAGGGGAACAGCGTAAGAAGTCGAGGCCAAAAGGGTTACATTCCTGCTTCTTAGACCTTCTGCCCACTGCTGCAAATTATCCCGGGCAAATGGAGTTGCATTTCAAGGTGCTTAGTGCTTGCCTAGCTCGACTTCGACAAGCTTCCATGGCAACAGTGAGGCTGGTCAGCATGAATACTGGGTAGCTGCACATTCTCCCACCTAAATATTAATGCTTGTCTTATTTACATTCTAATAGAGGACAAAAACTTGACTTTGGTGCCTGATAATACGAGCGATGTGCAGTGTGGCAGTTAGACCTTGATATATAAGAGGAGGGTCTAGATCGGTGTCTAGAACGTCCATATTATCAGGGCTTGATAATATGGGCGCATTAGACACCAATCTAGATCTTCCCCTTATATAAAAGATCTAACTGCCATGCTGTTCACCCTGCTGCCCATTGAAAGATTGCCTTCTCAAGGGACTATCTCTGACAAGATGGCAACAGAAGGTTTGAGATATGGCTCTTTCTGAGCATCTACAACACAGAAGGCCAAGCAAAAACCCAATTATTTTGAGAAAGTACGGTCCCCATATATCAGCCATGTAAACAGAAGTGATGTGAATGTAAGTCTCCGGGCTTATTCACAAGAGGCTGTCATGGATAGCTGAAGCCTTGGCGATGTAGTCACTGATTCAGCTATTCCACCCTGTCCTCACTCAATTTGTTTTCTTATATGTGACTGGTATAAGCATATTAAGTCTTTACAGGGTTTTGCTGGAATTGATCAATGCTATTTTACTATAAAATCAATAAAATATATCTCAAACCTTTAGTGAAAACCAAACAGAAAGAAGAGAGAAGGACAATGTGACAAGTGTATAAACAGCAGAAGGAAGATACCCTCTTTGAAACTTAAGGAAGTCCCTAACGCAGCCTTCCTCAGGCTGATGCTTTACAAATATTTTACACTACAGTCCCCATCACCCAACTATTGCCCAGGCTGGCTAGGGCTGAAAGGAGTTGTGATCCAAAACATCTGGGGAAGCTGCCCTAATCCCCCATTCTGAAGCCAGATCCGAACAGAGCCTTGGGAGATACAGGAGAGCTGGAATCTAAAAATCTGTGGGTGGATTGTACTGAATTTGGATTCTTGGGGATCCCAGCTTTACTTTTAATCAACCCTTTTCCCTGGGAATGCTCTGAGAGTGCTCAGATGGTGGAGAAAATGCTCTCCGGTAGGAGCACTGAGGGCCTGCGATTCCAGAGAGCAAGGAAAGGGCTTCAGGGGTCCTTGTATTGATTTGTTTCACCGCTGTCTGAAGGGGGATTGAGTGGGATTTAAGAAAGAAAGATGTGTGGAAGCCAGGAAGCCAATTAAGCCCAGTATCCTGCACCACGCAACTCCCATCAGAAAAGCAAATAACCTTTTGAATTTCAAGACCCCTGAAGCTCAGTGGTAGCAGACACTTGAAAAGAGGGGAAGAGAAACACAACAACAAAAGGGCTGTGGAAGGCCAATGGGAGATGGATAAGAAATGAAACTAAATCATTCCTCTGCACTGCTGAAGTGGAAAGAGGATGGGAGGAAGAGAGGCTAGACAACATTTGGTCACCATCACTTCAGTACAGCAGGTTAAAGGCACCTGTGGGGAACAGGATTTGACTAGCAGATCATAACCTTCTCTACCACTTTAGGCCACTTTGACAGGTGGGCAGGGCTGCCTACTTGCCTGACGTCATTTTGACACCTGGTGCTAATTTCGAAGGGGCTTGCTATCAGTGCCAATCAGCTGATTGGTGCTGACAGAAAGCCCGGCTTTGTCTCTTTTCCTCTCTGCACACTGGTCTGCAGAGGAAAAGTGTCAGCTTGAAGGTGTATTTTAAATCCAAAACCATGCCTGCAAATGGATGACTTAAAAGTGGTGAGCTATCAGTGCCAATCAGCTGACTGGCACTGACAACGAGTCCTGCTTGCCAAGGCACAATTGAGAGTGTATGTTAAGCTCCTGACTGTTCCTCTGAAATAGTGTCTTACCTGCCCCACACCTGACGTCACATATGTCATCAGATGTGGGGCAGATGGGTGTAGGCCATAGGAGGGGTGTTCCCAGGTACCCCAACCTTTGCCCTTGGAAACCTTATAAGGGAGAGGGACTGGGAGGGGTGTTTCTAGGACTAAGATGAAACTGTAAAGCTTCCTTATTATTTTTGTTATGGGATGCTGCATGTTGTTTAAGTAATCTTATTATATTTATAGTATTGAAATGTGGGTTTTTAATATGTTATATTTTTGTTTTGCTGTGTTATTATGAAATTGTTTTTGTAGTGTTTGTTTGAAATGTATCCCTATTCCTTTGATGTAAGCTGCTTTGAGCATTTTGTGGGTGGGGGGAGGAGAATGGTATACAAATAAAGTGAATGAATGAATTGGTTGGGTGAAATTTGGCCCATGGGCTGGAGGTTCCCCACCTGAAGGAAATACACGCCAGAAGAGCAAACATAGGGCTCTTTATATGAAAATATTCAAAATCTGAAACCAGAACATCCAGGTTCTGCATAGTGTAGAAATTAGGCAATTCAGTATACATTTTTTCATTTAGCATAAGTAACTCCCTTCTGCTAATCGGGGAGGTGGGACATGGTTCAGCCACTGAGGGTCCACCCCATCTTGGCCTCTTTTGTCTTCAGGAGACTTCACCAGGCATCACCTGCACATATTAAGATTATTTTTGCAATCTTAAAGGCTTAGCTTCCCCACCCGCTTTTAAAATGAAACTTTGGATTTCCCAGTTGCTGACTTGTAGTCCAAATACCAGCTCAGAGTCAGCTAGCAGGGAAAGAGCTGGCCAACGCACAGACATCTAGAGCTAATCTCAGCATCTCTCTGCAAAACTCAGAATTCAAAGGCACCAAATGAAGCATCTTGTCCAACTCCCTATCCCAGAACAAGGCATCCTGTCTCTAAAGCTTCCTCACTGTTGAAAAACGTCCTGGAAATGGGGAAAGATTATGGGTCTTACTAACTTACAGTGCAGCCCTAACCAGGTCTATTCAGATGTGAGTCCTACTGAATTTAATGGGACCGATTCTCAGGTTAGTGGCTTTTAGACTGCAGCCTTAAGGAGCTAACACACAGTGAGATCCACTGTAACACAGTGGTTAAGGGCAAAGGCTATGAGCCAAAAAGCTTTTAGTGTCTATCTAGTGCATTTACTCATTTATATGCTCATATGCCAAGGCTCACATTTATGCCAGATGCTGGAGATTAACAGCAGGGAATGGCTATTGTCAACTGGCTCTGCTTATGAGCATCCTAGAGGCATTTGTCTGGCCGCCATTGCTGGTACACACATGCTGCATTAGTCAGACTAGCACGACAATTCGTGTGTGAAATCCCTGCCAGATGAGATCAGCGTCAAAATGAGCCTAAGCTGGAACCGTTTGAAGACCCCGTTCAAGAGTTCTTTTTGCATTAACCTTCCTTAAGCAACAGGAACAGGCATTTTCAAACACAAGTCATCAAGCGACTCCTGCTTTGATTAGTTTGCGATGCAAAAATGTCAGGCCGATATTGGACAGGAAACTCATTCAATATTGCAAATGGCCCATCGCTGCTTTCCCTTCTACGTTTAAACAAGAATTAATATAATAATGCCTTGCCCTTCAAGGCCAATCCTTATCAAGATGTCTTACAAAATAGACATCCAATGCAATGCTCAGATTTAAAACATGGGCAAAATATGGTCCTCTGCAGGCATTCTGAATTAAATAGTAAATATGTGAGGGATGGTGGTGTGGAGATTCATGCACTAGTTTTTCTGCACTTCAGATATAAACTACAATAGTCATTCCTTCTTTCCAATCAACACTGGGAACTGTAGTTTGTTGGGGTGGGCTAGACCTCTCTAATGTAGAAAGCACTGGGTCTCCTGATTACCAGCATTGCTGGGAGGGATATGGGGAGTGTTATGTACTGGAGTTCTCACCCTGGGACAGCAGGGGGATACTGTAGATAGTTATGCAAATAAGGGATCGAAAGTGACTTTCAGTGATGGGATAGTTTTAGAAAATTGTTACAGTTACGTTGTACTGGAGCTCTATATAAGCAGGCTGACTGAACCCTTCAGTTCAGTTCTGTTCTGGCCTGTGAATAAACAAGAGCTGTTTGAAGAATTGCTGTGTCGTCTGATATGTTCACCCACAACTTAACAGGGAGGTTCCCAAATTTCAGTTTTCCAAATGAAACTAGCAACTAAAGGCGAGGCGGCAATGCAAAGAAACTGGGCAGGGACCTAAGGTTTGGGAAAAGAGCAGACCCTCCCCGTTGTGCTGAGTGTGCAAATGAGAACCCAAAGTAGGTTGCTGCTTCTCTCTTTCCCTGGCCAGGAGATTGAAGGAGCAATAAATGAAAAGGTGGAGAAAGATCTGAGGGGTTTTTTTTAAAGTGAGGGGGAGGAATTTGGGACTCTAAGTGACAAAGTGAGAAGCCGTGATGGATTAAGGGTTTTGTGATGATGGTGGCATTTTCGGGGCACTTGGAGACTACATTATCAATGTCTGAACTGGCCTGAGGCAGCCAAAAAAGAAATAACACGTTTAATGGGGAGATTAGATATTTCAGGTTGTGTCTACTTTATTAGGCTTTAGGCATATCCCTTCCTTGAATCCTACATGCTTCCTCCTTTATGCCAACCACTTGCTAGCTTGACAGACGCCAAGCACACATAGCATGAAATAAAAACTCTTCCTCTCCAAATACACTGGGCATGGGAAATATTATACTTTTGCAAAGTCATTTGCTGGTCACCAGTAGCAACCAGGCAAGAAGGAGCTTTTGGAAAGGTGGAAGAGAATTCTTGAGTGCAGAGATATTTCTTTTCTTTCTTTCTTTCTTTCTTTCTTTCTTTCTTTCTTTCTTTCTTTCTTTCTTTTTTTTGTAGGGCCCAAGAAGGCTATCGTGGAAATTGCAGCAGTCTTTAACGAGAGAATCCATCTCGTGTGCTCATGCAGTGCTGCTCCTGTGATGCATTTTAAATTGCTTGTCAAGAGGTGAATGGGGTGTTTGTTTACCTCACTAAATTGCAACACTGACTGAGTCAGGTGGCTCTTTAAGCCCAATGCAGGAGAGGAAATAATTGCTGAAGGCCAATCACCTTTTAGCCTGAATGGAACGTGTTCTGTTTCAAAGCGTAAACCGTAAGAGCGCTGCTGCAGGAATGGCATCCTTCTGGGAGGTGATGAACGTGCTCCCCAACCCAGAGATGAAGAAAAACAACACTCAGGGGGGAAATGGAAGTGAAGTGGGCAATTAAAGCAGCTTTCCCAGCTTCTCTGAGTGACTGTCCTCTCTTCTAAGTCAGTGACAGCACCAGAAAAAAGAGAGAATTCTCTGTTAGAGATTCCTATTTTCCCATGTTAGAAAAGTTAGCATATGGGGCAGAAGCTGTAATATTATAACCAGGAAACCTAATGCAACAATCCCCTTGTCTGAATGCAGCCTTAGTTTCCCACAATGCTCCTGGCTTAGTGCCACACTGGAATGTTGTAAGAAACTGAAAGGGTGGCAAGACCCAGTTGCCCAGATCTGCTTGGAGTGCTGCTGCTGCTGCCGCCGCCGTAACCAGGTAAGCCCACCATGAGCTACTGACAGAACAGGAGGCCCATCAGACGAACAGGAGGCCCACTGCCCAGTCACCTCAGACCTGGAACCAGCACTGCCAGGAGCACAAGCAAGGATCAAGGAGGTCTTTCAGAACCCAAAAACTGCCCTTTGGTGCTACATAAGAAGTCTGAAGAAAACCTCACTTTCCACTGCAGCAAGAAAATTGCAAGAGCTCGATAGGTTAAAAAAAAGAAGAAGCATTAACTTGGAAGCACAACAACATCTCCTGGCATGTAAAGCATTTACAGATCTGCAAGGATTGTAAATTCCTTGGTCCACACCCATGAAAAGGGCCTAAAATGAGGGCTGAAATAATGTGAGGCATAAAAATATAATAAACTGGTCATTCCAGGAACCTGTAGGAGCTGGCAGGTTGAGGCTCACCACACTGTAATTCCTAGAATTATTTGGCTGAGGGTATTGTATTGAAATTGGTACAAAGACTAATCTCAAATCTGTACTGTAAATAGGGCAGTCCCGAGGGATCGTGGTGAAGAGGTGGGTCTCAGCACCCTTACACTGCATGGGGTTCTGGTCACACCCCACATGTTGTGGATTGTTTCATTAGCAGCCTTCAAAATATTGCCAGAAATGATTGCTGCAGTTCTTTATGCTAGCCTTGGTAGCAACATAGTCAACCAATTGCTTCACAATTTGTCCAAGGTTCCATTTTTTCCAATATGGGTTAACATTTTACTGCTCCACGGTTCAATAATGATTGGCACAATAGAATGTCAACCCACAATAACTAAATTAGGATTCAGGTGCATAGTGGAAGCACCTGGTGAATCATTTAAGTTTTTTAAACATGAAATTAATCTGCATTTCTTTCCGGGAGTCATACCCAGCAGAGTGCAAAAAGAAAGCATATTAACAGTTGCAAAACTGATACAGTAATGGATAACTGTTGAACAATGCATGAGCAGATCAAACATTCAGATTGATGGAAAAATTATTTGCTGGCAGCCAAGAAACATAATTTTGAATCACCCTGAGGAAAAGCAAAGCTTATTGCAGGCAGACCGAGGAGCTCAAATTCTCATCTATAGAGAGCAACGTGGGCACCTTTGCAGTTCCACACCCTTGAAGATGGCCGAGCAAGAAACCAGCCTTTTGTGTAACGTACAATAGCTTCGTGGGTTGCATCATCCATGGGGAGAGCTCACTTGTTCGGTGTGTATTTTCCTGTTCCAGTGAACAGATGCAGCCTGCAAGACAGATGTCGCTGTCCTTGCCATGGATAATCATCCCATTTGGGGACTCATCCTAGGAGAATGGCCTCTCCTTTGCAACAGGGAGCGTGATCTTTTTTAAGAGTACGGTATTGTTTCCATTTGAACAAATACTGCCTTGGTCAGCAAACAGACCAATTCAAATGTTTTGCAAGTGTGTAGACTCAGTGGATGCATGAGTGACTGGGATCATGGCTGCAGGTCACATCCCCAAGCAAATACATTTCTCAGAGGCTACCAGGGCTTTCTATCCTCTGTCATATTGCTTTACAGTGTGTCAAGCACCAGAAAGGAGGCGGGGGGGGGGAGCAGAAACAACCACCCTTCTGTTTCCATACAGTTTCTTGCTACTGCTGTTATGCCGACACTGCCCATGCCAGCAACATAAGCAGGTTTTTAAAGAAAGGCAGGAGACGAGGTCAGATTCAGATTAGCTCAGAAATGACTGAGTCTATTTCCTGACTTTTGGGAGAAATGGCTTGGCTTATTTCAGAGCTGAACCAACTGAAGCCATGGGGGGGGGGGCTATGTGCCTTTCTGGGGTTGTGGCAAGGTTAAACCAGAAGAAGAAAGCACAGGGAAGTTGAGGCTACATCTATGCTGATAGGTGCAGGTGATCAAAAGCTGAACACTGCTCAGATTTGAATTCTGCTACTCCTCTTCTGCTCATTTGTCAAAAAGAAAAAGAGGGGAGCATTATTATTATTTTGCAGCCTTGGTCATGTGACATGGCTATCCAAAACACTGGGAAACTTTTGTTTTTTACTATTACCATGCATCATGCAGTTGAGTGCCTCATAGGCGATGAAACTCACCTGGTATGTGTTGTCAAAGCTGTCATACATAAACCTTGTGATCAACGACGTCTTCCCAACTGGAGAGGGGCAGGGGAGGAAACACACAAAAGCCACAGAGATGCAATTAAAATAATGGACGCTGTGACCAGCAATAATACAAGAGTCCTCATCTAAACACAGGATGGACATTCTTTGGGGCACTCAAGGCCCAGGTGGATGTGACAACAAAGAAGCAGAGATACAAAAAAACTTCTACAAATAGCAATCTGGTGGTGGTAGGGGACATAGGCAATTTGAACTGGGAACTGTGCCGCAGTTCACCCTTTGCCTTTTAGGTTTGCTTTTTCGTATTTTTTTAAACTTTTTGTTAAGTAACCATGTGAATCTGTTGAAGGGTAGAGTACAAATTCCTTAAACTGACACAAAATTATTGATTCTTGTATTGCTTGGGTTTGGACTGGATGACCTTCGAGGTACCTTCTAACTTCACTCCATGTGCTGTTCATTCCGCCCTTCTAAAACCATATAAATGCATCCATGTGCTTCCTATCAAAGCAAAAAGCAGCAGGTTGGGGGGGGTGTCATCAGGGAAAGAGGTTCAGGGGGGAAGTGTTAGCTCCTTTCTCTCATGGTCTATGATTCTATGAATCTGTCTTGAATTGTCCAATGTTCAGTTTCATTGAATGTCTACAAGTTATTGGCCACCTATATCAGGGTTGGGCAGAAGGTAGACTGCAATCTGCTACTAGATCTGTGGGTGTTTCGAAGCAGATCAGAAGGGACTTCTGATTTCCAGTTGAGTAACAAGGGCAACGAAAACAACAACTGCCCCCCCCTTTAAATCAAACTGCAGAAATGAAGAAAGCTGGGAGTCAAGGCAGCAGTGAATTTGTGTGTAGAAAGACTGTAAGCTCCATTCAAAACAAGCTCCTGGGCTCAGAATGATTTAATTCTAAATGTTTGTCTTTTCCACCTTTGGGTTGATTTAAAAACAAAGTAGATCTCACAAGCTGGAAATCTGCCCAGTGCTGACCCCCCTGGGAAGTGTGCATGCAAAACTGTTCTACAAAAGGCCACTGGGACATTACATGCAGAGCTTCAGGGGCCAGGCTTGGAAGTTATACATTTCTTACACAACATATGGTATTTTTGTATTTTTCAGATGATGGATTGAAGCCAGGCAATTCAAGTAAGAAACCCAAACTATGAGAACTCTCTAGAACAGATGCCTCGAAGAGGCTCACAGGACCTCCTCTTCTCTTGCCACACTTCCATACCTAGGTATCTCCACAGAAAACACTTCTCAGTATACCCATCCAAAAACAAAAAACAAACAAAACCCCAGCTGATTTCCTGATTACAAAATGCACATTAAAAAGAGAAACATTTAAAGCAAACCTGGTTTAAGACCCATCCCCCTGCCCCGAGGGCACATTTGTTAATTAAGAAACTTTACAATGCCATTCATCGGGAGCCTTAATTAAGTATGCTAATTCCCTGCATGGTGTGCCTTCTGAAGAGATGGGATCCGTCTTTAGGTTTAATGAGCACCCTGGTGTTCAGCTCACACCAGAAGGAGTGTGAGGGTCTTTAGTATGATTTTCTCTCACCCCACCCCTATCAGAATCCCAGCTGAAGGAAAGGGGTGGAGAGAGACCATATTTCGCCTCAGAGCTGCTCTCTGTGGCTCAAAGCCAACCAGCTTAACACCTTAGCATTCCTCCTACATCCACTGTAGGAGGTAATTTGCCTCTGAATACCAGTTGCTGGGAATTACAAGTGGGGAGAATGATTTTGCATTCAGGTCCTCCTTGTGGGCTTGTGAGGCATCTGGTTGGCCAATGTGAGAATTGGATGCTGAACTAGACAGGCATTTGGCATGAGCCAACAGTAAAACATAACCATTGCGGGCTAGTAACTCATGCATTTCACCATGGAAAAGCTACCCCAACTATGGAAGATACAGAAGACGTGCAAAAATAGGAAGCCAAAGTCTCTTTCCCTTCCGCACAGTGCTGGAAGATACAATATCTACAGACACTCTCAGTACGAAGCATCACTTGTTGCTGGCATACATCTGTCTTGGGAGACAATGGAGGGGTGAAGTCAAACTGCTGGAAGGTTGCAGCACCTGTTGTGGTTGTAGAGACCAATATGGGAGAGGCATATTTTGTTGCAGTTGGGGCAGATGAAGGCATCTGGTTGTGCTCACTGGACACAGAATGCCGACTGGCTGTTGTAGGGGGGCAAAAAACCAGGTGGGAGGGGGGCATGTTGCTGTGGCTAGAGAAGGAGGAAGAGGCACAGATATAAGAAGGATTGAAAGAACCATCTCATTGGTTCTTGATAAGCCATTTCTCACTTCATGCTGAGAAGCTATTTTAAAAAGTCACCAGGTATGGGAGCTGCCACAAAAACAGAGAAGTCCATGATTCTAATGTGTCTGGATTGGGCACCAGTTTGTCCATCCTGCTGCTCTCTAAAACCTCTAAAGGTAGAAGCAAAAGAAGAAGAAGAAGAAGAATCCCTGCTTTGCAAGCAAAATTTCATTTGCCAACCTCTGGAAATAGCAGAAAGCTGCCTGGGTGTGTCTGGGGATGTTTGGAAACTTATAAACCCAAGCCCAAGAGCAATTTCTCTATACCAACCTTCCTGCTGCTCTCGTGGTACTCAGGAGACCAGCAGGAAAGATGGATTGAAGGATTGCAGATGTGAGTGAGCAGCATGCTTTCAATGGAGAAAAAGCAGGTCTCTTGAGGCTGGGGAATGGAGAGAGAGGAACTGACAATCTCTTGCATTTTCATGCAATGCACTAATAATGAGAGAGCGGGGAGACTCTGCATTGATCTACTACACCACCAGTTAAAAACCCATTTGATCTCGAATGTTCCCCCCTCCCTCACTGTGCTAGATCAGCCTCCCCAAACCTGGTGCCCTCCAGATGCTTTTGACTATGACTCCCATCATCCCTAGCCAGTACGGGGGCTGATGGGAGCTGTAGTCTTTAGACTACATGTTTTGACATGTTGAGGGTGCTAGGTTGGAGAAGGCTGTGTTAGATCTTTAGTGCTCATAGTTGAAGGCAATCCAAAGTCATCTTAACTGAAAACATTCCCACTCTCTTTTAAACCCTCCTGTTGCCTTCTGTATGGCTTTGTAATCTGTAGGAAAACATGAATGTGAAGGGACCGTAACTTTGGAAGCCACTAAGCCCCTGCTCCTCATGCATTCTCATTAGAGACTGCTTATTGTGAAAGGGAGAAAAAAGATGAACCAAAGAGCCAATCCAAACCAAACTATGGATATTTATAGAGCAGCTCTAGCCAGTTCAGTGGAGGATAAGGGGCTGATGCAGGATCCTAATTGGCTGCTGAATTCTACAAGGCATTGCCTGATGCTTGCTCCCCAGAGATGCTCCAGAAATCCAGAGCTTCATGAAGCTGACAAACAACATCCTCTCTCTCTTTTTCTCTGTTGCTGACAGATTGCTGGGACAAATAATGCAGAAATTGAGGGAGGGAGGGAGGAAACTGTATATTGAATGTGTTTCCCATTATTCAACAGCATGCCCATCCCAATGCATTTTTGCCTCCCCTGTTCCATGTATCAGATTGGTAGTTTCATCTTATGTCCACACTGGTGATAAAATAATGTCCTTCACTGCATGCAGCCAAAAACAGCAGGCTAGCTAAGGAGCACAGAGCAGGCTGCATAGTACACTCGGCTGTTCTTACTCCTGACCCTCAGCACCTGCTGCCTGAGGCAGCCACTTCACTCAGCTAGTGGTAGGGTCAGCCCATTTTAACCGCAATAACATACAACTACTGGTGTCAACAGTCAAACTCAAATTTCATGTTGGATCTATTTCAGCATCTAGACTCATGGAGGATTGATTATTTAGAACTTCTATACATCATGTATTCAGTACTTGCATGATTTCCACTTCTGGTTATTTCCACACTAGTATTTATTCTGGAATAGCCATGATTTGTTCATCCTCTTTTTTCTGAGCCATTATGATGACATAATAATCCAGTTGTTGTTTTCCTGCATTTTCCTTGTAGTTCTTCCATTTCCCCCAAGACTGCATACATACAATTTTTGGCAGCAGCCATTGCACATGCAAGAACATAAATCATAACGAATGCAAATTAGTTTCTTTTGTAATTTGGTTTGCAAACTCAGTTCAGATCCCACAATAGCAATCCATATCAACTAACTAACTGTGCATGCATTCCTTTTAGGGGTTTAGAGTAACTGCAGTTTGCCATGATGACCAAATTGAGCGGACTATGGTTAGTATTAACCAAGAATTGCCTTGAAATCACCATCTGAAACCATGCTTCAAAGTATGTTTGCAAACTATGTTTCAGAAGCAAATCCATGTTAATGATCACCATAGTTTGCTTGATTCTTGCAAACATCATAGTACATTTGATCCCAAATCATGGAAGAGAAAACTGGGATACAAAGGGAGGATGCAAGAAGGAACAAGCATATGAGCCTATTGCGTATTACAAATCCTCCAAACAAATTAGTGAATTGAACCAATATCTGGTTTACTTTAAATGTACACAAATGTGTCCTGTAATAAAAGTGACAATAGTCTCAGCATCAAAACAGAAGTATCTGAATATTTGGGTTCTTAAATAGTTGTGTTTTGCACTGTACATTCCTTTTTTCCGATTCTGTGTTTATATTTCCATTCTGCTGTGAAGGAGTTAGACCTTGAATGACTATTGTTGGTGCATTTGCACAAGAGTTAATGGAAAGGTTCTGGCAATGGAATATGTACAGAGCCAGCCCACAGTAAACTAAGAGAGAGGCTATTAGGGTGGCTTGCTTCCCAGGATCAATATCATTGGAGTTTTGAGGCAGGTTTGGGCACATAGTATAGCTGTAATGCATTCCCCCCCTCCTATTCTGTGAGTATCCTGCTTGATAGCTGATAGAGGTTTCCCTCTAAAAGGATGCTCTCAGCCACCTGTGAATTCCACCAAGCAGAACACACAAGCATGCTCCCCTGAAATTGTCCTCTGAAACAGAAACTACAGTAAAAGCAGCTACATGTTTGGGAAGACTTAATTCCTTTATTAATATTTGCTTTTATAAACTGCAGTAAAAAACACATTAGTGGGGTAGGAAAACTAAGCCCCCTAGAACAAAATACACACCAGGAGGCTTAGTTTGGTCAGAATCGAGTATATACTTCCAGAGTTAATGCTAAATACATTACTTCTGGTTACAAATGAGCCTCCACAGCCGCAAGAGGGCTGTGAAAATTTGTGTCCTGGGGTTTTTAGACTCATCTACCCATGTACCATCTGAACCCAAAGGGGTGTATTGTTTGCCAGTTGTGAAATATATTGGCATTATTTTCAGCTCTCCTACCCAAGTTTTTAGAGAGTCACTCATATTTTCTGAGACAAAAAGCCACAAAAAAGTTGCAAGCTGCTGGTGGTCAGACAGGGACAACTTGCAAGCCGGAGCTTTTCCAACATACATTTTACATTCCTTCTATCTATCTATCTATCTATCTATTTATTTATTCCCTTCTTTTTCCTCCAAAAGGAAGTCTAGAGAGGCTAACATCATCATCCAAACATGACAATTTCAAAAAAAAACCCCAACACCATACAGGGGGAAAATATCTGGCCATAAAGATGCTGTAATAAAGCTTTTTATTCAGTCCTTAAGAAAACACTGGGTTAATATGTACAAAATTCTGTAAAAATGAACAATGGGACACTAAAATACAATCAATATTTCAGCTAAACACACACACACACGCTGTCAATATAGACCATGCAAACATAATATTGAAGGAGACAAAGTCACCCAGCCTAGAGTCATCAAAAAGAAAGAGAAGAACTAAGAAGAATCAATGATACATTGATAGCATAGGATACAAATAGTTTCCATACCCCAGAACTGTCTCATGCCTGCAGGTTAATATGCAGGAAGAAGAAAGGGAGGCAGCCTACACTACTCTCATGCAAAACTGAAAGCTGGCATCCAGCAGGGGTTATTACTTCTATAGCCAGGCGAGAGCATGCTACAAGACTGCACATTTCCTCCAGGCTGGTGGGCAGGCACAACAGTCAGCCATGCAAGCAGGCTTCATGTTTCAAGCAGATCTATTTAAGAGTCAATAGCAGAATTTCTCTTTCTCTCTCTCTCTCTCTCTCACACACACACACACACACACACATCACAATTACCGAGGGTCTTGGTGGACCACTTAATGATTCAACCCCAAATCCATTTTTAGAGGTTGGCTAAAAAGGTAAAGGTAAATGGACCCCTGACCATTAGGTCCAGTCGGGGCCGACTCTGGGGTTGCGGGGCTCATCTTGCTTTATTGGCTGAGGGAGCCGGCATACAGCTTCCGGGTCATGTGGCCAGCATTACTAAGCTGCTTCTGGCGAACCAGAGCAGCGCACGGAAACGCAGTTTACCTTCCCGCCGGAGCGGTACCTATTTATCTACTTGCACTTTGACGTGCTTTTGAACTGCTAGGTTGGCAGGAGCAGGGACCAAGCAAGGGGAGCTCACCCCGTTGCGGGGATTCGAACTGCTGACCTTCTGATTGGCAAGTCCTAGGCTCTGTAGTTTAACCCACAGCGCCACCCACGTCCCCTCAAAATATACACACACACACACATATATTACGGTACATATAAATAAGCTTAGAACTTCCACTCTCAGAGAAACTGAAATTAAATTTGCTCCTTCTTAATTTGAATGCAAAAATTCTGCTCCTTTGCAACTGCTAAGTTGTTGCACTGGACTCACAAGGAGGGAGATGTGTGTATGGCTGGCTGAAGTTTCACCTAGAGTTGTTTCATGCCCTGATTCTCAAGGGAACATCTGCTTCAGAATAAACCCACAGAAGGAATATCAGATTCATGTGTGTGTGCATCTGTCCATCCCATTCTGCACATGTTGGCAAAACCACCTCTCCAGAACTATATAAAGTCCTGTGAGATGAGACTTTTTCACAGGGTACCCATCTAGGGGCAATGGGCTTGTATGCAGGGTTTTCCCCCCACACTTCCATTTGCATACACAGGCCGGGAATCAGCCTTCAGAGCAAGATCTGTGCATTGGACCCAGGAAAGACATGACTATCCAGCCATGATTAACACTCACATCCACATGCAGCTTTTCAAAGCACTGTTGGGGGGGGGGCGAGAACGCCACTCTGCTCACACATCGCCTGAGCAACTGAGCAGTTACTCAGCAAACATGAAGCAAGCAGGCTATTTGTATTCTGATCCCATGCGCCACCAGCATCCTGCTCAATGTTTCTGAAGGGAAATGCACTCCTTAGAAGATCTCTTTGAAAAACGCCTTGGGGGGAAAAATATGTTGAGCTTTAAGATGCAATTTCTAGAGCTCACGCAGAGATCTAACAAAGCAAAATGAGGAACGGGACATAGGAATGTCTTAAAAATAAATTAAGATGGATTTGCACTTAATGGTGCTTCCTCCGCAAATCAATGCAGTGGAATGCCCTGGTAAGCCCTCCCCCCAACTGCTCCTGGTACCCCAGATCAATCTTAGACCCAGTGCTCCACACATCAGCCTGGGCAAGCGTCCACCTGCTCTCTCTCCTGCAGGTCATGCTCTGACCCGTTACAAAGAGATGCAAACAAGCCCCTCTTTACTAGATTGGCCCTTATTTCCCGAGGAACCAAACACTAACTGAACCATTTGGAATGCAGAGGGGGAGAGAGAGCAAAGAATGTTGTCTCAGAGTGTGGACGAAACATCCCAAAGTCAGACAGAATGCCTCAGGGTGAGGAAAAATTATATGACTATAGAAAATTTAACTCAGAAGTGAGGAACCTGTGGTCCTACAGATGGCATTGGACTAAAACTCACACCAGCCCAACTCCACAGCCGCCACATCCTTTATTTAAGATATGTTGAGAAACGTAGTGAAACAAAGCATAAGAAATACAATACAGAAAAGGTAAAAATCAGTTAAATTTATTAAATCCATGCTGGGATTTAAAAAAAATATATTCAGTAGGTGCTGGAAGTTCAACAAAGGCTCTGCCCAACTAGAAGGGAGTTCCACAAAATAGGGGGCAACAATTTTATTTTATTCGTTTAAAATTTATGCATCACTTGATTTTGTTAAAAACCTCAACGTAGTTTACAAAAGATAAAACAGTAAAATCAAGGGGTGGAAATGCAACCCTACTTTAAAACATACAGAAGTTCACTCTGTGGTCCAAGGGCAGATTACAGCATTAAAACCAATAGTAAAACAACTTACAACCATAAAAATAAGGTGGGTTCTAAAAACATTTACCTCAAGTGTCAAAAACCAGGGTAAAGAGCCACATCTTCAGCATTCTCCAAAAGCTTAGAATAATAAAACTGTAGAGTTGGAAGGGACCCTAAGTATCATCCAGTCCAACCCCTAGCAATGCAGGACTATGTAGCTGTCCCATATGGGGATCAAACCAACGACCTTGATGTTATCAGCACCATGCTCTAACCAACTGAGCTATCCAGTGTATAATAAAGGCACCAGACACACAATGCTGAATGAACAGCTCCTGCTGGATACAAGCCAGGCGTCAGGGCCATGAGGGGACCACTAGCAGAGACCCCCGTGGAAGACCTCCGTGATCTGGCAGGGATATAAGGAATAGATGGTCCTTGGGGCATCTGGCCCCCATGTTAATAAGGGCACTGTAAATGAATACAAGAACTTTGAACCTTGCCCAGTAGAGTCTGAGCACCCAGGGCAAGCTCTTGACCAGGCTCTTAGCTCTATCCATCAATATCTAGCAACGTGGATCCTTTATTGGCAACTTACAAGTTTTTCCAGGGAAATGCCCCCTTGTCAGCCTTGTCAGCCCAAACTGGCTCTTTCTACCAGGTAACCACCCGCTGGGGATTGTTGGCAGGTCACAGGCTTAGGCAGAGGCTCAGTGCTATATGGCCAGTCATGTATTCAAGAGGGTGAGAAAGGTTTAGTCTCCAAACGAGACTGTGGCCTCTTTCAGTCCTATTCTAGGCCTGCTGTGTGGAGCACACATTGAGGCCTGCACTTTTCTGACCGATGCTAGAATGGCAGCTGTTCATGGTCTGTCAGATCATGGAGGACCATCTTTCTATCTGCTTTGCTGGATTGTGCTCTCCAGCAGTCTTTGACCTGCTCCCACTACCACTGGTAGATACCACCACAACCCACATCCCCCTGCCATGCTCACAGAGGCCTTCACGCAACAGCTGCGGGATCCCAAGCAACTGCAACAAGGTACCAACATTCAGGGTGCCAAGGGTGAAGTCATGTTGGGTGGAATTAACCATATCTTAATCTTTGTTATGAGGAGGCTGCCCCGTCCTGCTTTGGACTTTGTGCCCATTTATTTCAAAGAACTATTTCAGTAGCTCCTCAACCACCCCTCCTTTCCAGTGGAACAATCGTTGTGTTAGAAGTGTGGCCTCAGCATTTGTCAAGAGGTCTCCAGAGGGAAGCCAATGCTCTAGAAGAAACCCAGGGAGAATTACTGCCCTGCTGCTCTTGTTGGGAAGCCTATGAAGATGCTGAGCAGAGAGGGAAAACCATTTTTATCCATTAGGCAGGCAGTCCAGCCAGATCAATACTAGATCAAAGGTGTCTAGCAGAAGATGGTCCCTGCAATCCATCATGGTGCTCTCAGGCCCCTTCTACATTATCCAGGCAGCAGGAACTGATGGAGTGGGGGCCGACTAGAGGGGAAAGAGGTACTGTAGCTGCTTTGTAGTCTCTCTATAGACAACGATCTGCTTGCAAAAGGCTCCACATTATGAACAGAGAGCATCTCTTTGTGTTTCTGAACAGTACATAAATACGGCTGGCAGTAACATTCTGGTGGTGGTGCTTTTAATTTAGTGGCACCTACACATAGCACTCACATGATGGGCATGACCCAAGATGACATTAGGCTAACTGTAGAGTGGTTTCGCTTGAAAGGTTTTTCCAAATAGCTCCTCAGTTGTTTCGCATCCCATTTGCGGGCAATTGTATAACTTGAGCATGAGGCTTGCCCTGCTAGAATCTCGGATTCTGGGCCTCGCTGGTGCCACTCAATGCCCTTGGCCAGCAAACTATTTTGCAAAAGAAGATAGCAGCATCTCACCTTCACACACTGTGCTATTATTCCCCATAGCACTACCCATTTCATGCAACCCGGGGCCTTAGGTGCGTTTTAAAAAGATTAAGGCAATTACAGATAATGGATAGCTAAGCTTTCCTGGCAGGAGGAGCAAAGGAAGGATATATATCAAGCTCAGGAGAGGTCCCAGATTCAATTCCTGGTATCTCCAGGCAGGGCTGGGAAAGATGCCTAAACGAAACCCTAGAGAGCCCCATGGGCGCCTCCAGTGGTTGCTGGTCCTCAGCTCCCATCATCTTGGACTACTGGTCATGTTGATGCAAGATGGCATCTGACATTAGTGTTATTTTGCAATACTGCTGCTTCTTGCTAGCATGTGGATTGCAAGATATATTCCCCGACATGTAGTAATAATGCTACTTACTGAGCTTTTATTCTGGGGTTTTACAGACTTGTCTATGTTGGTGTTTCTGTTTTGTCTTTTAATTCATCACATTGCCCTTGCACTGTTGATTCCCATGGTGAGAATGGCTTAGCATTCTTTCCCCCACCTCGTATTTAGTTTTAACCTTGGGCAGGGCAGGATGAATCCGCAGAACAAAATCTTATCCTTCATTATACTCTCAATGGTTGGACCATTTTTTTTACAGCTACTAAACCTGCACCTGCATAGCTGTACTTAATTTGAAAACCCAAATCTTCCCCTAAACCTTCACAGTTCACCAAATAAATTAGTATTCAAGACCACCTAGAGATGCTTGAATGATTAGCAGTATATAAATATTATTAGTAAATAAAATACCTGTGATGGAATTCCATCTGTTGAACTAACTTAGGTTTTATTTTATTTTATTTTATTTTGGGGTGTGTGCTAAGTTCTGTTTTACTGAGGCCTCGCCCCCTTTTTAATGAATTTATGTTTTACTTTGTGTTTCTTTCCTTTATTTTGAGGTTTTAAGCCACCTAGAGAAATGTATGCTGTGGAATGACATACAAAGGTCACTCCTCCTTAATAGGCCCTGAACTGCACAACTCTCAGCAGCTAGAGGTCACAAATGGAAAATGCTGCCAGTGCTGCAGAGGATGGTTAGCGTTCATTACTGTGAAACAGTTTTTGACCACGCACTAAGCAGCCAACTGGGGTGCATCCTTTTCCCGGCAGCAAAAACAGAGTAAAGGAACGCTAAGTACACCACAGTTCTCCCGTACAACCTGACCCAAATCACATCCTTATTTGCAAGCACAGGGCAGAGTTTTTTCAGTTAAGAATTTTGAAGTTTAATATTTAAATAGTTGTGTGAAGGTGCGCCAGCATCAACCTTTTAATAAAAAGGGGGGGGAGGAGCAACACTGAACTCTAAGCACACACAACTCTCTGGGCTGGTGCACATGCCAGGGTTTCTAAAAAGTGAAATTTCAGAGACAATCTACTTCCTGCACTTTACAAGATGGACATGCACCGAAGAGCTGCATGGCCCAGAATGAGGATGCAGTACACGTGGCTTCAGAACCTCGCATTTTTAATTGCACCTCTAAGAAAGGCGTGGCATTACCAATGAACGAGATATAGCGGCGTATTCCATACACTGGGATTCCTGAGCTGCAATTTAATTTATGGAAAATACTCCCCACCACCCAAAGGGTGCTATATTGGGGTGGATGAAGTGAATATTGTTTTTATATAGCAGACAGATGAAGAATCTAAAGTTCTTTAATTTCTTTATTTCTCTCTCTCTCTTTTAATACCTTTTCTATTTCTTTTTCTTTATATATATATATATCTCTCTTTCCCCCTCTCTCGCTGTTTTTATCTTATTTAGATTAATATTTTAGTTTGGATAAAAATGGTATTTGATATTAAGCTTTGTGTTTCTCTCTATAAACCCTAATAAAAATTATTATTAAAAAATAAAATAAGATATGCCCCCCCCCAGGGACTTCAGTGTGGATTGTAGATGGCAGCAGGTTACCTGTGCCTGTGTAAGTCTCACCTGAGCTGGGTGGCCAATGGTCTGGCTCCCTAATAAGGCAACTTCCTAAGGTCACTGTGAAGCTTAGAAAGAGAATCTGTTTCTTTGAACAACTAGAAATACAGAGACGCAAGAACAAAGAGAGAAGAAATCCAAAGCTGATACCCAGCGATTCCAGACTCCACATTTAAAGCTGAACTATGCCAAGAGAAGGAAGGGTTAAGCAATGTTATACAGTATGTATGACTGAATAGTGCTTTGAATGTGTCGCCTGCTGTGTCCTGTCGAAATGCCAACTGGCATTATAATCAGAGGTGTACCAGCATTCTAGAATAGGTCATTTAAGTCAGCTTCTCCAAATTAAAAGTTGATGCCACCAGCAGCTGCTAGGAAAGATTGCCCTCAAAAGAAGAAGCTTCTTCAACATTTAAATGCCACCCAGACACACTTCATTCTTCAGTGCGGAAAAAAATGAATGCCAACTGCATCCATCTCTGTCCCTACATTACCTATGGTGAATGAATGAGGGAAAGAAGACAAGAGAAACTGAATGATTTAATAAGCCTGAAAAGGGTAAAACACTATAGGTGGGCCCTGTTTTGATATGCAATCAGGTAATCTGCCATCTGTTGTCTTAACTTTGCTTTAAAATCATCCTGATTCTGTGCTAAAAGAATCAACCCATCATTTCACTATATTATTATAAATAGAATGACATTCCCACTCTTCATTAAGAATTGCCAAATCTAAAGCCAGCACATTTATGCCATAATCCCCATAATCAAATTCTCCTTCACCTCTTCTGATTCCTTCAGGTATGGACACCTTTTGGACCAGTTTTCTGGGATGGCGACAACGGGCACCATGCTTCCATTTCTATCTTGATGGCTCTATCCAGAAGATGCAAGGCGACACTGGAGGATCTGCAAGATTCTATTTTGTTTCATCTACATGAAACTTCTGACATCATCTTGGAGACCAATAAGCTGATGAAACCAAACTTTCACCTTTTCATCAGATTCAGGTGAGGCTAGTAAATTGCTAGATTGAGGTGTGTAGCCAATAATGAACTGATCAGCCAATAAAGCAGAAGCTCAGTGAGGACATGATGAAACCATTTTGGTGGATGCTTCATCTGACTTGAGAAAGTAGAATTCAGCTTCTTCTGTATAGAGCTGCATTCACCAAAAAGAATCAGGTTCACAGCTTAGGGGTGCTCTGAGAGTCAGCCTTACCCTTGGAGGCCCAAGTGACTTCTGTGGCAGAAAGCACCTTCCCCCAGTTCAAGCTGGTGTGCCAACTGCAATCACACCTGGCCATGGTTACCCACACTCCAGTAACATCTCATTTAGACTGTTGTTACACAGTGTACATGGGGTTGCACTGAAACACTTGGAAAGTCCATAAACAACAGAAAGGTCTAGCCGAATGGAACATACCCTGTTCCTGGCTTTGAAACAGGACTGGCTCCAAGTTTGCTTCAAAGTACAAGATGGTGCTCATTTTAACCTTTAAATCAGGATGGGGAGCCTGTGGTCCACATAATTTTGCTGGACCACAACTCCAATTACCCCTGACCATCGGCCAAGGGGTCTGGATCTAATGGAAGCTGCAGGCCTAACATCATCCAGAAGGCCATAGGTTCCCATCTCTGCCCTAAATGCTCTGCAAACATTTCTACTGTGGTTACTGCATAGGATGCAACAGTGCAAGTGTGATGGGCTCTTATTCGGAGTCACTCGCAGTGGAAATATGCACGAGACAGCAACTCATACCAGCTCAAGCCTCCTCTACTTTGTGATGGAGCTGTATTTTATTTCTTTATTATTTACCTATAGCTTACATTTATATCCCACCTTTTCCTCTAAATGCTTAAGAGGCAGAACCCTGCCACTCAATAGCAGGGACATTTATCCAGTTGTTGTTGTTTTATTTAAAAGGTGGTGGTGGTGGGAGTTTAAACTAGCAAGGCCACTCTCTCTCCCCTTTGTCAGCAGTTCTGCCCTTAGAACTGCCCTCAGAATCACAAAAAATAGAGAGGAAATAGAGAGGTTGAAATAGAGGAAAGACAGGCTCAGCTGAGGGGAAAGGGACGGGAAGGCAGCACCTAGAAATATTTGTGTAGGATGGGCGAGGCAAAGGGTTGAATCATAACCAGACGACTGAGAAAATGGCAGATGACATGAGATAACAAGGGGAGGGATGGGGGAACAAAGAGAAGACAGAGTGCACCAGAGACAGGCAAAAGGGGCAAGTAGTGCTGTCAAGCATCCTGATGTATAATTAAAACCATCCTGATCTCCCACTGAGTGGAAACTGCTTTCCCCCCTCCCATTAGCCATGCTTGGGCAGCTGGAGCCTACGTCATACTTAACGGGGGTCCCTGGGGAGGGGGGGAGCATAGCGATAGTGACTACTGACAGCAGGACAGCCACCCAGACAAGAGTTGGCAAGGGAGTGGCAGCCAGATGGTGCCACCACCAAAGTCACACAGAATCGGTGATGCGGGGGGAGCTGGCATCCATACCTGAGGGGGGTGTACCACAGAGTGCCACCAGTGGCTGCTCTCTTTGTGGTGGGTTGCAGCTAATAATTCCGAAGCCCACACACCACACACAACGAACTGGGCACTTTTCCACATCGAGCCAGCTGGTGTGCAGCCTCTTCAGCGGCGCTTCCGCTCCAGCACAGTGGGAGAGACCATCCAATTCGCTTTGTGTTTGCCGTTGGCCTTTTTTCATTATTAAAAAAAAAGGAAAGGAGAAAAGAATGTGGTCCTGACAGCAGGTACGCAAATACAGAGTGCTGCTCTTCACAGTTGCCAGGCAACAGACGGCAAAGTGAGCACGGCAGCCTAAGGGGTCAGGCGGAGCTAGCAGAACTCTAGGTGATGAGCTTCAGGCGACATCGTTGCTGCATGGACATACACACCCAATTAACGTGGAAGCCAAGCCAGTGCCTGCCCACTAAGGAGGACACCCTTCCAACCTCTGACTGTAGTTGTTCCTATATGCAAGAGCGCCCCGGACTGGAGTTGTAAGCACACTTAACAGGGTGTAAAGGTAAAGGTAAAGGGACCCCTAACCATTGGGTCCAGTCGTGGCCAACTCTGGGGTTGCGGTGCTCATCTCCCTTTATTGGCCGAGGGAGCCGGCGTACAGCTTCCGGGTCATGTGGCCAGCATGGCTAAGCTGCTTCTGGCGAACCAGAGCAGTGCATGGAAATGCCATTTACCTTCCTGCTGGAGTGGTACCTATTTATCTACTTGCACTTTGACATGCTTTCTAACTGCTAGGTTGGAAGCAGGGATCGAGCAATGGGAGCTCACCTTGTTGCGGGGATTCGAACCGCTGACCTTCTGATCAGCAAGCCCTAGGCTCAGTGGTTTAATCCACAGCGCCACCCGCGTCCCTTTAACAGGGTGTAAGCCCCATTAAAAACAATGGAACTGACTCCCAAGCAAACATGCACAGCGGTGCACTATTAGGCTGCATGCACCCTGTGCATTTAAAGCACATGGCATCCCCCAAAGTATCCTGGGAACTGTGCTTTACCCCTCAGAGCTACAACGCGCAGCACACGTGTCAAGTTACATTTCCCATGATTCCTTGGGGGAGGGAAGTCATGTGCTTTAAATATCTGGTATGTACACAGCCCAAGTCTGTCACCCTCCCTGCCTCTTTCCTGAAACAGCTAAATACGGCTGTGACCCCAAAGTACAAAAAGCTCACACTGAAGAGTTGCGAAATTATAACAATTCTTCAGAAATTCTGTTGGATGGTTTGCAAGTCATATGGACACAGCAGAAAGCGACAGGAGCGAGTATTTCATAATCCAGCACGAAGCAAACCCTCAATTTCTGTGGACTGAATTCATGGATGTCCACGTTCTGTCATGAATTTAATTCTGTGTTCAGCTGCAGCCACAGAGCTTAAATACACGACTTAAGCCATGTGATTAAACACAACTGGTTCACTTGCTGATTTAGGAGACGGATCCTTTCTTCACCTACTGGAGTTTCATCGCATGAAATGGCAGGTGCCATTCTTCAGTACAATTTGTCAGTGAACACAATGGGATCAAGGGGGTCAGGATGTAAACCATCATTGAAGGATATGGGTTAGATGCAGTTCACTAAATGAGGTAAACGTAAATGAACACAGAAGTCTTAAGACCAGACCAATAGCTTCTCTGGCCCAGTATTCTGCCTCCTGCAGGGAAAATGTGCATGAGATCAAAGCAGTGAAGGAGCAGAAACAGAAGGATTGACTTGCTGAATCAGTCTAATGGTCCATCTCACCCACCCACTGCAATCAAGTGGATGTCTCCAAGAAGATACAAGCAGCCTTTGAGGAAAACAAACCTCCCTGTCCCCAGCATCTCATATTCAGAGATAGGTGCCCAAATGGTGGAGATTCCATTCAGACTACCATGGCTTATAACAAGGGTTGGAAACCTCAGGCCTGAGGGTCAAGTGCAGCCCTCTAGGCCTCTGTAACTGACCTCTGGGACTTTCCTAGGACACACCCCTCACTGGTGGTCCTCCACATCTTTTGCACTGTAATCATGTCTCTTCCTTGCCTGAAGAGGTACATGTGGATACTGTTTGGTGGGGCTGGAACTGTACCCTACAGTGCAAAGAGAAGAGTCACATTCATTGCTCCACTAGCCATTGACATATGGCCCTCAGAAGGTTCCCCAGTGGGGAATGTGGACCTTGGACTGAAAAAGGTTGCCCACTCCTGGTTTATACCCATCAAAGAGGGTCCCCATGGATTTGCTTGATCCCTTTTCAAAGCCATCTAAGCCAGCAGCCGTTACCACCACCTTGCAGCAAATAATTCCTGGTTAATCAAATGTTGCATGAAGAAATATACCCGATTAGTGATTCTGAACCTGTTTCCATTCAATGAAAGTGGATGACTCCAAGTTCTACTGTTTTGGGAAAAAACAAAACAAAAACCAAGTCCTCTCTGTTCGCTCTTTCTGCACCATTTGTTACATTTCCTCTCAAGTTTCTTTCTGAAAAAGGAGAGGCAACAGAAAAGAGCCCTGTCCTTTTAAGCTCTTCTTTGTAGAGATCATCATTTTACTTGCAGTTTTTAAAACCTTCTCCAGCTCCGTTTCTCCTTTTTGAAATGGAGTCACAAGAACAGAACACAGGCACTGTAGATTTACAGGGAGACATAATATCGGTTTACAAGGGTATATAATAGTTACTGTTTTATTTTCAATTCCCCTTTCCCCCATGGATTTAGCATTGTAAAAATACAATACAAAGTGAAAAAAAATACAAACTAATCCAAAAGTATTAGCAAAAATAATGCTCCTTTCCTATAAAGGGAACCTGTTGTGTAAGTTAACATAGAGAGAGAGAGAGAGAGAGAGAGAGAGAGAGACATATTATGGGGCAGGGGAATAAAAATACTCCAAATTGCTCCAATTCCAGCTCCTATTGATTATAGTAAAGCTGCTATGTATTTTATGAATGTTGTGTTTTGTGTTGCTTAATGTAAAGTGGGATGATGAAACAATTCTACATGCCCTTCTGCCATGATCTCATGCTCTTTAAGGCACATGGATAAGGCTGAATTCCAACCCCACTTACCTGAGGGTAAGCCCCATTGAAGCAAACAACTTACTTTCTAGTAGGCATGGGCTGCATTCACACGGTAGCTTACTCAATTTTCCCTGTTCATGTCCACATTATAGTTGAGCTTTTACGCAATGTAAAAGCCACTTCTGGAACTATAGTGGAATGCAGCGCATCTTTAACACTGAGGATTTTGATCTGGGGCTGCAGAGTTTACCCTCAAATCATAGGGAAACTATTCCTGGGCATTACACAATCCCCCAATATGAGCATTAAGCAGAGAAGGATCTAAAACATTTGTTTTGCCCCTTGGCAAAAAACTATAAATTACTGATTGACCTAAGTAAAAGAGAGATTGTTGTCAGATAAAAGTGGAGAAGAGAACTGGGATTTACTATCCCAGAGTCAATATGGTTTAAGATTTGGTGTTTTGTGAAAGATTCTTCATTAAGTTTATCAATAAGGGAAGTTCAGTGGAAACTGTTACCGCACTGGTATTTAACACCCTGCCAGATTGAATAGAAAGTGTATGGAAACATGTGCTGCTAAATGCACACACATTACACATGTTATGGGAATGTCAGCATACTTACAGATTTTGGGAGGGAACTGTGTGTCAAATATCAATGAGAGGGTGAACTCTGAGACTTTCCTCAGGGTTGATCTGGTTTAACTGGATTGAGGAAGATATTTGTGGAGAACAGAAGTATTTAGTTAAGATCCCGTTGATAACGGCTACAATAATTTGGGCTCGCAGATGGAAAAACCCAGAAGCTCCATCCATATGGGAATGGATACTTGAAGTGCTTAGAGTTGGCAGAAGGGACACTTTGACAGATTGATCCATTATGAAAAATAGAAGGACCAATAATGTAAAGTTTGCTGGAAGGTGGTTGTGTTTTGTAAACTATTCAAACATGAATTATGGAAATAGCAGACTGGAAGGAACTTTATTTCTGTAAATTATAAATAAAAATGTTTTGAAAATAAAACCACTGTTGTTTGTTTACAAGATCTGGAAAGAAATCAGTTTGTTTTACTTGTCCCAGCAATTCATTGGGAATTATATTTTCATATTTTGAGAGTGTTTTTAAACCTGGCCTTCAGTGCATATCACATAAAAAATCCACCCATAAACTAAACATTGTGTTATATAAAAACACCACATGAAAACCACATTATAACCTCTAAGGGGAACAGTAATAATCAAAGCACAGACATTAATCAACTGCAGACCGAAGTTAAAATGTCTTAAGAGCTCCACCCAAAAAACAACAAAAATGGTACCATTTCCTCATGTGTGGTGCCATAATAAAAAAGGCCCTGCCCCTGCTATCTGTGAATTTCTCGAATCTTACCAAGAGGCCAAAAAGCAAGGCCTCAATGGATGTATCCTGATCACCACATCAATAATTGATTCACAAGGTCAATATATCTTAAGGTGTTAGGATGCTCCCCTTACTATCTTGAAACCCAGTGTGTTTAGAGTATCAGACTAGGGCCTGGAAGACTGGGATTTAATACACACTCAGCCATGAAGCCTACTGGGTGACCGTGAGCCTGTCTTCGCCTGGGTTGTTGCAAGGAGAAAACAGAGAAAAGGAAAAGCATGGACACCACCCTGAACTCCTTGGTAGAAAGGTGGGCTAAAAATGTAATAAAGCATCCATCTTGAGTTACTTTCAAATCATAGGTGCTGTTCCATACTGTGAAGGCATCTCACAGTTTACTCCAAGGAAATTAGAGAGGTATTGATTACTCTGATCATCGTGGGGCAAATCAGAGGTGAGGGGAAAATTCACAATAATGGGAGTGGGTGGGTGTCTTTTCTTCACTTGGACTTATAAGATTATATCAACAAATTGAGTTTAAAGTAAGCTAACAGGACATTTACTCTCCGCACTGGTAATCGCTAAGGAAAAAAAAGTGAATGGCATTAGTGCCACAAGATGGTTTAGACAGCTTGCAATTCCCAATTCCCCCCACACCCTGAGCACCTTCCCTGAAAATCATCATGACATGCAATAAATATCCCAGGAAACATTTGGGTATTATTTTTCATACTGTAGTTCTAGTTCTAGTCACCTGAGTCACATTTGCTGAATTTGCAGTACAAGCTATTCACCTCTAGCAGCTATGCTATGCCACATCACTGAACAATATTCCCATACAAATGTGCTACAAGCAGACACTAGCAAGGCTATGCTTGCAATTGTCAGACATAGGTCTTTACCAGCTGCTCAAATGCAGATCTGTTTGTCAGTCTTGCTTCCTCCCCCAAATGCTTTCTGCCTTGTATAGCTAACTTAAAACACAATCTGTACCTTTATGGAATTAAGAGTACCATTTGTTGCCTTGCCCCACAAGTTCCAGAACTGTTATGTCCAGTGAGAAACTGAGCAAGTTTGTGGATCCGTGACGTCACAGGCATCAGCCAGTCAGCACCCAGTGCACACCCAGTTTCTCTGGGAAATTCAAAAGAACTGTTTCCCCCAGAACTCAACCCTAGAGAAAACCATACCACAGCATGTGAGTAATCCCCACAACTTAAGCAATATTTTGTTTGTATGCAGCCAGTGTTACAGGTAGCCAACCTCATAAAGAATAAAGGCCTTAAAGTCTTAATATGAATAAAACCTAAGAGCAGCCCATCAGAATCAGCGCTGTACACACAAATTATCAAGCTGCAGGATGTAATAATCAGCTGTGTAAAAGTTCGCCATAGAATATATCTGGGGAGTCTACAATTTGGTGATTAAACTAATGGTTTGAATTTTGACCTCACAGCAAGTAAGTACCACAAATTACCTTGATTTCCAATACTTCAGGGGCCAGTTTTCACCCTCTGGCATCCAGGGCCGCAGTAGCGATGTTTGCCCTGGATCTCCCACACCTGTACAAGCCACCTTTCAACTGTGTGTGGAAGGCTATTGTTATTGTTCATTATTATGGTATGTATTTTTGTGTTTTCATATTGTAAACCACCCTGTGATCTTTGGGTGAAGGGTAGTATAGAAACTGAAGTAATAATTTCCTGGAGCGGCACTACATTGGGCACTGAGACAAAGGCCAACTCCCAGGCTACTGTGGTGGCCAAATATGCCTGAGGCAGCACATCTTTGTAAAAGGTGATACATGACAGGCCACTTTACCTCAGACCGAAAGCTGGCTCAGCATGTTGAGTATAAAGGTAAAGCGTATCTGCTGCACATACCTCTGAGAGAGGTAGGCTAGGAGTATTTTTGTCTGTGGGGATCAGACTTCCACCTCCATCACTGCTCAGGAGAGTTCTCATCTCCAACAGCCATGCAGTGCAAAAAAGGCTTTTGGAATGTATACAGCACAAGCATGTCCTATTGCCAGCCATTTCTGAAGGTTGGAACCCTTTTCCCTTTTCTTTAGGGCTATCATACTTCTTCCTTCCAGAAAAGACACAAATTTGCTAATAATCCAGCTTCCTGCTTTGTTGCCTTTGTTATCAAGCCCTGCTAAGTATCCTGCCCTGGCACAACACACCAACACACACTAAAATCCAGGTTTTTTCTTTATCAGGAATGGTCCAAAACCTGAGATATCACAACCATCATAACCCTAATAAATAGCTCTGTGCTGTGCATGCAAAGACTCAATTTTCAGAATCATTTCAAAAACCTGAGCCCTACTTCCCTTGCTAGGGCATATACATGGTTATATAGAAGTTTAGCATCTTACCCACCATTTTTACATTAATTCCTCTCTGAACAGTACATAGAACCAAGGAATCACCTGCATGGAGGCGACTATAAATAAGATTGGGTGGGAGGAACTAAGAGTGTGAAATGAGGCTTGTTAGTGCTTTAATCAACCCTCACTTAATATTCCAATCAATAACAGTTCATTGCGAAGGTTACCGATACTGGGAGGCACAGTTAACTCAAATAGCCTAGTTGCTTTGGTCAGTATTATCTAATGAGCTACAAACATTTTGTTACTTTCTACACATTGCTATACAGAGCAATCCTATACATGTCTATTCAGAAGTGGGCCTCACTGAATTCAATGTGGGCAATTGGGTGTAGGACTACAGTCATAGCCATCTGGCAGTTAGCCAGTGGCCTGGATGAAACAACAACAATTCCTTCTAGGTGAATAAGATGGTTTGTCAAATAACCACTAAAGAGCACTTGGTGATACTTGAACATGCAAGCATGCAGGCTGGTAATAAAAGAGATCACAGGCTACACATCTTTACTGTATAAATAAATGCAGCTTTGCAAATGCTAAAGGTCTAGGGCAGGCATCCCCAAACTCGGCCCTCCAGCTGTTTTGGGACTACAATTCCCATCATCCCTGAACACTGGTCCTGTTAGCTAGGGGTGATGGGAGTTGTAGTCCCAAAACAGCTGGAGGGTTGAATTTGGGGATGCCGAGTCTAAGGCAATCTTCCCCAACTTGATACTCTCCAGGTGACTGGGCTATAATTCCCATTATCCCTGACAATTGTCCACGCTGGCCAGGACTGATAGAGGGCACCAGCTTGGGGAAAGCTGGTTGAAAACAAAACACAAACATGCTTGCAAAAAATCAACTCTGCAGGCTCATTCAGATCAGTGGAGCAGGGAATCCACCTCGCTTTGTGTGACTTACACAAAAGGATGCTCAAAGTGAGCATTTCTAAGGGTATGTGCACAAGCTTTGCACCACATCTATAGGGAAAGTGTGGAGTCTTTGTTCCTAGGTAGTGAGGCATTTCACGCTATCTACTGGAGCAGGGGATAATGCCATACATCAGTAAAGAAGAACTTGTGGCCCTCCAGATATTACTGGACTATAACACTCATCACTGGCCATGCTGGCAGGGGCTGATGGGAACTGGAGTCCAACAACACGGGTCACCAGTTCTCCACCCCATCATACATTAACCTGCCTCAGAGACCTGACCAGGAGAGACCCATCTTTGTGCCTGATTCTTGCATCAGTCAAGAAAGCCTCAGGATGTCCTGCCAATATGTGGGTCAGCAAGCACTTCCCCTTCTAGATGGCTGGCAGTGGGGGTGGTTCACAGAGAACTGTGCAATTCAAATTGCATTTTGAATGCATTGCGTAAAAACCACGTTGCAGAGAAGAGAAGCCAAATGACCTTGGCACCAAACAGGCAGCTGCGTTTCAGACAATTGTGCTGGTTTTATATTATTGATCAAAAAAGAACTTTCAGCTGATCAATTTTTTCCATCTGTGATTATTTCCCTGCCTCCCACTCCCAGTTTCACAGCACCATTACCTGTCCTCAGGGCAAAAAAAGGCTAGAGCAATTGGCTTTGGCTTTCTCCTCCCTTATCTGTCTTCTCTGACTGTTGCATCTGCCTGTTGCATTGTGCTTTGAGCTTCATGTCTGCTGCATGTTTATGGGCTTCCAAAGATTAAGCTTGAGATGGAGGCCCCTGAATATATCTGATACTCTATCTGTTACCTTGCTATGAAGACCTTCAATGCCATCCATAGGCATATGCTCCTGAGTGAAAGGAGGAACCACATAGATGGGAAGGATCAAGGGACTAACTATTTGGTTCCTCTAGAACAGGGATGAGGGAAACACCAGGATTCCAACCCCTATCAGCCCAGCAGAGCCAATGGTCAGGATTGAAGAGAACTAAACTCCAGCAGCATCTGGGAGGACCACAGATTAGCCATCCCTGACCTAGAAAAATAGTCCGTTTTTAAAAGATAGTCTTTCCACCTTTATTGTTTTTTTAAAAAAAGAACTTTTGAACTAGCCGTTCTTCAGCACATTACCTTCAAGAGGACATGGCAAGCAACTCAATGGGGTGGTTTTTACTGAGCTTGCTTCTGTGCTTTTTATCAGCAGCAGGAATCTAGCAGGCAAAGCTTATACTGACATAGAGATCAAGCTGCAGAGAAGGTTTCTTCACCTTCATACCAGCTGCTATTAATGGCACAAGGAGCAAGCCCAGAAAAAGGTATGGCAGCCTTACAAGGAATGTATTTGAAAGAAAGCCATCCTGCAATTGTCTGACAAGCTTAAAAGATTGCTTGAAGGAAAAGGTATACTGTACTGTCCCATTCATATCTTCTTTGAAAGATGGGAGAGACAAGAGAAAATCAAACTAGGAATGGCTTAGTGATTTTTTTTCTTCTTCCATGAAGATAAACCAAGATGTTAAAATATGCATCTATTTAAATAAATCAGCATAAGTCAACCTCTGCAAGTTTGAGGTCCTCCAAATTTTGTGACTACAGCTCCCATCAGCCTCAGCCAGCAAAGTGCTGGGAAATAAAATCCAAAACATTTGGAAGGACATAATATTGGCAGAAGGCCAGTACATGTATACAAGGAGTGATCCTTCTCAATTCTCAAGAGATGCCAGGGACATTAGCTTGATTTGGAAGAGTAGGAAGTAGTGTGGCCATTTCTGCACGACAAATATAAGCCAGTTTCAAGTCTACTTAAGTGCCTTGTGTCATATCATAGATTTGGGGGCTGCAAGGAGATTACAGAATGGTTTCAATGAGTTTAGATAGGTATTTATTCCAGGGGAAAATGTTAGAACAGCATATTCATTAGAGATATGCATTAATGGAAAAAGCTCCTGATGTGGACACCTAACAAAGACACACAAATAGGAAGGAATGGTTTAAAAGCATTTGATCAAGAAGATGAACATTAGTGTACTAAATTTCAAAAGGGAAAGGTTCAATGGGATGGAACTAAGAATGAATTGGCCTACCACACCACTTGCCTGATTAAGCCTCTGATCATTGTGTTTACAGAGTGCCCTTCCTTTCTTGTAGCAGACACTGCTTAGTTTCTTGAAAGAGTGGCAAGCTGTGGAACTCAAACTTCCTTGAAACCATGCCCTCTCATGTAGAAAGTTAGCAGGTGCTGAAGAGGGTCCAGTTCAGAACCAGTCGTCCCCCCCGGGATGAAGATTGCAAAACTTAGGAAGAAAACATTAGGAAGAACTTCCTGACAGTAAGAGCTGTTCGACAGTGGAATTTGCTGCCAAGGAGTGTGGTGGAGTCTCCTTCTTTGGAGGTCTTTAAGCAGAGGCTTGACAACCATATGTCAGGAGTGCTCTGATGGTGTTTCCTGCTTGGCAGGGGGTTGGACTCGATGGCCCTTGTGGTCTCTTCCAACTCTATGATTCTATGATTCTATGAAAACTGATAAAAATTTAAATGGGGGAGGCGAAGAACTAAGCATTTTGAGTGCAGCTGCCTCAGATAGCAATTCAGGGAGGTCAAAGAACCACAGGTCAACACGAAAATGCCAAAGACATCTGAAGGGAGCTAAAGCTAGAAGTCTCTCAGCCAAGATGGCGAACTGGGAATGCTTGGTTTTAGAGGATGGAATCAACATAGCGAGCATAACGGAAACATAGTGAAATGAAGAGAACCAGTGGGACATGGTTATCTCCAGCTATAGATGGTGTAGCTCTGTATGCCAAAAAGGGCAGATTCCTACACAGAGTCATTGTGGGTGGTGATACAGGAGCCCAAAAGTAATTTAGTACTGGTATGTGCTTTCATCCCCCTGATCAAAATGCTCAGGGAGTTATTGAAATGGTATCAAGGAAGTATCCAAAAGAGGGAATGTTGTAGTTATGGGTGACTTCAACTACCCTCACATAGATAGTTTACATATGTGTTCCAGTCATGAGAAAGAGATAAAATTTCTAGAAACCCTAAATGATTGAACAATAGGTCACAGAACCAACCAGAGGGGTGATGACCCTGGACCAAATCTTGAGTGGCACCCAGGGCCTGATGTGAGATAATAAGAGTTATTGAGCCAGTTGGGAGCAGTGACCATAGTGCTATGAAACTAAACATACATGCCAAGTAAATCCAACATGGTCACATTTGACTTCAGAATATGAAACATCCCCCAATGAGGGGACAGGTAAGGAAGCTGAAAGGCAAAGTCAAGAGGGCCAAATTACTTGGGAGTTGTTTAACACAGTATTGGAGGCTCAGTTAGAGTGTATGCTACAGATCAGGAAATATACCATGTGTTAGGAACTGCGAGGCAGATAGTAGTGATTAGAGGGGAAGTCTAGGCCTAAGACAAAATAGAAACTGACAAGTCGCCAGGTCCGGATGGCACCTGAGAGTTCTCAAAGAGCTCAAAACTTCTAACACACACACAAAAAAAGGAGGTGTCCTTCAATCAGTCTTCATACCCCCAAACTGGAAAGTACCCAATGTAACACCACTTTTCAAAAAGAGATCCGGGAGCCTCCAGGAAATTACAGGCCTATTAACTTAATGTCCGTCCCAGGTAAAATGGAGAAAGTATAGAAGAAGAAGCCTTGCTGAAGTACAGCAAGCATGGCTTCTGCAAGCGTAGGTCCTATCACAAGATAGAACTCTTAAAGTTCTTTGAGAGTGTTAACTAGGGGGACTTCCGGGGTGGCGCCTCCGGAAAATGGCGGAATTCCCTTCAAGTTGAAGGGAACCCGCTGCACGGAAGCTTGGGTCCTACCGCTACGGCGCAGCGGGGACCCTTAAAACCCACAGGCGGATGAAGCCTGTGGACGTGGGACTCAGCGGGCACCGTGAGCGCTCTCTCCTTGGCACAGGAGCCCGGTAACGGCTCCAGAGTGGGAGGTGCGTGGTGCTGTGAGTCGACTGCTTCTTTCGTGCAGCAAAGCCGCACTGCCGCTTTCCGGAGAGCGCTGCCTTTTTCCTGGGACAATTTGGCATCTAAAACATCTATCCGTGAGTACCTGATCTTGGAAGAGCTGAATTACTTTTAAGACTGGTGAATAAATAAATAAATTGGACTTGAAATTGAATTTAATTGGGACTTGGAACGAGAAGGTCTAAACAGGAAGTCAACCTTCCGTTCTTTTGTTACGTGAAGAAAGCAAAGACAAAATATACTAAAGCTTGAAAATTAAATTCTGAAAGAACTAGAATTCAACATCTAAGATTTCTGAACCCCCCTTTGACTGCAGGAGAAGAAGGGGTTGTATTGGACTATTTAACCCTGCGGAAGTGAGTTTAAAACAAAGTAATTTTCCACCGCCCTGAACCAGGAGCGGGCTGTCAGAACTGACGTCTTGAAGCTTGTCCAGCTCGACAGATAGTTAAAAGAAAGGTAACATTGTGACTCTGCTGTTGCCTCTTGAATTTTGAAGGGGGAACTTTGGATAAAGTGTATCTGGAAAAGAAAGACTGTTGCTGATGTTTTTCTCCTTTATAAAAAAAAAAAAAAAAGGAAAAAAAGGTTTTCCCTCTAGTGGGATTTAGTGAAACTGCAACGCAGAGAGCTTAAAAGTGAAGGACTATAATCGTGGGAAAGAATTTTCTTTGACCCTGAAGGACAATGCTTGTACAAAGGCTTGAACAAATGTTCCTGGAAGGTTTTTCAAAACTAAGTGCCCAGCTGGACCAGATGCGTCAGGAGACGACCTTGATGACGGAAGTTACCAGAGCACAGCAGCAAGTAAATGGAACTCAGTTAAAATATCTACAAGTATATGAACCTGCTGTAGTGATGGAGGCTTCAGAGATGGAGGGACCTTTGGACCGGCAGGATCAGCCTTTGAACTTGATAAATGAACTTGGGATAAATCAGATTCGGAAAGATGAAATGTGGTTAGATTTGGAAATGGGGGATGGATTGACCCCCCTTTATATGGTTATCTGGACTTTCCGAGTCTGGTGATGGGCCATCAGAGGATTGGAGTAGTCGGAGCCTCCAAGTTTCAAGGAAACTTGAAGTGGTATTATCTGCTGTCTGGCTTGGACAATGGGCATGGGATGGACTTGTTGCAAAGGGTCAAAAGTATCTTTCTGCTGGAGTACCCACGACTGAAAGGGAAACATCAAGAAGAGCTGCGAAAGGGGCAAGAAAGAGAATTGAGGGCCTCGGACACGAGACAACCAGGTTAAGGAGCCGGACTATTGAGGTTAAAAGGACTGACAATCCCGGGTCCAGGGGAGGGCGCTGGAAGTTGACTGGATTGTGTCTGACTTATTATCTTATTTTATTTTTCTATTTTTCAATATTGGGAACGTTCATAAATGTTTGAAAGATGTTGAATGAAACTATATGGCTTAAGTAATGATTGGTAAATGATTTGCAAAAAGGTAATGATGTAAGAATTTGGTAAATACTGAATATAAGCTTTGAGTTTTAAAGTTTTTATATGACAAGAGGGAAAATAGAATAAGGAAATGTAATGATAGAATGTTATGAAAAAACAGAAAGGATTTGCTGTAAAAATTAAAAACTAAGAAACAAGAGAGGGGAGGAGGAGGAAGTCTAGAAAGGAAGTTAATAGAGATCGTAAATGATTTTATACTTTTGTTTTTCTTTTTTTCTTTTTTTTCTTTATGGTTGGGTTTTTTCTTTTTTATTTCTTTATCATTTTTGCTTTTTGTATTTTCAATTTTTTTGGAAATTTTTGTTGTTATTCTTTGAAAACTTAATAAATATTAATTAAAAAAAAAAAAGAGAGAGTGTTAACTAGCATATTGATAGAGGTGATCTAGTTGACATAGGTTACTTGGACTTTCTAAAAGCTTTTGACAAGATACCTCTCCAAAAACTTCTGAGTGAGACTTCTATGAGGAAACGGTTGCAATGTTTGGGACTTTTTGGTTTAGAGGAAAGGTAAGTAAAAGGAGATGTGATAGAAGTTCTCTCTGTGCGCTGTAGGGTCAAAGTGGATAGAAAAATGTTTTTCTCCATCTCTCATAATACTAGAACCCTTGAACATCCAATGAAGCTGAATGCTGGAAAATTCAAGACAGAGAAGAGAAAGCATTTCTTCACTCAGAGCATTGTTAAACTATGGAACTCACACCCACATGAGGCACTGATGGCTACCAATCTGTATGGCTTTAGAAAAGGATTACACAAATTAATGGAAGAGGAGGCTATCAACAGCTACTCACCACAATGGTTGTACCTCCACTGTGTGAGGCAGTATGCCTCTGAAAACCAGTTGCTAGGTATACTAGTTGCTACCACAGGTGAGTGAGTGCTATTGTGCCCGTGCACTGCTTGGGGCTTCCTGCAGCCATCTGGGTGACTGGTCTAGTTCAGCAAGCTCTTCATATATTCTTAAAGTTTGCTCCCCAAACACAGGGTCATGTATGTGGCTACCCAGCAGCAGCAGCGGAGTTGGGGAGGCACATCAGGTTCATAGGCAATATGTCATTTGCCAGGAGGGCAAATAGTAGGAGGGGCCTTCTGATGCTCTTCCCAGAAGCACCTGACACTAGTCTACCCTATGGGAAGTGAGATGCCTGAACAGGTGGATCTTTGATGTGATGAAGAGCAGGGCTGTATATGTTCAGAGGCACGCCAAGATTTCACACATCCCAGAGGTGAAATTCAGATTCTGAATTGGTTAAGGGGAGAGAGGAGGAGTAGAATGTTCATTGTGAACTGCTATATCCTTTTTTTATTGTAAGCTATAATATTGTAAGAGACTTAAAGTCGAGTCCATGAAATGCCTAGGAAAGTAAAGCAAAACAGATCCTGGAGGTTGAGGTTTCAGCCCTGGGGCAGCTGCCCCTCTGTTCCCCCTTGGGGTTGCAAATTGGACCAGGCAGATGGATCACACATGCAGAAGGGGTTCTGGCCACTCTCCTCCCATCTGAGCTAGCTGGGGACCTCTGGGCCGATGAAGGGATGGGGGCCAGAAATGGAAAGCTGGGAGAGAGCATCTCCAGGTGGTGCTGGCTATTGGCTCTGCCTTCAGAGCCTGGGCAGGTATCTATCTAGCCACTGGGTTTTAATAGGAAGAAAGGGGGGAGGGGAAGACTCAGAGTCTTGGCCAGCAGCAGGGTGTGTCTTCTCTCCCGGGCCTCCTTTTATTTGCGCAAATCCTTCCCGGGGGCGGGGGGGGGGGACAGAAAAAAATCGCCTCGTTAGGAATTTGCCTGTTTGCAGGGTGGGCAGGGAGAGAGAAGAGAGAACACATCTTCAGATAGCCCTGGGCTGGCTACTTCCCCATCATCTATTTTCCAAAGGTGGTGGTTCCCCCCCCCCCTCCGTCGAAAAAAGGGCACATTATCGTCTCCTTGTATCTCTAGCAAGGGCGGGGGAAGAGACCCGGTTCTCCAAAAAGGAATCCACACCATGCGATCTAAAGCTGCTCCGCGCTTATCATTCCAGCGCCACTTTGATCTTCCCGTTTTCTCCTCCTATACCGCAGGCAGCAATTCCTGGGCTAGAAGGCTCTCCTCGCCCACCCCACCTCTCCGTGGGCATCCTCTCCCTCCGCACCACCCAAGAGCGGCGTTCTCACCCACCCGGCCCCACAGATCAGACGGCGAAGCCAGGAAAGGGTGGGGGGAGGCGGGCGGGCGGTTGGGCGCCCAGCCGGCAGAAGTTGCCGCAATGCAAGAGGCAGCGCGGGCACCTCGAGTCCATTGCGGAGCGCGGGGCGTCGCTCCGGAGGCTCCGCCGCCGCTTCCCCCTCTCGGCCAAGGGCTTCGCGAGAAGCACCTGCCGCAGCACCCGCCGCCGCCGCCGCCCACACCCTTTGGCCAGGAAGGGCGCCGCGCCCGACGGCTCCCACTCACCGCTTTGCTCCCCGAGGAAGACCAGCTTGAATTTCCTCAGCGGGTTGCCGAAGTCTCCTCCCGCGGACATGGTGCCTAGCTCCGGGGAGAGGGCAGGGCGGAGGCGGGGGGCAAGCGGGCGCGGCTGCAGGCGGCTCCGTCGGCTCGGGGAGATCGGTCGCCTTGGCCCGTCTGGCAGGCTGCGATCGGGGCGCTCTGCAGAGGGGGAGCCGCCCGAGCGGGGCGCAGCCTGCGTCGGTGGCCGGGCAAGGGCGCGCGTCCACGGCGGAGAAGCAGCGCTGCTGCTGCCAATGCTGCTGCTGGAGATGCCGGAGCCGGCTCTGCCCCTGTCGGCTCTCGCCCTGCCTCGCCTCTCCCGTCCGCGGCGGCGCCTGCGCTCTGCCCCTTTCCCGGCTACTCTGATGTCATGCTGGAGCAGCCAGCAAGCCAATGCGGTGCTGCAGGAGAGAGAGAGGGAGCGAGCGAGCGAGCGGCGCGGGTGGGGACGTACCAAGACGAGCTTGCTGGAGGGGCGGGCCCGTCTGGAGGGGGCGGGCCCACGCCGGTGTGAAGGCGGCGGGGGGGGGGGGACCTGCCGCACCTCGCCCGTCGGGGCCCAGCACACGACTACGTCCCCGCCGCTGCCTCACGCCCAGCAGGTGTTTCTCCTCCCCACGCACTCCCCACCGGCACCTGCTGGGGCTGAGCAGGTGGGAAGGAAGCCACAAGTGTGTCTCTGCGGGGGGGGTGCAAGCAATTGGGCTGAGACGGATGATGAGATCATCCCCTTGCAATCCACGTCCATTAATCCGGAATTGCAACCTCCCGCTAGGTTTGCTGCGCTTTGATTCCTACAAATCCTTCGCAGGGATTCCCGCCACTCTTAAGGGGGCTTTAGACGGCTGCCTTTCTTGAAAGGAAGGGCCTTCGCTCAGGGGCGACCGAGCACCTGCTTTGCATGCAGATGATCCCTGCTTCAGTCCCTGGCGTCTGCAGGCAGAGGTTGGGAATCCTGGAGAGCTGCTTCTGCCAGTCAGAGCCACCCAAGGGTGCCCAACAGGGGGTCCTCCAGATGTTGCCCAAAATCCTATCAGCCAATGGTGAGGAATGATGGGACCAGTAGTTTGGCAAGGTCTGGAGGGCAGCTGGTGCAGATCAGGTATCTTCAAACTTTTCAGACCCAGCACCCACTTTCAACCCAAACATGCACTTCTTAATCTTTTACTGTATATTAGCATGGTATATTAGCTCCTGCCAACCTAGCAGTTCGAAAGCTCGTCAAAGTGCAAGTAGATAAATAGGTACCACTCTGGCGGGAAGGTAAATGGCGTTTCCAAGCACTGCTCTGGTTCACCAGAAGCGGCTTAATCATGCTGGCCACAGGACGCTGTACGCCGGCTCCCTTGGCCAGTAAAGCGAGATGAGTGCCGCAACCCCAGAAGAAGAACAGAAGAAGAGTTTGGATTTGATATCCCGCTTTATCACTACCCGAAGGAGTCTCAAAGCGGCTAACATTCTTCTTTCCCTTCCTCCCCCACAACAAACACTCTGTGAGGTGAGTGGGGCTGAGAGACTTCAGAGAAGTTTGACTAGCCCAAGGTCACCCTGCATATGGAGGAGCAGAGACGTGAACCCTGTTCCCCAGATTACAAGTCTACCGCTCTTAACCACTACACCACACTGGTTCTCCGTGACTGGACCTAATGGTCAGGGGTCCATTTACCTTTTCCTTTAGCATGGTAGGAGTGCTCCTGTTGTGACCCACCAGGGACCAGACCCACTACCCTATAGTCGCCTTTCACTGGGCGTCCTTTACCTTACCTTTACCTGACCCACCAGTTGAAGACCAAAAGATAATACTGATCTAGATAGACCAATGGTCTGGTTATTTATAAGGCCACTAAGTAATGTTTCTAACCATCTTCTGTGTTGACAGGGCAGGGTGAACAAAGAACTACATACTGCATTTTACCCCTTTGGTGTCTTCATTTCTGGGATGCCATCAGGGCCCCAGATCTACATCCTCATGGAAGGGGCAGAGAGGTAGTGGGAGGACCTTGAGTGAAAGACAGGAAAGTGGAGAACTCTCAGGGGGAGAGGCTGGAACCACCCTGAGACCTCCAGGTATAGGGCGGTATATATATTCAATAAATAATAAATATTAAAAATAAAAAGAGGAAAGGAAAGCTGAGAGCTGGGAGGGAAGGAACTGTCATTTTTGGTGGGGGTGGAATTATGAGCTAATTCTGTGCAGAGTTTAGACACTTGTGCACTATTTCTGCCCTTTAGATATCCTGCTGATAATTTTCCTCTCCCTCATTTTCCTCAAGGCTGTTTTTGTTAGATAGGTAGTACATTTTATAGCTGTACCCAATGTAAGTCTATTATGAGACTCTGCATTTTGCAGGGGCTGTGGAGTTCATTGCCTGAATGAAATGGTGTATAATTTGTCATTGCTGCTTAGCATGGCTTCATTATGTATTGCTTATGATTATGAACTGTATTTATATAATTTTGGTATTGTATTGTATTTACTTAATATATTTCTATTCTGCATTTCTCCCAAGTTGGGATTCGAGGTGGCTTGCAATCCTTAAAAACATCAATTATAAAATACAGAATAAGAAAATCCCAAACAGGTTAAAAATAATAATCATGGCTGGGCAAAGACTTTTTGTGAACTGATTTGGCAATGCAATGAGACATCCTGGCTGGTGGGAACAGTAGCAGAATGACCAGGTACCCCAAAATCACAGAAAGAGAAAGGGCTAGCTAACAAACATCTGTCCATCTTCTATTATAATTCCCTACTCACTCTGTATTTCCCCGTCCTGTAACTGCCAGAATTATTCTTTTCTTCCCACGCAATACTAGCAACCCCCAATCACAGAATCCGACAATAAGCGAATCCATACTCACTCACCCACTAGTCCTATAAGGGTTCATTCTAGGATAGAAGCCTCTTGAACCTTGGTTGCCTTCCCCTAATTTAAGCATAAGAAGATATATTAGAAGTCACCTATACCCTTCCTAAAGGAATGCCTCCCTCTCACCGAGGAGTGTCCATCAGTCAAACAGAACCCAATAAAAGCAAAATAAATAAACAGTAAAGGGGTGTCACCATTGTCATAACCCCAGAAGAGCACCCCAAAAGGTGTCACCCAATAAGCCACAGGTGTTTCCTGTCCCCCCTTCTTAGGATTCTGCCAGGACTTAGCAAAGCAAAGGCTGTAAGGTTGCCAGGAAAAGGGTAGGATGGGGAACTCAAAACCTCTTCCCATCTCCTGCACACCTTACAGCAACCAGTAAGTGTCTTCATGGCATATCTCATCCTTACAAAGAATCCTGGTTGCATGCACCATTTTCAATTGAATAATGATATCGTTGTTTGTTCTATATCTCGTGGTGAAACTTGGGCAACAGATTAATATAAAACATTATTCTGGATCATGCACAGTTCATCCATTTGGTTTTAGGCTCACTGTCAGGCCAGACTGGGGAACCTGCAGCCTTCCAGATGCTGTTTTTGGACTTTGATTCTTGTCAGCCCTGCCCATTGGCCACATTGCCCAGGACTGACCGAGCCTGGAGTGCAACAGTGTTTGGCCACACAGTTTCCCCACTTGAAGAGAAATCTAAATGGGCTTGTCTATGCTGCTTGAAGATCCCTAAGGGCTCTGGCATCATAGGGAAAGCACAAATATATGTTTTCTTTCTTTCTTTGTTTGTTTCCTGCAGGCTCCAGGAAGAAATATACTTTGAAAACAATAACACAATGATAGATTGTAAAGGAAAATGCATATTTTAGGTAAGGTTACCAGATGTCCCCGTTTCCCAGGGAAGTCCCCGGATTTACAAATCAGTCGCCTGACAAAATCCATCTATTTAGTAGGTTGAAAAGTGTCCCCGGATTCATTGAAAAAAAATCTGGTAACCTTAATTTTAGGTAATCTTATCCCCAGCCAGCAAAAGACGCATATGCTTCTAGCATCCAGGTCTAGGCAGCTGTTCCCAGGTCTGTGCCCTGTGAAGCAGTTGCAGCAACAGTGGGACCATGCTCCCCACCCCAGCTTATGAACCCTCATCTGATGGGGTTTGCGCATGTAACCTGAGGCTTTTACACAGAAGTCATCGCTGTTCTTCCATCTTCAAGCGCCACCTGGTTCTAGGAGACAGGGCAATGGATGGTGGAGATTCACACCTCACCTGAACAGCCTCTTCTTCTGCGTCTGACACATTCTGCACCTCCACCTCTGGCTGCTCTGACCTGTCCTCTTTTCCTCTTTCTGGCTCCTGCTTCATGAGCAGCACCAAACCCCATACATTGCTGGTCTCCTCCCCTGGGTCAGTCCCCAGCCCCTTGTTTCTGCCACACATTCACCACAAGGACAGCAGATCCTGGATTTACCGTATTTTTCGCTCCACAAGATGCACCTGACCATAAGACGCACCTAGTTTTTATAGGAGGAAAGGGGAAAAACCCCTTTTTTGAGGATCAGCTCAAAGTTGTTGAGCTTTGCAAAGGGAAAAATCCTGTTTTTATGGGGTTCAACTCAGAGTTCTGCAGCTTCTTTAGGAAAGGAAAAGGAGCCGTTTCTACAGTTTCCAGTCAGATAATTAATCATCTAGTCACATGTCGCTGGGAAAACAAACAGCCTCCATCTGCAGAACATTCAACAATGGAGGCCTGGGCAAGGGGGCGGAGCCAGAAAGGGAGCTAGCGATCAACCACACATTCGCTCCACAAGACGCACAGACATTTCCCCTTACTTTTTAGGAGGAAAAAGTGTGTCTTATGGAGAGAAATATACGGTAGATCTTTATTTCCCCCTTGTTCCTGGTGTTATTTCGCCACTCCTTCTTCCTTGGCAGGAAGTGGGGGCGCCATTTTGTGGTGCCGAAATGTATTGGGCCAGCCAATGCATCACTTTTTATACCCCCTGATCAGTTGGTTCTAATGTTTGTCGAAGAAGCACTCAGGAATGACCCTGCGAAGGAAGCAATGGCGTCGAGCTCTTGGAGAGTGCATTTTCATCAGTAAAAAGGGAGAGTGCTTTAATTCACTTTATTAGTGCTCATAGCAGTCCCTGTCAAGGACAGAGGGCAGTATTATTATTCAGATGAGACTGTGAGGTTGCAGTATTGTGACTTTGCTTTTCGAAAGCCATCTACTATAGCAAAGCTGGGAGCTGGATGTTAATTCAGACCAGAACCATCCTTCCAACCCTGAATGACCGACTTCTCATTTTAAAGGCTGATCTTTCCAGCCTCCCACTTTGAAATATGATTTTCCGATTTTGGCTTTGTTCTTCACTGAAGTTTCTTAGATAGGAATAAATCTGGGAGGGGGCTGGAGGAGGTCACGGTTTACTGAAAGAGAATATGCTTTGCATATAGATATTCCCAGGTTTAGTTCCTGGC